ACCATCTTTTGTCGCAAATGGCTACAGGGCAGCCGCACACTACTTCAAGGGGGGTTAACGCGAATCGAAAACTTGTTCGCGACAGGGGTCCCTCCATCATCATTGAGCATCACCATCCTTGCCGTTCAGCCGTCCTCCATCTGATCGCCACACCATGGCTGTCTCTGATTGGATGCCACCCCCTCCTGCGCCACAAAACCGTAGTATGATATCATTGCTTCTCTAGCAGACAGAGAGACCTTGCTTCGAGCTTCGGTCTCAATACAAACACTTCTCCGCTGAAGCAGTTCACCCGTCTTTGAACCTGGTCATATAACGCTTGGGACTCTCGAGCCTTTTCTTTTTTCGGTACCTTAGAAACACCACGCCTTTGTTGGACTTCTAGAACAATTCTTTGCCGATCGCGCCTGCTTATTACACACAATTTGCAAGTCGGCGTTACGTTATTGCTGGCAATGGATGGCGGTTTTCGACAACCAGCAAAACTTCAAAAGCGAAAGAGTCGAGAGCGACAGGAATTTGAACAGATGAGTGGGGGCCTCAGTGGTCAACCAGCAGTCAACTCGTCGCAACCCACCTCTGCTGTGTCTGCGTCCGAGAATATGACGTCTGCCGAAAAGGAAAAGCGTTCGAAATGGCGCATGTCTAACCCTTTCTCCTCGAAAGAGAAGGCGTCAAAAGATGGCATAAACCACAGTCAGAACGAGGACGCAAAAGAAAAGGAAAAAGAAAAGGCTCGCAGAGATGCTGATTCGGCTTACTTTAGTAGCGAGCGCAGCAGTGCCGACCCAAGCCTTTCTAACCAAGCACGTCCAGTGTCTGGCGAGCAATATGTTCATCCACCCACAAACCACCACGTACCACCCTTGCCTACTACGCATACCCCATCACCGAATGGACACACCCAGGAGAGCCTCGCACTGCCTCAACAATCACTTCAGAGTCGCTCCAGCCATGAGAATGTGGGAAGGGAAATGTACCGTGACGCTGGCACTGGAAACATTGTTACCGTCACGACCACAACCACGACAACGACTACCACTACAACTGGTCCAGGCGGTTCCACCACAGTAGAGCAGCCCAACGATCGGGGCAATGGCTCTGCGCAAAGTATACATACTTCAGGCCCTAGCCCACCACAACCAGCACCTCCTCAGCCTGACAACCATTACCACCAAGGTCCGGATTTGTCAGCCCAATCCGCCATACCTCACAATGTGACTCCTCCAATTCCTTCAAGCAGCCATCAACAGAGTGGTCTTGTAATTCCACAAGATACCCATAATGATGCAACTTCCTCTCCGCCCATTCCAGCCAAAAACAATATACGACACAGAGTAGAACTGGACTCTGTTTCTCCAGGCGTCCAGCGGCCAAATCCCATGGAGGAGTCAGTCACTCCAGTGTCGCCTGGTAGTCCGACGCGTGCGAACTTTTCCTATCCAGCTCGGGCACCTCCTCAAGGGGTTCCTCGACAGGTTCCTGCTAATGGCATGCCACTACAGCAATACTATCCGGATCAACAACACCAACATTCGGATGTGCCGCCTGTTCCACCAGTTCCAGGGCAGCAGCAGCAACAGCCGCGGAGATCGAGCATTCCACAACTGCCAGCATACCAGCAACAACAATCTGGCATGCCACCGCTACCAAGCCAGCAGCACCCAGGTCACCCCTCTAGTCTACAGCCTGGTAACACCAACGGTACATATAACTCTGGTCATGATCTGCAGAAGCAAGGCACCATGGCGAACCTTAAAGCCGCCGCTGCCGGTATTCACGTAAGTCTTTAACGACCCCAATTTACATGCAACTTCAGAACAGTACACTGACTTGTACTCGAAACAGGGCGCAGGAGAAACTCTCCGCGGAACCTTCAACGATACCTTCGACCGTCGCAACCCCAACGCGCATGCCAAAAACCAAGCTGTAATCGACAAAGGGCGTTCGGAAATCGAGGCTGCAAGAGCCCGTCAATACGCAAACACGCAGCAAGCAGCGAACCAGCCGCCCACAATACCCCAACACACACAAGGGTCCACAGCTGGGCTTCCGCAGGGAAGCTCAGGCTCACCGGGCAAGACGGCGTATCAGGGTCCACCTGTCTCTGGTTCGCAGATTGAGGGTAAGAGTGGAGGCGGTAAATTGAGTAATATTATGAAGAAGATGAAGGAGGGGCCGGCGGCAGGTAAGGAAGGTGCTGTGCGGTAGTCGTAGAGGTTGAATGGTAGTATGTCTTCTATGGTCATTTTTGTATATTTGATATGAGTTATGAACTTACCAACTGTCTCAAACCTGATCGTTTCACGGGGGGGTTATGCGTTCGCAAAAGGGCACTACGGTTGCACGAACCCCGAATGATGAAAGCTCTACGTAAACCCTGCGAAGCTATCGCGTCGAGTATCCGTCTTCCCAGAAATATCACTGCAATCGGTGACACAAAATTTACAATGTCATGATCCTTTTATTTTTCATGTAATAGCTAATCGTGAAATCATTATACACATTACACCCTTTCTCCCGCGCTCAAGACTAACCACTTAACCGTTGACAATAGTGCCACCGTTGGCATGAATAGTCTGACCACTAATGGAGCTGCTATCATTGCTAGCCAAGAAGACGAAGCAAGTAGCAATCTCACTAGGCTGCGACGGTCGGCCGATGGGCGCAGTGAACTGCTTGATAGCGTCGTCGTTCATGGTCGCAGGGATCAGCGGTGTCCAGACGGGGCCAGGGGCAACGGCGTTGACACGAATGCCGCGTCCGACATACTGATTTGACAGACCGCGAGTGAAGGAGATGATGGCGCCCTTTGTAGATGTGTAGTCGAGGAGGTCGGGACGGCCAATGTAGGCGTTGATGGAGGCGTTGTTGATGATTGTGGCACCGCGCTTCATGTGTGGAAGGGCGTACTTTGAGAGGTAAAAGAAGGGGTGGATGTTTGTGTCGAAGGTGTGGAGCCACTGATCTCTGTATGTTGTTAGCCATCTGTTGTTGTTCGAATGGGGAAGGCAGTACGTACTCTGAGAGGTCGTGGATATCGTTGATCATCATCTGGTAAGCGTGGTTGTTGACCAGGATGTCAATGCCACCCATTTGCTTGACAGCCTCGTCGATGACCTTCTTGCAGTTCTCCTTTGCCTTCAGGTCCACGGCGAGTGTGTAGCACTTTTGGCCCTTCTCCTCTACCATCTTCTTGGTGTCTTGTGCGTCCTTCTCTTCTTCGGGGAGGTATTCGATGAAGCTATCGGCTCCCTCCATGGCGAAGAGAACAGCGATGGAGCGTCCAATGCCAGAGTCTCCGCCGGTGATGATGGCACGCTTGCCATTGAGCTTACCAGCAGCCTTGTACTTCTCGGCGCCGCCCTCTGGTGTGGGAAGCTCATCGACTTTGGGCAAAGGGTCGAGCTTGGACTGGAGTCCGGGTACTTCTTGATGCTGAACATCGGGCTGGTGGCCTGGAAAACGGTATTAATGATGCTGAAGGCATGACGGCTATCGTGCGTACTCACCCTGCTCGAACTGTCCTTTTTCAGAAGACATGATGTTTCTCCTGGGTATCTCAGATTGAATTAGAAGTAATTAACAAAGCCTAGTTGATTTGCTAGAGACGTGAGAATACGCGTTGTGGTGCTTGCAGATCAAAGTATCACTTTTATCGACTTTCATGATTTCTTGTGACATCACGAAGCTGTCACCGTCACGACGCGCTCATGTGTAAATGTGGAGCAATGTTTACATAAAGCTCGGCGGAACATGATAAAGAGGTACTAAAGGGCTGTACCATCGACGATGGTGTGCCGTCAGTCCGGCGAACTGGTGGGAACTGTCAAATTCCGTCTCAGCCCTACCCGTTGCCGTTTGGACCATCAGACGGTTTTCAGTAGCATCTAGCCCTGGAGTCGCATCGTTTATGGGCACGATAGGTATGGGTAGGTATAGTTGGGGAGAACATCCTAGATAGCCCCACCGACATCCATCACGGTCGTCATCACATTCACCTCAGCCAAGCAACTCCTCGTCAAACTGGCCATACTCAAGAATTAAGACATAACTACATCATCTCGTATTCTTTTCCATATCCAACACACCCTCACCTTCCAGCCCTCAATCTCGCAAACCTTAACGATGACGATGACGTTCACGACGCTATTTCAAGAAAATGACGTAGCCCCCTGCTCCTCTCCTCCCACCCAAATCAGGGTCCAGTCCGGACGCCAAAATGGCGCTATGACCGCACCAGCGCTACTGCTACGATGCCCAAGACCCTAGCAAGCTTCAACGGCCATCGCAGCCTTCAATCCGCAGATGAATTGCGCAAGCCACATCGCAAAGCCGAGAAAACAGGCGAAGAGATAATGGGGACCAACGTCATGCGCCACGAGTCGCGACAAGGGACGCAGGCTTGACGGGTCCCTGCATGACGTGAGATGAATGGCGATCGCACCCAAACCCGGAGCAGATTGCTGGGACAGGGTGCAAAGAACTTGTTTTCCAGCCAACTGGGCAGAAGGGTGGAGGGAAGGATATGGAAGTATAAGAGTGGGATGGGTTGAAGGGTTGTTTGGAATTCATCATCACATCAACACACACAACTTCCACTACAAAATACATTGTCTCAACTCTCCAATCTATACACCAATCTCAATCCACATACATAAAACTCAACTCAACCCATCAATCATGCCTCTCGCACGTCGTGCCGGTCCCCACACTACCACCCGTGCTACACGCACCTCACCGCGCACTGCTCGCCCAAGCCTCAAGTCCCGTCTCTTGGGAGGGAAGGCACGCCGGACAACTACTAGACGCACACCTGGTACCACTACTACCACTACGACCACCACTAAGACGACTCGCACAACAGGTGGTGCTCACGCAGCGCCCGTCCACCACCACAAGCGCCATGCCACCATGGGTGACAAGGTTAGCGGAATGATGATGAAGCTTCGTGGTTCCTTGACCCGCAGGCCTGGTCTCAAGGTAAGCAGTTTTTGCTAATGTTTGAAAAGTACTTTGCTAATCATGTCTAGGCTGCTGGTACACGACGCATGCATGGCACCGACGGCCGTAATGCTCGCCACCACTACTAGAAAACGCGAGATGGGATAGGAGAGAATACTGTATGATTAAGCGTTGTTTGCGCTGGCATGAGTGTACGATATGTTTGAAGATACCCGGCGGTCTGAGCGTTTAGCCTCATTTAATGAATCATCTGAACATGAAGATATCTGTCTTGCATTGTGTTTCATGTGTTGGCTACTTTACATTTTCGTGCCTAATGCCCTAACTCAAGCCTACTCTGCATGTCGTGCCGTGAGTATCGCCAGCCCTGTACGTTTGCTCGCCTCTCACTGATCGTCAGGCACCCGGTATCCGTCAGGGCCCCGGAGAATCTTCTCGCGGATGTCGGGACGTCCAAGCCAGGAGATGTACCACGTAGGCTGGCCGTGCTTGATGCGGCACTTCGTATCCCAACGGCCATCGACAGACTTGTTGTGGTCCTCGTATTCGTTGTAGAGAGTTTCACCGCGAGGCTTGCTACGATCCATGCAATCGAGGCACATGCCGTTGAAATATCCGAGTGTATTAGTCCGCGCTTTGAGCACAATAGCCTCCCAGTCGATGCTGCGGCATCGGGCACATTTTGGCGTGTAGTCATAGTCAAACGCCTTGAGGCGGCCGACGACCTGGTTGATGCTGGAGTAGTTGAGGACATCGTCGACGCGCCAAGCATTGCACTTAGTAAGGGCATACTGGTAACGACCGATAGCGGCATCCCAGCATGAGCACGAAGAGGTTCCGGAACGTAGAATGTGGCCAACGCGGGAGTACAGAGATTTGTGTAAGGTGTTGCGAAGACCACCACGAGCACGATTCAGGGGACCTGGTACTTGTCAGTCGCTGCTAACTAAAATGGAAGACACAGCATTAGCGCTCCTCACCGACGAACATCTTCTCGTTGATGTGCAGCTGTTTGGGACCCTTGAAACCCTTAGGTGGGCGTTCCTTGATGTGACCGACATGCTCGTATGCAAGGTACTTAGTAACGCGCGCGTAGCCAGCGGCGTGGTCGAAGATATAGCACGGGTACGCGAGAGCTTGGGCAATCGGGACAGTCAAATCGGCTTTAGCCATGTTTTTGTCGTACCAGATGTTGAACCAGCCTCCCAGTTTCTCTTTGACCTTGCCATCTTGACGAGTGCTCCACATTGAGATGGCGTGCCAGACTCCTATGAGCGAGATCTCGAAGAGACCCAAGTCGCGTAAGCGCTGCTCAGGGAGGTCGTGAAGATGAGCAAGCCAGACGAGGGTGCCTTCCTTATCCTCGCCCTCATCTTTGGCTTCGCCTCCAAAGGTCAGCTCGGTATGGTTTGGCTCCTTACCGATCAAAGTGTTGAGGTACGGAGACTGCTTCTTGCAAGCGTCAGAGGCAACCAGTATGTCGGTAATATGCTTTGCACCATCTTCTTCAGCGGGACCTATGATGGTTACAGTAAGGTCGGACTGTGAGATAGGTTAGCGTATGACTAGATTTAGCTTCCGGGCTACTTACAAGCGCTGGCTCGGTTGTGAGTACGATGTCCTGATCCTGGATCAGCGATACAGCAGGCCCCTTGCGCATAGCAAATGCCGGCATCATGGGCGTTGTGGTGATAGACAGCAAGTGAGATGTTTTTAAGACGAATCGAAGCAGTTTGCAGTTGCTGTTTGTGCAAACGATTGAGGTAGGAAGAGCGATGCTTGGCGTTGCCGCTAGCAACGGACTGCCATGTAAGTGACATTACAAGAGGAAGTCACGGTGAATTCGACCAATTTCAGTAAGATATCACCATCCTCGCATCTTCATACAAACGAGGCATCTGTGATCCTTGACTTACAATAGTTTGACTAGGCCCTTTGCTGGCGTAGAATGAGGTGAGAGAAGTGGTGAGGGAGTGAGCGATGAAATCTACTAGCAGACCTTTTAAAATATGATAAGGGCGTGATAGCAGCTTAAGAATGCAGTAGATAGTGAAAGAGACGAGGCATATCCTGACTATGTTGATCTGGATGTCGCAAGACCAAAGCGTTCGCCTCGAGAAGTAGTGTAAGGTCTACGACCCAGGAATCTTTCGAGAAAACAGATGAAACCAAAAACAAGGAACCTATCAATTTCAAGACATCCTCAAGAAGAAATAAACCGAGTATTATTACCTACTTCAGGATGATGCATCATTGAATTCGGTCGCTTCCAGATTCGCATGGTAACATACTCTCACACGAAAATCCATTGAATATCGACCAGAAGGCATGCTGCAGGTATTCTCTACCAACTACCCATATACATCATGACATCACCGCTCCTACCTCAGATGTGGCGTTGAAGATGAAAGCAAAGCCATCGGCCCCAGTCCCACCGAACCATGCCACTAGCGTAGGATGCAAACCAAGCAAACACCTCCAGCAACCCTCACCTGCTACCAACCCGCCCATCTCTACCCACCGAATCAGCAATTGCACAACCACACAATGCCCCCCCCACGGCTCTCCTCCGCCTTACTAAGAGCACGACCGCAAGCAAACTACCAATGTCTCCGGCGCATTACCCCTCTTCGACGCGCATCCACCACACCACCCTCACAAAACGACATCAAACCCGTAGTACCATGGAAAACACCCATGAGCGTCTGGTCACCCGAGAACCTGATACCGCCACCCAAAGACGGCGAGATACTGCTTGAGCGACGACCAAACCGCGCACTACCACCGTACGTCTCCCCAACCCCGGCCGTCTCTTTAGAAGCCCAGAAAGAAAGTCCGATTTACTAACATCTTTGTGTCTTCCAGCATCCCGCCCCTAATATCCCCACAAGTCCTGAAAACGCTTCCCATCTTCATCCTCGCAATGTCAATCTCCCTCTTCGCCTTCTTCAACTACCAAAAGCAAGAATCCTCTGTCGTCACATCTACCTTGTACGCCCTGCGCACTAACCAGCTCGTGCGCGACGAGCTGGGCGACGAAATATACTTTGCGAGTAAGAACCCGTGGATCAAGGGCGAAATTAATCAGCTTCATGGTCGCATTGATGTTAGCTTTTGGGTCAAGGGGACGAAGAGGGCGGGTGAGGTTAAACTGAGGTGTAGGCGGAGGGGGAGGGGTGGATTGTATTATACGCAGGAGTATAGTTTGACATTGGAGGATGGGAGGAGGTTGGAGCTGTATGATCCACAGGGAAATGCTATCGACCCGTTCCAGGCGATTGATGTGGAGGAGTAGTGGGGTGGTGGTGATTGGTATATCTGGGGGATCAGAGAGGATACCTTTCGGCAATGTGCTGAGCGGTTCAGCAACAGAAGCCAGTTTGGCAAAATCATTGGCGATTCGCTTTGTAGCATATGTACAATACACCTGTTCATCACAGGGCATGGAGGACGCAATGTCGTCAGGACAGCAAACTGGACTTTTGATGTTTCTAAGATTTATATATTACTATCTAACGAAAGTAGTGCATCTTCAGTGAAGAAGAGCATGCTCGACAGTTTTGACCCGGAGCGCCGCCAATGCTTGTATATCGTACTGTTCCATGTGAAATGTGTAGAAAAAAGAGAGGAAGAGAGAAGAGACCACCGATGCTACTAAGTAGCACATGTGTAAGAAAAGAAAGAAAAAAAGGAAATGGTATCATAGTAAGTTCACCTCGTCCACCAACAAACCTGACTCGGCCAAAGAGAAAGAAAGAAGAGAGATCATCTAGATCTTATCAAAATCCATCTCGGGCCTCCTGACACTAGGATGGTGGGCCAGATTCGGCTTCACCAGGTGCGCAAACTGCGGGTTCACGTTCAACGGGTAGCTGATCTGCGGCATACGTGCCGTCTCCTCCTCCTGCTCCTCGCGTTGGCGCTGCCAAAACTTCTTGCTCGGCTCGCCGCCAGAAGTGGTGCGCGAGTAGATGCTAGAGCTGGGGCGGCGCGAGAAGAAGCCTGGCTTAGGTGCGTTGGCGGCGGAGCTGTGGTACGAAGGGAGGAAGGACTGGCGGGCTGTGCGGAGAGCACGTAGGGGGCTAAAGTCGAATTGAGAGAGGGGATTACCGCTGCCGTTGGTTTCCTTGTTAGGGGAGTGGTGGGATAGTTGAGGGGATCCGCAGTCGATGGGTGGAGTGCCTATGCGCATGGGTGGGGTGTTGCCGTAGACGTTCTGGCGCGAGGTGCTGCTGCCCGTGTGGTGAGTGCTGATGGTGAAGGCTTTGTGCTTGGGGTCATATTGGGTTTCGAGGTCCTCGTGCAGTGTCATTGCGCCTCTGGAGCGGACCATGCGCGCTGTGATGCGCCTAGATTTGTCGCAGAAGACGAAGCTGGCAACGACATTGAAAAAGCCGATGATGATGGCGAGGATGCCTGAAGCTACGAGGAGTCGCCAGAAGGGCATGGTCAGAGACTTCTGGCTTGTGGCTTCCTTGTTCATGTTACCAAGCATGTTGAGGCCGATGATCATCATGGCACAGCCGAGTGTGACAAAGCCGTGGGATGGGCTGAGAAGAGGCCAGTTGCGAGCGTAGAAGCTGCGGAATAGAGAGCATTCGGAGACGATGAAGAAAAGTCCCGCAATGGCTGTGATAACGTGGCTTGTGGCATCGAAGAAGAAGAACTGGTTATTGTGAGCTTCCACACATATCTTGGGCATTAGCTGCTCGACTTACCTTGGAAATGATGAACGTCTTGACAAGCATGACCACGCTGCTGGCGACCACGGAAGAGAGTGCGATAATGTTCAAAGCACGTAGGACGTTAAGGATGATATAGCCCGGGCCAGCCAGGTGTTCGGCTGAGAGAAGCGCCATTTTGATCGTAGAGATAGCGGTCGGTAGGTTGCTGAGAAGTTTGAATTGGTAGAAAAGATGCAATTGATCTGCCCAGCAGTGGATAGGAGCGCGTCAAGCGATTGAGTAGCAAAGAGAGAACGTGTGGATATAAGAAGTTAGATTTATGAAGGTAAAGAGGGAAGAGTATCCCACGCCGTCAAGGCAGTACTCTCTCTCGATAATAGCGAACAATAGAGACCGAAGATGAGGAATAGAGAGAAAGAGTTCAAGTGAAGGCGGGCACGTCAGGACAAAACTACGTCGCTAGCCAGACCTACTATTGTTGCAAACCCTACAATAGCTCGAATGATCGAATGACTCCATCCGCCATATCGCGCTTGTGCCACCGGCTCATGTGAAACGCTCCCGCTAGATGCGGGCGGGAATTCCAGAACGCAAAGCATCCAGTCAAGTCACCACTCAGCTGGCAGAGTCGGTCAAGAGATTGGGCACGGTACAGTGCCGTCGTGGAGTTCTGGCAACCAGACGATGAGGCGCGGTTTGGTCGAGGCGGGTCAGTCGCGTAGCGATTGGTGCTGGACCCTTGAAACACGCTCGCGTAGTGGCAGGCATAGCGTTTCATGTCCAAAAACAGCGCCGGCAAGGTGGGCCACACTATGTGCGGGCGGTAAGATATGAGCGGGCCTCAATCCATAGCAAGTCGTCGTTGTGAGGCGAGGCGCCTCTGTGGCGACTGCATAGTCTTGGGATTGTTGTTTTGCGGAGCTGGCAGTGGAGAGCAAAGGCGCGAAAATGATGGGCGTACATGGCGCTAGACGGGTGTAATTAATAGATTGTTCCACATGCTCCCTCGACGAAGCTAACGGTAGCTGAAAGTCTATCCACCCTCCTAATGGGAATCCTGACTCGCCTACTAGGGATGGATATGGTCATTACATGTAGGATAAAACTCATTCAGCAAAATTATGTAATTCAAGAATGACCGGGTATAAATAAGGGTGGTCAGGCCTGAACAACTCCTAGACTCCTCTTATGAACACAATCGTCAGGACTGACGGGTAGTCAACCCGCCTCCGAACATCTTGCCTACTCGGTAGATCTGCCGCGGTCGTGGTAGCCGACCATTAAGCTGAACATACTATCAATACGTCGTTTCATTAAATCGGATTCAGCTCACTTACCAAGGCACCGTCCCTGAAAGCCAGCTCTTGCCCGTCGTTCATTGGGACTGGATTCTGAGGGAGGTTGAAGATCTCTTGCAGAGACCGCTCTTCCTGCAGCAATCGTTTCTCTTTTTCACTCCTTAAATTTGGTTTCCATGCACCATCGCTCTCATCATGGATATCCTGTCGTCCGTATTTGAGCACATGTCCAAGTCGATGAGAACCAAAGAGCTTTTTTCGGGAAGGTCTTGCCTGGATATCCGCAATCTTCGTAGCCTTCTCTTCTGGGGTCATTGTCTCAATTGACGGCTCTATACGGCGTGTACGCATACGGTGAAAGCTTGACTCGCGTCCCGACTCGGAGATTTCGTTGCAGGTGCTGCTCCGAAGGGCTATAGAGCGATCAAACGTATTTGGTGAAGGATCGTTCTCTTCATTTTGGTCGTGCGAGGTTGTACGCGGTGACACAACAAAGCCAGGGTATGGATTCTTTGGGGTGAGCGAAAAGCTTCCGCGACTTGGTGCGCTTTCGATAGCCTTCCTATGACTACCTTTAGGCATTGCCATAGCCGCGGGCCAGGCTTCACATCGTGATTGAGCTTGCAGAGGGTTCGGAGGTGAATCATTAGCGACATACTGTCGATATTCCTTTTCAAAACGGGCTCTGTATGCTGCATTGCCAAAGTTATACAGCTTACAGCGACGTTTGTGCACCAAAACATCCTTTGCGCTACTAAATTCTGGATTGTTAGACAGAACAGCTCTAAGGCTCCCCTGCCAGGCGCCCTGTCCTTGGCGTAGATAAGAGAAACGCTGAACGAGCCAGTCAATGATTTGGGCAGCAGTCATGGCGGACCCGTTTGCAGCGAGTAGCGCAATTATAATTAACTCTCGATTAGTAGGGCGCTTTTCGATCATGATGAACGCGGTATTTTCTGGATGCTGCTCATTACAAGGCTGGTCATTAGTTGGCGGGGGAGTGGTTCCTTGAGAAACGTGTACCTCCAATCTGCGCGTGTCTTCATTTTCCGGATCCTGCTCAGTGCAATGTCGGGCACTAGTTGGTGAGGGACTGTTTTTGTCGGCAACGTGCAACCCCAGTTTGCGTGTGTCTTCATGTTCAACCTCCTCGTTGACGTTTGTTTGAGGATTTTGAATTAACGTGTGTTTGTCGTTCGTGCTGATATTATCGGCTGTAAGTGGTAAAGACTCCGCGCATGCGTCAACTCTCAACGCGGGTATATCAGGTACAGTTACAAGAGCCTCTTCGCGTTGAATCTCAATACAAGCTGGTTGTGTCGAAGCGCTATCGGGAGGGGTGCTCATTTGCTTTACCTGTTCTGGTTCAGGTACAGTAATCATGTCCACTCTTTGAGTGATGCGAGCTGTACGAGTAGCCACGATAAGGGGGTCGTGCGATTCCGGACTCCTGAAAGACGTTTCTACATCGTCCACCTTCATTGGGCTTGGCCTTAATGTCCCTCGACTTACGACTGTGACAGAGTCGTTTGTTGACACGATCGGGGGTTTGACCCCCACAATGCTAATTCCGGTTAGAGTGTCGTAGAGAGGAGTAGTACTAGGAGTCTCGGGTGTGTCTTGTTTCATGATGTACATCCTGTCGCGGCAACTCTGGCACTCAGTGCTTCCGATGGTAGATACTGTGGGGACATGCATCTTGGAGCATATGGAGCAGGGAGCTTTGGGAGGGGCAAGTTCTTGGTATTGAGAGCGAGCATCGAGAGTGACTCCTGCGGGAGCTTCAACGTCGTGATGTGCCGTCGAGCTAGGTGCACGCAAAGCCAGTAGCCCCGACATTTGTGTTGGCATTTCAATCAGTCTGGGCTCATGTTGGGGAGGGCACATATGGGCTTCCCTAGGCCTGTTCAGACTTCCCACTAGATGTGTACCTGGAGTGTGTAGACCAGGAGCCTTGGGATGGCCATGGGAGGTGACATAGTGGTAGTTTTGTGGCGGAATTGCGGCTGGTAAGACATGTCCGCCTCTCGGCTTGAAGATATCCCTGACCACTGAGTTCTTGAAAGTAGCTGCAGAAGACAGCTCGGAACTTTTGTGAGTTCTACCGTGGGACAAACATGATGAACATCTCCAACGTTCGCTGCCGATGTCAGTTTCTTTTAAAGTGCGTTTCAAAACTTTAGCTTACGGCTTAGCACCTGGGCTGAGCGCAGGTTTCCGACAGCTATCATGGTAACATCTAGTGCACCCGGGACAAGCGATGATGGGGTTATAGCTCGTAGCTGTCGTCTTGTCACAAATTCGACAGGCCAATCTGTGCGAGACTACCGGCCTTGACGGCTGTCTGGAGTTATGGGGTTGGGTGGCTATCGGTGTAAGGTGGATGTTTCGGTTAACATGCTCTCGGTGAGTGGCTGGCAGTGGAAAAGATTCAAAGATTGGAAGAGAAGCAGGGGCTTGCTCATTTGGACCATGTTTGGGAAAGGCTGTCTGCCCACCAAAGCTAAAACCACGAATTAGCTTAGGTACTGTACTAAGTCTCAATATGCCATACCTGTGCCACAGCACATTGCTGGACGCAGCTGGAACACGTCCCTCCCAGTCATTGTATGCGGCAGGCAGTTCTCCCAAGCTGTAATCCTCGTATGCGGTACGCTGACGCTTTAGCGGGGGCGGTGATATTGCACCGGACTGGCCTGCTCGCGAATAACTTTGCCCAGCAGCACGAGATTTGGCAAGAGCCGGATAGGTACCGCGACCAACTTCTTCATGGTATGATGGGCGTGCGTGAGTGTAAGGATTGAGTGTATGTCGTTCTTGCTCGCGCATTTCCATTGGAAAATGCACGACCAAAGTGGGAGATGGCGCCTGCTACAGTACATGTATGTTAGCGTGCTACCATGTCATGATGATGTGGTGAATAAATTTGATAATCAACAAAGCTGTATCAGCTAGTTTCAGTTAGGATTGAGGCAGCATTTGCGCAAGTTGGCGAGGTTGGCTCTCCGGTTCTACTGCGGACAAGCACATGCAGGCATACACTCCCACGATGTACCGCGCTACCGAGAAGTGCCGGAGGCCAACCATCAACCATGGTTGCGATCTGACCTTTTACCAGTAGTCATCATATAGAAGAGAACACGCGTCTATTTTTATCGACTGGTACTTACTTGGTGTAGTTGCTGGAAAGAAGCCGGCAGTGCCGAACGAAGGTCAGCGAACTAGGACCAAGAGGACGCGCCTAAACCAGGATGCCGATTGCGCGCGACATTAGGGAAAAGAAAAAGACGAAAGAAATTTGGCATGAGAGAGGCCATGCGAAATGCGTGAATCAGCATACGGGTGGGCAAGGCAGAGGTAAAGGAGGCGGGGAAAAGCTGGTGATTGCCTAACCGTCGTTTGCTGCGTGGGGTGGAAAGGCCAGGAATTAGTTCCAAAGTAGAAGCTACGGCAAGGCGCGCTATCACGTGTCTATTTGGCGACCCCAGACATGGACTACGCATGCGGGTGGGGCAGGCGCATCAATCTGGCCCCTAAGTTGGTCGTGCGCGGAATACGACGCCGACTTTCTTACCGCGTGGGCAACTCCAGACTGCAATTATGGATTTCCTCAAATCAGCGGTAGCATCCGCAATCTCAAAAGGCCCGGCATTTGGGTACACGTTTGGAGACCGTGTCGACTTGAATGACTCCATCTGGACACTACACAACGGCACAAAGCGAGTATGGCCCGGATGTCTGTAGACACGTGGATGGTTGCTAACATCAATCTACCCTGCTAGGAAGATGGTTCCAAGTGTAGCATATTCTCCTTCGACATTACCGCCAACAAGTCTCGGCTGCCCCTCGCCCGCAATGCGCTCCGCAAGCTACGAACGCTGCGGCACCCTGGCGTCGTAAAGGTCTTGGATACGGTAGAGACGGACACATACATTTACATTGCGACCGAGCGACTCAGCCCATTGAGCTGGCATGTCAAGCGAAAGAGCCTGACAGAAGAGACGACAAAATGGGGCCTACACAACATCGCCAAGACGCTCAAGTTCATAAACGCCGATGCTTCGTCAATACACGGTTGTATTCGCGCAGCCTCGATATACTTTAGCGAAAGTGGAGAGTGGAAACTTGGCGGTTTCGATGCGCTGAGTTCGGTGAAAGAGGATGACTCGGTATTACCCACGTACGGTGGTCTCATACCAGACGCAGGCCGATTCATGGCGCCCGAAGTTTCCAAGGGAGGATGGGAAGTGGTGAAGCAGAACCCGACACATGCTGTGGATGCGTACAACTATGGCATCCTCATCTTTGAGTGCTTCAATGGCGGCTACAACAGCAGTGAACAACTAGGGCAAATGAAGAGCATCCCTCCAACCATGCACCAGTCGTACAAACGCCTCCTCAACCCGAATCCAAAGTCGCGCATGAGTGTTGGTCAGTTTCTCGACCAGGGCATGCGAATAGGAGGCTTCTTTCGGACACCGTTGATTCAGGTTACTGAGGACATTGACAATCTAGGTCTAAAAGCCGAAGATGAGCGGAATGAATTGCTTGGGTTAGTGTAACCCAGCTCGTCGTCTCTACACGTAGACTGACACCTTACAGGCAGCTTGATGCAGTTGCAGACGACTTCCCAGCCGAATTCTTCAAGATGAAGGTGCTCCCTGAACTACTCAAGTCGGTAGAGTTTGGAGGTGGGGGTGCCAAGGTGTTCAGCACAGTTATGAAAATAGGGCAAAAGCTCTCAGAAGACGAGTATGAGGCTCAAATCACGCCAGTCGTGGTCCGTCTATTTGCAAACCCAGACAGGGGGATACGAGTCTGCCTGTTGGACAATCTGCCACTTATGATTGATCATCTGCCGCAAAAGCTTGTAAACGACAAGATATTTCCACAGATGGTAAGACATAGCACAATGGCTAATAGATCCATACTAACTCTGCTAGGTCACTGGTTTCTCTGACATTGCTCCAGTCGTGAGGGAGCAGACTGTCAAAGCCATCCTTACGGTAGTGCCCAAGCTCTCTGATCGCGTTGTGAACGGCGAGCTCCTCCGCCATTTGGCAAAGACAGCAAACGACGAACAGCCTGGAATTCGAACAAATACAACAATTTGTTTAGGAAAGATTGCGCGAAACCTGGGAGCAAATGTATGCCGTTTTCCCGATCCGATCTTGTTCAGTAGAATACTAATATTCTGAAAGACTCGAGCCAAAGTCCTCGCGGCCGCATTCGCACGCTCACTACGGGACCCTTTCGTTCATGCTCGGAATGCTGCACTCTTGGCCCTAGCCGCGACTGCCGATCTCTTCAGCGAGGACGACTGCGCGACGAAGCTGCTTCCGATCATGTGTCCGTCTTTAGTCGATAAGGAGAAGCTCATTCGGGACCAGGCGCAGAAGAGCGTTGACATCTACATTGCCCGCATCCGAAAGTTCGCTGCCACTATGCCTGATACAGTCCTCCCATCGCCAGGTCTCGCTACTGGTGGAGGACCTACACCCCGCATGGGAACGCCTGCGAACGATACTTCATGGGCTGGCTGGGCCATTTCGAGCTTCACAAACAAATTAGCATCAACGGCCGGACAGATACAGGCTGGGTCAACCAACGGAGCAGCAGAGCAAAGGTCGTCTTCAGTACCACCAACTACGTCAGCCAACAAGCCACCAGTTCCGCTAGCAACGAAACCAGGAATGCAACTGCACAGCGCCAAAAGCACCGCTTCTATACCTACAATCAAATCGCCTGATACAACAGCGTTCGACGACAAGGCCGAAGTTGAGGACTTTAACAACGACTGGGGTGGCTTTGCTGATACTGCTGCTGATGAGGAGCCCATGGCTCACGACGAAGATGAGGACCCTTGGGGTGCACCAGCTGTATCAAAGCCGACAACCGCGACCTCATATGACGACAAAGGCGAGCCTGACTTTGCAGGGTGGTTAGCAGCACAGTCAAACGCGAAGAAGACAACCAAGAGCCCTCTGCCAAAAGGTCTTACGAAATCAACATCGCCAGCAGCCAAAGCAGCGAGGCCAGTGGTTGGAGCGCGATCAAGTACGACAGGCTCAACGAGAAAGGTTGTTGCAGCGCCAAAGAAGGAGGTCAAAAAGGAGACACCGAAACCCAAACCAGCTGAAGAGGATGAGGAAGCAGAAGGATGGGGTGATGCTTGGTAGTAGTTGCGTGTCTTGTAGATGATGTCGATTGTTTAGCATAGCGACGGTGTCGTCTAAGATGGATTGCTCATAGATTTCGTTTCATTGCCGTCCTACTCTTTCCGGACAAACTTCACGTCTAGAATTACAGTATGTCACATTGGCCAGTTTTCATTCTCATCAGGTCTCTACACTTTCTTCTCTTCCTTTTCCCGCTTGCCAAACGTGTAGGCCAACCCACAGCCTACCACGTTAACAGCACAAAGTGCGAGCGAGCTTCCTCTGACAACACCGCGAACAGTGAGTTTGTTCCTGATTCCCTGGCTTGCTGTTAGGTACAGAACAATGTGATGGTTCTTGATGCAACCAAGATGGAAGAAGCAAAGAGCGTTGCAAAGAGGTTTCGAGAACATACCTGTCTTCTGCGCATGGCAAGTAATGCGTACAACCCACTCCAGGCCGCTGTTATCCCAGCAGAATCCGTCTTGTAGTTGCTCAGGTTCAGGTAGGATGAGAAGAGCAGGACGGGTGGGAACATCATGGGGAAGACCTGGAAGGGACGGGCATGTTGAGCGGTGATGAGAGTGGCGAGGAGAGTTGGGGGTACAGAGTTTTCTGGTGGACTATCAGTTGTGTCATTGTATACATGTATCGATCGATGCGCAAAGTGAGGCACGTGAGCGTAGGGAAGTATGTAACAGCCTTCAATGTTGGGAAGTGACATGGATGAACGTACCTCCCCAGTTTCTGAGCGATTGGAGCATAGAATCCTTTGCTTGTTCAGGCATTATGTTCGTTTTGTCGTGTGTACGATGAGATTGAGAATTTAGCCCAGGGTAAACAAAATGCATAGGTAAAGTGAATTGGATGGAGGAATTGGCCCAGATTCTGGATCTGGATTGAGATTTGGTAGCGGTTCAATGACGTTAGGTTCGGAAGTGGGTTGCTGGGACCCAGGACCGTCACGCTTCCGCCCGTGCCAACCCAGCGTGCAGCCAAATCCGACTCGCGAACTCCAAACAACAGATAACCACATAATACAGTACGACTTGCAGTGCAACGACACGAACGACGGACCCGCCACGACCACGACTTTTATTGTTTTACGTATCCGCGAATCCAACTGATCCCGACGCATGCGTATCGCCTGCACGATAGAAGTCGACTTTTTACACTTTTTGCGCATCTCGGGGGGCTTTCCCAGCGAGCCCGCTGCCCGCCCGGCAGCCATATAAATCTCTCTCTCGACAAGAACCTCACAAACGGATTCCGCTCGTATACACAAATACACGGAAGCATCTCCGCGGCACACGAACAACCACCGGAAAATGTCAGGCAAGACGTCAGGCTCCGATGCAAAAGGGCGAGACCACCACGACGGCAGCGCAGGCCGCGCCTTCACCGTCGAGCAAAAAGCCGCAGTAATACGAATCAAGCAGTGCGCACCGACGGCCTACTATAAGATTCTGGGACTTGAAGAAGTAAAAGCCACGTGCTCGGACTCTGATATCAAGAAGGCGTACCGCAAACTCTCGCTGCTTACGCATCCGGATAAGAATGGGTATGATGGCGCGGACGATGCGTTCAAGTTAGTTAGCAAGGCGTTCCAGGTGCTCAGCGACCCGGATAAGAAGAAGAAGTACGATCAGTTTGGGTTGGATCCTGATGCGAGGTTTGACCCGCGGGCTGCGGCGGGGGCCAATGGTGGTGGTGGGGGACCGAGTCCGTTTGGCAATGGGTTTGCGAGGAGAGGAGGGGGTGGGTTTGGGGATGAGGAGATGACGCCTGAGGAGCTGTTTAGACAGTTCTTCGGTGGTGCGTTTGGGGGTCCTTTTGGTACGTTGCTGAGATGTGAAGCCTAGGCTTACACAATGCCATTCCGCGGAAGACTCTTTGGGAAACAAGCATACTAATACAACACCAGGCGGCATGGATACGGGTCCCGGTTTCGTCTTCAACCTCGGCGGCGGCCCCGGCGTGCGCGTTCACCAATTCGGCGGCGGCTTCCCACAACGACGCCCCCGCACAGCCGCACCCCCAAACGGCTCAGAGCCCCAAAACATTAGCTCCGCCTTGACCAACCTCCTCCCACTCCTCTTCCTCTTTGTCCTCCCCCTCCTCTCCTCCTCCTCTCCGGCTCCTCCACAACCGCAGCCGGCCCTTCGCTCGTCTTCGAAACCCCCCGCACGCCAAACACGATGAAGCGCGTCTCCTCGCGCATAAAAATAGACTACTTTGTCGACCCAAAGGACGTGCAGGATTACACACCTAAGAAATGGCGTAAACTCGACGAGGCGGCCGAGAACCAGTACGTCTCCATTACCAACACGAGGTGTCAGACGGAAAAGTTTAAGCAGAGGAAAGCCATGGAAGATGCGCAGGGCTGGTTTAGCGTCGACACGGAGGCGATGAATAAGGCCAGGAATATGGAGTTGAAGAATTGTAATAAATTGAGAAAGTTGGGATTGGAGGTTTATGGGCAGTGATTATGATTAATTGATTAAAGTCTCTGGGGGTGGATGAATAGTTGTTTGTATGATTGGAATGATGGGGGTGTCGTGGTTTGGTGTACGTATGGCTTTCTTTGCGCCGTTGTTGTCTTGCTGTCTTGGTGGGACATCTGCGGCGGCTTCGTGCTGGGGAGGTTCCAGATGCTCGCATGGCGTATACGGCGTTTTCGATAACGAAGGGTCGAGCAGATAATGTTGTTTTCTTGTGCTCCCTGTTGTTCTCTTCTTATAGATAGATATATCCCATCGAAGCCACGCACGCCGTCTACAAAGGCATTTATCCTGGAATGTCCTTGGATCCATAATGCTGTGTGTCGTTTGTTACATATAATACAAGTATCTAATCATCTCAAACATATATATTTACAACATCTCATCATCATCATCATCACCAAAAGTCCCTAAAACCCCCAAAACCTCAAAACCCTCATCTTAACCCCCTCCCAACTATTCAACTTGGGCCTAACATCCAGATAGAAATTCAGCGCCTTTCCCTCCTTCTTCTCATCCTTGCCCGCATAGAAATCAATCACATATTCTACTTTTGTCCCGCAACGATCCACAACCCAGTCGTGGCGATCAAACGGCGCCTGATAGCCCATCAGACTCTTCCATCTCGCTCTCGGCGTCAAACTAGTGCTCAGCCCACTAAAACTCGCCAACTTGGGTCCACCGCAGGCTTCAGCGCCGCGGCCGCGCTCCCAGCCCTTGATCTCGTGCCAGGCGCGCTCATTGACGGCGTTGTGGATGGGGACTATGGTGCGCATGTCTGGGGCGGAGGGGTCGTAGGCTTTGCGTCGCATGGCATCGAAGAACATTTGCTCGGACGGGTAGATCCAGTTACCTGTTTTCTTGTCCGCGCCCGTGTCGCGCTCGTTGTTTGCGGGGCGGGCGCTGGGGGCGTCGGGGAGGGCACGCGGGATGGTGCTGACTTCGCGGTCGGTGCCAAGTCGGATTTGGGAGAGGATGCCTGTGCTTGTGGGTGGCGGGGATGTGGTACTTTGGTCTAGGGAGGAGGAGTCGCAGGATTGTGGGACGGCGGGTTTTGCTTGTGAAGGTGCTGGCGGGGCGACCGGGGTGTTATGAAGGTTTGTAGGCGCATTGGTATTTTGGGCGCGGGCTTGGGCGAGCCATGCTTCGCGTGTTTTGTGGTCGATGGGACAGGCGGCTGCTGGGTCGTCTTGTGAAGACATTGTGCAAGTTTGGCGTGTGTGTGGGAAAGAGTCGGGATGGATTGGTGACGGCAGCGATTCGAGTCGAGAAATCTTGGGCACGGGCCTCGCGCGGAAGTTGAGATGCTGTGATTGGCTGGCTTGGATGCTATCCTTCTTTCACCGCTACGCTCACCAGGACGTGTCGATAAAGCCTCGGTCCTCAATTGAGAAGTCATCCTGGTAAATCAAATAATTGGGAATGCCCTTCTTTACCCCATTAAGCGTCGTTGAGTATTGTCTTCGTTATTGGCACCTTTCTTCCCATCTAGAACCCCACCCACTTAGACCCTGCATATAAACAGACCCCACCAAACTGTCACATTCACCGCTTTCCCGCTTTCTTTCCTTTTTGCTCTTGCAGCGAACAATCTATCAAACTTGCTCAAAATGTCCGACATGCACCGTGCCAGCACTACTGCTCCTGTCAACATTGCCGTGATCAAGTACTGGGGAAAGCGCGACCCGAAGCTCAACCTTCCTACCAACTCATCCCTTAGCGTTACCCTCGCGCAGTCGGATCTCCGTACGCACACGACCGCGTCGTGCTCGTCCACCTACCCAAAAGAAGACACGCTTCTCCTCAACGGCCAATCGCAAGATGTGTCTGGTGCTAGGACACAGGCATGCTTCAGGGAGCTCAGGGCGCTGAGGAAGCAACTCGAGGACAAGGACTCTAGCCTGCCCAAGCTGTCCGAGCTTCCCCTGCGCATTGTTTCCGAGAACAACTTCCCCACTGCTGCTGGACTGGCTAGTTCGGCAGCCGGTTTCGCGGCTCTCGTCCGCGCGATTGCGAACCTCTACGAGCTTCCTTCTTCGCCAACGGACCTCTCCCGCATTGCGAGACAGGGCTCTGGCTCAGCGTGCAGGTCGCTCTTTGGTGGATACGTAGGCTGGGAGCAGGGCTCCGCCTCGGATGGAAGCGACAGTGTTGCTTTCCAGGTGGCACCCGCGAGCCACTGGCCCAACATGCGTGCCGTTATCCTAGTTGTCAGTGCTGCAAAGAAGGGCGTGTCGAGTACTTCGGGTATGCAGATTACGGTCGCTACATCCAGCCTGTTCCAGTCGAGAGCTACGGAGACCGTCCCGCGCCGCATGAAGGAGATGCAGAAGGCTATCCAGGACAAGGACTTTGAGACTTTCGGCAAGGTCACCATGATGGACAGCAACTCTTTCCATGCCACATGTCTCGACACTTTCCCTCCCATCTTCTACCTCAACGATGTCTCAAGGGCGGCTATCAAGGTCGTTGAGAGCATCAATGCGGCAGCAGGCAAGATCATTGCTGCGTACACGTTCGACGCTGGTCCAAATGCTGTCATCTACTACCTCGAGGAGAACGAGAAGGAGGTGGCGGGTCTGTTCAAGACCATCTTGAACGAGAAAGATGGTTGGCAGGGCGCGAGGGGCCAGTCAGTCCAGGCAAATGCCGAGGCACTGGAGAAGGTCAAGTTTGAGGCTGGACCAGCTATCGCATTCTTGGAGGAGGGTGTTAGCAGGGTTATCTTGACTGGCGTTGGCGAGGGTCCTATCAAGACCGACGAGAGCTTGATTGACGAGAAGGGCGAGCCTGTTAACAAGGCTTAGAGCACTCGCTGGAGGTAATACTGTGAGAAACGATGAAGTACTTGTGAAGATGAATTAGATAGGACCATGTAGGCCACTGCAAAGTAGGCGATAGACAGCTGAAATGGTACAGTCGGTGCATGCTTGACTCCAAAACGACAGAATGTGCAACTGAAACAAAGGCATTCACACCATGGTATAAGCCCACCAAGTACTCAATGCAACGCCCAAAACAACCAATACCAGCAACAAGGGGAAATAGCACAGGCTTAGTCCAGAGCAACAGCCAGGACAATGATTACGAGTACAATGGCAAGGATGAGCAACAGAATGCACGCCTTACTTCTGGCGCTCTTCTGGTAGTTGCTCGCCTGTTTGAGATTGATGTGTGCGCCTCGCGACGCATCGTGTGTAGTGTCGACGTTCTCCTCGATGATGTCGAGCTGGGCACCTTGTTCATGCACCATGTGGGCGACATCACGGAACAGCTCGTTGAGCTCACCGACCGACTGCTCGATGTTACGGATCTCAGACTCGCGCTCGATAATGAGCGATTCCTGGAAGTCAACTTCGTCCTGGTTTGCCAAGCGCAGCTGTTCCTGCTCCTGCTGCTGTCCAAACTCTCCTCCCCGCTCGTCGCTTGGCGATGATGCGTCTTGCAGGGCTGTGCGTGCCGCTTGAGCCGATTGCTTCTCCTTCTCTAAAGCCTGCTTCTGGAGGTGCTGGAACTCTGTGAGGGTGGCTTTGAACTCGCGCTGGAGCTTGGACTGGGTGAACTTTTGCGAGGGCTAGAGTGGTGTGTTAGTTGTTGCTGATAGTGAAAGGGACATGGGTTCATCGTACCCCGACATCGGGCCATGTTGTAATCTTCTTGAGGCCCTCACCCAGCTCTTTGAACTTGTCTGATGTCTCTTCGACTGTTGTCTTGACACGCTCGCGCACACGGGCTGTCTCGTGCTTGGTCCCTAGCTTGGCCGTCTCTTGCGATAGGCGGGCTACGTTGCGTGTGAGGGCGAAGAGGTCGTCGGAGAGCTTTGTAGCAAAGTCGCGGAACTCGGGGTCATCGGCGTATGATGCATCGTCTTCTCGTCGCCAGGTCGTGGGCTGCGATTCGAGGGCGCTGGAGCGTTGGAACGACATGGTGCTGGATAAGGGAAACAAGGCAACAATATGCACCTTTCGAAGAGAATAGCGGGAATGAAAAAGCTACGCGATCGAGGAAATAGCTACGGCAGCCTATATACGTCCAATTGTCGGTGCCTGGGGTTGGGTTACTACAGGTAGTGTTCCTGCGACGATGACGAACACCCGCGCGGCACAGGGCAGGCACGGGCACATGGCACAAGCGGGTCCGGGTCTTAGGTAAGCGTGCAGCCTCGCCGATCCAATGTTTGTTGCTACCAAAGGTTGAGCGGCCTTTCACGGCTGCAAGCTGCATTCGGCTGCAAGCTATACTGACAGTTACCTTTTTCGCCCCGCCTGTCGCATTCAACTGGCGCGAGTTCCGTTCTTTAATGCTTGCTATGAAATAGCTGCTTTTCCTCACCAATACGCTCTCTCTCTTGTCCGCAACCATGGCGCTCGCTCCAGTGCGCCCATACCGCGACTATCTGACGCCAGCTCTGCACCGAAGATTCAATAAAGCCAGCAGATATACGCTGTTGCTGTGTTATATCATCGCGTTATGGATGGGCCAATGGGATAACTGCAAGTTCATGGCTCGGTCAGGACTCAGTCGTGTATGCTAATGATTATCCAGTTCTGTGGCTTTGTTTCCCATTAAGCCTCACGGGCATTCGCACCCTTCTCCTCTTCCTCTCCGCCATTACCATTTACGTCCTCCGTGTTGCGCAATGGCATGTCGGCAAGCGCCACACTGAGACGCGAGCAGAAACCTTTAAGAAATACTTCTTCCGGGTGTCGACGCTCGTGACTCTCTTCGCCTATAGCTTCTCCGCCATGATGTTCGTCGAGACATATATTTGGTCGCGGGGTCCAAAAGACAGGCTGAACTTCATCGAGGCTGGGCGCATGCACGAACGATATAGGCTCAACGAGCGTCCGTTGTACCTGCGGTCGCTGTTCTACATGCTGGCTGCGGTGCAGTCTGCCGTACATCTGTGGAAGGACTACGACACCATTGACGTGCCGGCTATGAAGCCCGAGAAGAAGCACGGCGACGCGACAGGATCGGGACCAGCGCGACGGGCACCCAAGCCCAGGCATGTCCTTCCAAAGCAGTTCAAGGGCATGGCTTTTCAGTCGAGCTTCCTTACTGTAGTCATCGCCATACTGGGAGGTCTACTCTATTTCACATTGGCACGTCACGTAGTCTGGGGCTACTACTACAGCGTCGGTCGATACCTCTGGAGCTTATCCAAGACCTCTACGCCGACCGGAATAGCTCCTTTCTTGCCTTTATGCTTCATGTTCCTGACAGAGGGTACGCTGCTTGTTTTGCTCTGGGAGTTTGTCAACAAAACATTTGACATATATATGGCCCAGGAGCCGCTGAAGAACGACCAACCAATCACGAATGACTCAAAAGACCCCAACGGTTCTCTACTCCAGGGGCTTAAGTCGAAGAAGGATACCGTCAAGGCAAGGAGCACCGCATTCTCTAGAGCTTCTCAACCTAACAGATTACAGGCAATCGCATTCTGGGAGCTGGCCCTCATCACCGATGCTTTCCCTGACCGCCGCAAGACCATCTACAGCGAGATCGATCGCAGCAAAGGGGCCACTTTCAAGCAAGCTACGGATCGCTGTCTAGATGAAGTCAAGTTCCTCACCCACCGCATTAGTACTGCCCTAGACCCTACATACAACCCCCCTGCTGGAGACGGAAAGGAGCAACCAGCCGTGCCCGTTAACCTGGTACCACGGATCTCGCAACCACCAAAGGATGACACGGCCGTCACTGCTGTAGCACCGATACCCAGCACCGGTCTAGGACACTTCAAGGCAGCAGTGGCCGGTCTCGCAAACTCACACAGCACCCCGGGCAACGCACAGCACGCGTACAGCCGGGAAGCCATCAGACAAGGAGTCAAGAAAGCACAAGAAGGCGCAAAAGAGGTAGGGGGCCTCTGGACAAAATACTACAACATGTTTGTTTCCGCACCCGTTGGCGCACTGTTCCGCTATTCTCTCGCCCGCACATGCAACATTGTAGTCCTCGGTGCGCCTTATTCACGCATCTCACTCATCTGCAACGCCATCACCGCTGTGGTGAACCTCGCTGTCCTCTCCATCACAGAGGATGCCTTCGGTCGCTATCACCAGTGCGTCCCAGAGATAATTCGCGTCTTTACTTCGGCGCTCGTCAAGCTAGATGAGTACATGGAAACAGTACCTATCCACTGGAGCGACAAGGAGACACTGGAGAAGGACGAGGCAGATAGGAGAAAGGTGGCCGAGGTGGAGGAAGTCAGGGCCTGTTTGAGGGAGGGCCTGAAGAAGGTGTTGGGTAGCTTCATCGAGTATCTTCCTAATTTGGGCATGAATAGATTGGAGATTATGGATGCAAAAAAGGCGCTTAGTGCGGCGAAGAAAGAGCCGGAGATGATTGAGAAGGGTGGTAGATGATTGCTAATGGCAAAAGGGAAAGTTGGATGTAGTAAGAAAAAAGGTATTGTAGATTTTTGTGTAATCCAATCTACATGATTAAGGATATTGAGTATCTATATCGCTTCTTCTCTTGTTCTTTTTCTAGTTCTTGTTCTTGTTCTCCATGCTTCCTAATCCGACCAAAGACAAGGCTGACACAACACCGTTTCCTCGTCCATCCCTCTCCCCACTTATCCACTCCACTCCGCTACCATGGCACAAAGCATAAGTGGGGCGGCCCATCGGATCTCAAGTTCCGAATAGAAGCGAAGAAAAGCCAAGGCTAAAGAGTCTAAAACAGAAAAACATGTCATGTCATGCATAGTTTGTGTTGGCTTGGTAACTTGATGCATGCATGTGTATGTGGGGAGGACGGGAAGTGGGAAATGGGAAGTGGGAAAGTGGGAAAAGTAGCGGTGGCGAGTCAGTCAGTCGGGATAACAACACGCGTATGCCGTATGCGGGATGGGATGAATGCCGTATGCGGGATGGGATGAATGAGGCGTGGGTTTCACCTTGTCAGCATGGTACTTGATACTTATGGGAATCCTATCATGGCAAATTCCAATTTCAATCACTGTCACACTGTCATATCACATCATCACATCAACTAAAACAGTCTCATTTGTTCAAAAAAACACAGAAGGGAGGCAGGAAATCATAGTCAGCGATTGTTATGGAAGCATCATAGAGAGGCTGCCGGAGGAGACACACGCAGGTCGCAAAACAAGAGCACCGATTATTAGAAAGATCCTACCATTTGCTCAATCTCAATCCACACGCTCTGCAGAAGATAACCCCATCATGAACTACCCCAAGATGATGTACGGTCCAAACACACAGAAGATCCAGCACAGTAACGCCTCGTATAGGTGCCGTGAGGTCATGGCCTTGGCAGGCCCGAGATTCGACTCTCTGCTACCTCGAGCGGCCCTTCACGTCTTGCCTCCTTGTCAGATAGACCCCTGTTACACACCCGGTAGCCGCTACATGTTGTTCTTGTCCAGGCTCAACAAGGCGCGGTTGCGGCGGTACTTCACCTACAACCTTGCCGCGCTTACAAGATCAAGCACTTCTTGGTCTTCTTCTCTTTCCGGGTCAGGAGAGCAGCCCGGGTGGCGTGCTCGAATACTTCTCGGACGCCTTCGTTGGTCTTTGCCGAGCACTCGAGGTACTTCTGGGCACCAATCTTCTTGCGCACATCCTCTGCCTAGGGGGGAGTTAGGGGGGTATGTAATGAGAGGGTGAGTGGCAAAAGACTGACCTGCTCGGGTGTGACGGGCTTCTGCGAGGTCTTGTGTAGCTCCTCAATAGTCTTCTGGTCGAAGCGCAAATCCTTCTTGCAGCCTACGAGGATGATGGGAAGGCCCTGGCAAAAGTGCAGAACCTCGGAGATCCACTGTAGGTGTTTGTTAGTTTAACCGTTGGTACAAGCCTCGTGATGCAGCTCGCGTACCTTCTCCTGGACATTGTCGAGCGAATCGGGCGAGTCGATGGCGAAGCAAATGAGGATGACATGCGAATCGGGGTAGGACAGAGGGCGGAGACGGTCGTAATCTTCCTGGCCGGCGGTATCCCAAAGGGCGAGCTCAACGTGCTTGCCGTCAACTTCGACGTCGGCGACGTAGTTCTCGAAGACAGTGGGGACGTAGACCTGGGGGGCAAGAGCGTCAGTGAGTGCGTCATAGCGCGAGATGGTGAGGGTTGGGGAGTGCTATGCTGCGAATGGGGACCAGCTAGGCTGACGCGGCTCAGGGACGCAGACTCGGTGCGCGGCAGTTACTAACCTCGGGGAAGGTGCCCTTGGAGAAGACACTGTAGTCGAGAGCAGGTTAGCAAAGGCATCGGTCAGGGTGAAAGGCGTGTTTGCGGCGTGGATAGGCGCGGTGCAAAAGGACGTACATGAGCAGACAGGTCTTTCCACAGGCGCCGTCACCGACAATAACAAGCTTTCGTCGAATCTCGGCCATGGTGCTGAATGTGTGATGGTGGTTCTGAAGGCAGCTTCTTAGTAAGAGATCAAGTGGGATGCAGGTATGGTGTCGAAGCTGGAGTGCAGATGGAGGTGGACTGGCGGTGATTGAGGTTGGAGAGCAGCGGCTTCAGGGTGTGTTATGGCTAGGCACCATGGCCGCAACGGGGGTCGTGCTGCAACAACTGCGGCTGAGCAGATGGTTGCGCCACTCGGCGCTTTGGCGATTGTGGCCTAGGCTGAAGACGAGTGAAGCTGAGTGTCACGTACCTGGACAAGTCGGCCTGAGTTTGGATGGATGAGTTACAGTGGCAGGCGGAGAGAGTGGTCGATTGTTACAAAGTAGTGTTGCCGAGAGAAGAGGAGGCACGGCGCGATTAGCTATCTGCTGCTTCAAGCGCCTTGCTACTAACCCACACGGTAACCCACCCATGCATACGCCGGGGCCGTCACATGGCAACGACGGACAAGACGACTGACTTTACCCACGCCTCTGCATTAATGCCCGCGATGGCGACGCCATGATGCCTACTCTCGTTGAGCCCAGCAGGGCCTGCGAGAGGTGCAGACGTGCAGACTTGTCCGCAACAAGGGTTTCAGGCCTGGTTATGACAGCTCGCCTGCCCCCGTCTTCCTTGTTGGACTACTCATGCATGTTCCCTAGGTTACCATGCTCTAACCCTCTAACCCACGACCCTAACGAGTGCCAACGTCGTGGACCAGTGCCATGTAAAGCCTTGTGTAAACTGGACGCGCGCCTCTTGCAAGCCTGACACCGGGCGTGCACCGTCGAGTCTTGAGCCGTCCGCAGATTACATGGACGTGCCACGCAAAAGCAAAAGCAAAAGCAAAAGCAGGGCCACTACCATCATGTCTCCTCATCTCTGGAGATGTGACTTGATCACGTGCAGGCCGCAGGAAATGACCTTCACCACACTACATTATTCAAACTGAATCAACGCAAACCTCCCCATTATAAGTATTCTGCGTGATAGTGGGCCCGGAGATAACAGCGGAAATACAGTCATACGCCCTTTGTCTTCGTCGCGCTTCATCTGGATTCCAGTTCCAAGCCAGGTCTGGGGTAACTGGAAACACCTGGGCAATACAAAATACTTGACACGCTAGTGTACAGAGTCTACTATAGGCGCCGGACACGTCTATCAGGAGGAATACCTAACAGACTTTACCCACATTGTCAAGTACCGTACAGTATTCTACGTCACCCTGTGGTAACGTGAGTTGGCGAGGCGTGGCTGCAGGGCCGCAAGTGGCGGGGCAGACGGGCAGACTAGAAGCTCTCCCGGTTCCATGATGCATCCAACGGCCAACGGTACCGACGCAGTGCGCGCCTCTACCACAATTTCACTGCCTTTGCGAAGCACGCTTTGTTTCTTTCATTGACTTTCTGTCTGCTCTTCTTAGCCTACTTAATACATTCCCCTCCAAGCCCCGCCTGCATTAGCCTCAACTCAACTCCACACGGCAGACACTCGACGACTCAAATCGCAGCCTAGAGACGTGTGCCACTTCAACAACATGGCCGACCAACAGCCAGACCAAGCTCCGCAGCCGGAGCAGCAGGACAGCGCCATGCCAGATGCTGCCCCCGCTCCCGCTCCCGCCCCAGCTCCTGCGCCCGACGCCATGTCCGACGCCGATAAAGTGAGCTCACAAAGTGCCAGCCGCGCGCTCAAGAGATCTGCTGCTGACGACGACATTACTCAGATTCGCGCAAAGCGTCTTGCAAAGCTCGGCGGCCCCGCATCGTCGAATCCCCCCTCACGACCCTCCTCAGCCGCCCCAGATGCTGCCTCGTCCGGCGCCTCATCTCCAAAGCCAGCCGAATCACAGCCCCCAACGCCGAAACCCCAGCCCCAGACCCAGACCACTGCGAACCCTTTCTCGCAATTAGGCATCAAGGCCGACGAGGCGCCTAAGAAGCGCATCACCATCAAGCCTGCTCAGCCGTCAAGCAGCACGCCCGCCCAGAAGCCCCAGGAACTAAGCATAGAACAATGGGAAGACCGGACTCTCAGCAACATCTTCCGGATAACGCTGGATGAAAGCCACACACAAGATGCCCATGGAGGCAAGCTCCACTACGTCGCCAATGCAAAGAGCGACCTGGAAGATGAGGGGAGGCCGATTCGTCTTTCGACAGACATGCTAGACTCTGTCATTTTGGAAGCGGCCTCAAGTCAGGCACATGGCTCAGCATTGGAATATCTGCTGAGCTGCTGGAAGCGTTTGTCCAGGCTGTTAAAGACTACTACCAACAAGACTGGTCCGAGATTTGAGGTTGTCAAGGAGGCTCGGAGGCTATGCTTCAGCTATTGTATATTCGCTGCAACTATGCCAGATATGTTTGGCGAAGACACCCCCGCAGAGAACGCTCTAGCCGACCGTCTCCTTCTCGGGCCCGACGATGAACGCGGTATCTGCTACGAATTTCTTACCGAAGCTAGTCAACGGATAGGCGAAGACGATATGATTAGGGAAGCTCTTGTCGGTGCTATGGAGGAAGTGAGCCGCCGACTTTCCAGTGTTTCCATGAATGGAGACTATAGGCCACACATGTTGATACTCCGGGTATTCGTTCGCTTCCCACCGCTAGTCGCTGCCCTGGCCAATTCTAACACCTTCCTGCCCGTGAACATCGAGGCCCAAGACATTGAAACACACAGCCTCTTGGGGCCCTTCTTCCGCCTCTCCCCCATGCAGGCGGAAGTAGCCATGAACTACTTCGCTGGCTCGTCAGCCATCGACAGGGGTCTCATCGCAAACGCTCAACGCGCCGTCCGCATGACACTGCAAACCCACCAAGAGGAACTGTTGGATATTACGAACACTTTCATCAAGAATAAGGAGTCTCGTGAGAAAATGCTGGACTGGCTAGCCTTGACAGTCAACAAGAACCACAAGCGACGTGCCATGCAAGTAGACAGGAAGCTAGTTTCGTCTGATGGTTTCATGGTCAATGTTACTGTCATCTTAGATCGCCTGTGTGAGCCCTTCATGGACGCCACATTCTCCAAGATCGACCGCATCGACATTGACTACCTGCGTCGGTCGCCTCGCGTTAATATCAAAGACGAGACCAAGATCAACGCCGACCAAAAGACCTCTGATGACTTCTACAGCACCCAAGTATCTGGTACAAACAACTTCATCAGCGAAATCTTCTTCCTAACCGTGGCTGCTCACCACTACGGTCTTGAAGCGGCAAACGCGAAGCTGAGCTCCTTGCAAAAGGATGTCAAATGGCTCGAAAAGGAACTCGCTAAGCTTGAACCTGAGCGACCCAAGTATATGGGAAATCCAGCTCAACTTATCCTGTTCGACAACCATATCAAGAAGGTCAAGGATCAGATCGAGCGGGGCAAGTGCAGCATACTAGCCATCCAGGGTGTATTGCTGGATGAGACAATGCAAGCTCGATCTATGCAACTGATGCGCTATGTCATCGTATGGCTACTACGACTCACTACTCCTGGTTTCCCCAAGACTGAACTACAGCTACCTCTGCCAGCAGAGCAACCGATACAGTTCAAGTGTTTACCTGAATACTTTGTTGAGGACATCGTGGGTAACTTCAAGTTCATCACTCGCTACATGCCGCACATCATCACAACAACACAGTGCGAGGAGCTGGTCAAGATTTGCATCGCTTTGTTGCGGAGCTCCGAATACATCAAGAATCCGTACCTAAAGTCCGGCCTAGTAACCATCCTGTACCATGGAGTATGGGCCATTCCAGGAAGACCAAAAGGTGTGCTTGGTGACACGCTGTTTGCGCACGACTTCGCAATGAAGCATCTGCTGCACGCACTCATGAAGTTTTACATTGAATGCGAGAGCACAGGAACACATACGCAATTCTTCGACAAGTTTAACATTCGTTACGAGATCTTCCAGGTCATCAAATGTATCTGGCCAAATCCCGTCTATAGGGAGCACCTTGCAACCGAAGCACGCATCAACCTGGACTTTTTCGTTCAGTTTGTCAACTTGCTTCTCAATGACGTGACGTTCGTCTTGGATGAATCATTCACGGCATTTAAGGAGATCCACGACCTTTCCAGGGAGCTGAAAAACGCCCCGGCAGACATGGATCCGACGGCGCGTCAAGAGCAAGAAGAGAAGTTGACATCGGCCCAAAGCAAGGCGAAGAGCTACATGCAGCTGACAAAGGAGACCGTTGCCATGTTGAAGCTGTTTACTGAGGCACTGGCTGATTCTTTCACCAAGAAGGAGGTCGTTGTACGACTTGCACACATGCTGGACTACAACCTGGAGGCTCTGGTGGGGCCCAAGAAGTCCAACCTTAAAGTTGAAAACCCCCAGGAGTATGGCTGGGACCCGCGTGAAATGCTGGCAGAAGTCACTGATGTTTACCTCAATTTGCAAGACAAGCAGTCTTTCATTGACGCAGTAGCTACAGACGGACGCTCGTACCGCGCAGAGTACTGGGATGAAGCCTACAAGATCTTGCAGCGCTTCAAGCTCAAGACACCTGAGCAGATGGAGCAGTGGCAGAGCATGGCGGAGCGCATCAAGACAGCCAAGGACCAGGCCGATCTAGAAGAGGCAGATCTTGGTGACATCCCCGAGCAGTACGAGGACCCTCTCATGGCCTCGCTCATGGAGGATCCCGTCACTCTTCCCATCAGCAAGCAGATTGTCGACCGAAGTACAATCCAATCGCATCTCCTCAGCGATCCACACGATCCTTTCAACCGTACTCCACTCAAAATCGAAGACGTCATTCCCAACGACGCTCTCCGGGAGGAGATTCAGGCCTGGAAACAGAATCGCTTGGCACAAAAGATGGCCGAACGCAACGCTGCTACTGCGCCGCCTGCTGAAGCCATGGATACTTCCATGTAGCTTTTCTGTACTCTCTTGGCATTATAGGCGTTCTGCAGATGGTGGAATCGTATGGGTCTTTTGCATGGAGGTGTACGGGCGGAGCATGCACGGACGGACTTGGGATATGTATCTGGGATAGAGGTGTATGGGCAGAGCATACCATAAGAGACCCCCACTGTATTCTTCACTATTGATGGAAAGACGGCAGTACAGATGGGTTTCTATCTATTCATCGTTACTACTATTCACGATCCGATACGTTGTGAGAAGAGACGAATATCAAGTTGATGATTCCAACGCCTATGCCTTGTGCCCTATATGCCCATTCTGGGTTCTTTTTTTCCACGCTAATAATACACCCGTACCTATATACACAAGAAGATCCAAAATATGTACCTGAAATAGCCCGCTATTGTCTACATCAGCACCAAAAGTGACGCTCCCATGACACCAATCATAAGCAGAAGCGGTGCAGCATACACACCCGCACCACCCTGCTGATCCTGTGCCTTTGCCGCAGATGTAGTCGCCGCCCCCGAATTCTGCGGCGCCATACTTCCCGCCGCAGTCGTCGTTGCCACCGTCCCATTCCCACTTCCACTGCCAGCCTCAGTACCCGCCACACCGTCCACACCCTCAACCTTGACCCCAAACCCCACCCTACTCTTCTCAAAATCAAAAACAGTGTACACGTTCTTCAAAAACACATCCCCAACCAACCACTGCGCCTCGCCAAACGTCTGCCTTCCCACAACATTACTCCTACAGACCTTGCCCTCGGCATCCACTTTCTCGCCCACCCAGTCCGCAGTTGAGATGTTGTAGTTTTGCTTGTTGAACGAAAATTGAATGACCGCGCTGGTGTCGCAAGGGACGAAGAAAGTTTCGCCGTTTTGACTGTATCCCTTTATCTTCTGGTGGATGGCGAGTGCATCGGCGGGCGGAAGGAGGATAAACGACGTGCCCGTATCAATAATCGCAGTGCGGGGGCCCGCCAAAGCGACATCAGCGCCTTCGACGGATGCGGCTGAAAGGGGGATTTCCCAGAACCCGGTACTGCTGGGTATGCAAGGGATGTAGTTGATGGAGCCACTGAAGCGTGCCGTATTGACAGAGCCGAGGTTTAATTCGCCGTCGAGGGCGGAGGCACGCGGGAGGTGGAGGGCGTAGATTTTGGAGGTTATAAGTGAGGTTGTGGTTAGGATGTCCATTATTTGTGGGGTTTCTGCGGAGGAAGAAGTGGAGGGGGAAGAAGTGCCACGGCCGAGACCGAGGATGCCGTCCATGGGGTAGGAGCGGAATTCAGAGGAGACGTTGGTTGCGAGGCCGAAAGTCAGGGTGGGGGATAAAGGGCCTAGGTGGAGCGTGTCTGTTGCGAGGGTTCCGCTAGAGGAGCCGGTGCCGTAGGTTATGCTGAAGGATTCGGTGGTTGTCTATGTCACAATAACTGTTAGCATTTCTATTCAAGCCTTGTATTTTCTCCAATATACTTGTGTAACCAAATGGGGGTTTGAAAATTCAAGAAACTCACCTTGAGACTAGTCGAATCCTCCTTCCCAAACAGTGTATGCGTCTTACACGCATCGGTGCTGCAATCCTGGCTCATAACCCATGTGTTGCTCGCCGCTGAATCAAGCAACATGTGGTATTCCTCTTTGCTGTCGCCGAAAGATACGGCGACCATGTAGCTTATGTCTTTTCCATCTTGGTCAATGGCCACGCTGTTGGATTGCGTGGGGTCGCGTGAGTTCACAATGTTGTAAACGTTTTGTCGGCGTGTGGGGACACGGCGGATGGGGAGGGTGAGCGAGTGTGAGTTGGAGTCAAAAGAGGTGGCATCCAGAGAGCGCGAAGATGGTGGCGCGGCGCCATTAGCGGAGGGGGAGTATGGGTAGAAAGCGTAGGTGGGGTGGAGTAACAAGGCTGAGATGGCGAGCCATGATGGTGGTGGTGTGTACATCGTATTGTAATCCGCAGCTTCCCGTCTGGTCGACAGCGCAACGACAGCGAAATTCCGGGCCCCTCCTCCTAATATACACTCTTTCTTTCTAGTCAAACCCGTCAAACTGTATATCTTTTCGGGTGACCGACGACGCGTGCTTGGTAAACCCAATCCTGAATCTGTCTCGCGACGGTGCGTAAAACGATCTGCAAGCCCAGTAAAGTTGTAACAATGAAGACCCCGTCTCTAACGAAGAAGCAAAAATGTACCACCTTAACGAAGGGTGACGGATAACTAAAAACGTAGGCTGGGAGTCGATCAAGGCTCGTCCCTTTTTGCGAAATATATTACAGTAAGGCAGTATGAACAGCGACGGAACGAATGAACAGCGCCCTCTCTCAGCCCGAGAAACGCACGAAAGGGATGATGGAAAGGAAGAAGACTCGAAGAGAAAGCTGAGAAGCAGAAACACCCGACCCCCTTCATCCGCAATCCCTCCCCCCTCTCAGCCTCATGCAAGCCGCACCCCCAACATGACGTCCCAGCTGAGTCGCGTAACCAAGAGAGCGAGCGGAGCAGACCGACTGGGCCTGGGTTCAGCTAAGCCCCTTCTAACGCAGTTTAGTGTGGGGTCTGGCTCGGTATACCAAGAGGCCGGATCTGTCCGAACGCGTGGTTTGAAACAGCGGGTGCATGTCAGGCACGCCAATCAACGGGGCAAAGGCGAGGCATGAACACGCAATCTCAGCTTTTTAGTAACCGCGTCCTTGCAACTTTGCCAGACATGACGGGGTGACCGCTCCGATTGCAGTTGTTAATAGATGAGGCGAAATGTCTGAGAGCTTCATGCATATCTTTTCTTGTTTATTTCGAGGTCATGTTTTGGCTTACAGGTAAGAGGAATTATGCATTCTATTGTATTCTTTTTATTATTATTTTGTGACTTTGTATCTACTTACTACCATCCTGTCGCTAGCCAAAGAATATTCCGCATTCCTACTGTGAGATCATTACTGCTCGCTAAGCATTACACTATCTATTCAAACTCAACAACTCTTCAACGTACCTCCGCGCATCAATGCCAATTCCCTCCCCAAGCCCCTTAGGTCCCCATCCTGCTGCCGTACCCCCCATCTTCATGTTCTGACTCTGGCCACCGCCCATACCAAGGCTACTCCACATACCATTCGCAAAACGGCTTGAAGTGCTCGCGGTACTGGAATGTGATGTGTCTCTTGCTCGTCTGACCAAAAACGCTTCCCTGAGCTCATCAGTATTGAATGGCGCTGATGTTGAAGTTTGACTTGTGAGTGTTTCGGTATCGTTGCCGCTGGGCTGAGAAGGCGGTAATCGCATCCAGACCACCCACCAGCCACGCGATGTCTTGCATGTCCGCTCTATTTCTGCGAGGTTGCGACGTGTGGGTTGGACGGTGGCTAGGATCTGCGAGTGGACGTTGAGAGCCTCGACTCTACTCCATCCGTTTCCATTGAGGCCTTCGGCTAATAGTGATCCTGGATCGGGGATATTGGGAAGACTTGAATGCACTGTGTATGTGCGGGGGTCAAAGACCAGGTCGTAGATGGGCTGTGTATTTGGGCCCGAACTGGGTCCTGAGCCACCTGTTGAGGATTCGGTGGTGAAGTGGTTGGAGACTGCGTGGAGACGTGCGGCGACATTGCCTGGCGATGTGCTTTTATCTAGAGAACGATGGAGCGGAGAGAAGAAGTTGTGAATGTCGCGGTAGAAGGATGCAACACCCAGAGAGTGGGTTCGGTGTTCGAAGAGGAAGGTATAGACAAAAGGACGATGCTGAAGTACTGTTAAAAGGTTGCTAGTATCATTTCACGGTGAAAGCTTACCACATAAACCACAGGCCGTAACCGGGATAGTTTGCCTGTGGTTGTAGACTGTACACTCATGTCCTTCTCGTATTGTGGTGTGTCGTCTGAGTCGACATCAGTTGACCCCACTGAAGAGTTTTTGCGGTTGATCTCAACATGGATTGTTCGCAGTGGTATTCGGTTGTTCCAGTCGCCCTCATCGTCTTCCCCATCGTGCACTTCTCGCAAATCACCCTTGAGCCCTACCAGAAAATAGCCATCATTCTCTAGTCGTATCTGTAGTTTCAACTTCTCTTCTGTCGGGTCTACATCAGGCGCTGGTTCGACGTAACGCATGGCTGCTGGCGAAGGTGTCCGTTCACGCGCGCGCGAAGGTGCTAGAGCTGGAGCTGGAACCGCAGGTTCAGGGGTTTCCGTCGTCTTCCTTCCACCCCATGCTGTGCCATAGCCAAGCGTCATGTATTTCATCCATGTCTCGGTGTCACCTAGAGATGCCAGCATCGGCTTAGATTCAGGTGCGGGTGCATCTGCCTGGGCCTTGTTTTCAACAGCGGCTGCTGCCTTGTCAAGGGAGTTTTCAGCAGCCTTGACGATCGGTGGAGGGATGCCCAGTGGTAGCATCGAAGCCTGGGTCGACGCAGTAAGACGCGGTCTCTCACTTCGTACAGACCGGGTTTCTGGTGTTCCTGCCTCTGGTTCAGGTATTGACTTCACGTCTCTTCTCCGCCTTTTTCTCCGATCAGAAGTGGGATTGTCGCGCACACCATAGGCATACTCGCCATGACAGTAAATGGTTTCTATCCAGTGAGAGAGATCTCGTAGCGATTTCCTGCTCACTGCCCCCAACCCTGAAAAGACGACTCCGTCTGATGCATGTACATTCCTCCCCGCTCCAATCCAAGGTCCCAGTTCCGACACTTCGAGCGTCTTCGGGTCTGGGGAAGTCTTTGCTTGCTGTAGAGGTGGGGCTTCGCCGAAGCGCGATACCATGACATCAACAAGTCCTGTTGTTCTCCGGGCAAAGTCCTCAAGCACATCACGCTCGCTGCTGCCCCACTCCTCTTCCCCCACGCCCATGCCCAACTCTCCACCCGCCGCCAGCTTCATGCCGCCATATATGTCCACTGCAGGACTTCCATGGAGAAGCACGTCCCAGCTGGCAGAGAAGCGGGACCAGTACTTGTCCAGTATACTGCAGAACTTTGTGCGACCATACTTTGCGAACATGGCCTCCATTGTTGAGCCATGATGGAGCAGGAAGGTCGATTGGGCGCGCAGGAGTTGCTGAATGAGTAGTTGAGGTGGGCTGACTTCGCGTGCCGAGTACTCAATGACGGGCTCGGTGGTATCGGTGCTCGAGTCGGTTCGCGTGAGGCCGGTGGGAGCGGGGAGTTGGGTGAGATCAATCGACTATGGTGGGATTAATCATGAACATTTCCAGCAGGCGGGTCTTGCATACAGCCAATATCCACCACCCATCTTCTAGTTCACGGAGTACGATGCGTGACTTTTGTGTTTCCACCGAGTCGACTGCTTCGCCATTGGAAAAGCTTCTGAAGTTGAGTCAGTGCCAGTGCGTGGAAGTCACGTATTGCATGTGCCCTACTTCGCAAACCCTACCATGCCCTGGGCTAGCCCAACCTGACGCAGTTTCTCGTTCTCCTCCTCGCGCAGTTCCTGCTTCCTACGCGTGTCGCCATCCTTCAGCTTGGAGCGAGCCTTGGCGGCTTTTGAGTAGTAAAAGACAATCTGCTGGTGGAAAGTCTCATCCGACGTACCGAGCGCGGGGCTGTATATGGCTAAGAAGGAGAGTTGGGCCGGAACGACCTTTGGGATTGCCGTGGACGACATTCGTGCATGCTACAAAGTGCCAGTGACAGACGCGTCGGGTAACTTAGTATGTACGTGTTGCGTCACACGTACGTAGGAGAACACGGAAAAGAAAGAATGTCGAATGTCGGCCCTGCCAACAACACCACGCCATCGCAAAACTATTTGTAGACCATGTCAACAGCAACGTCAGCCCAGGGCGATGCGGTGCATGCACAGCAAGGATACCTCCGCTTGTCGTGGTGAAAGATGCCCCACGAGATCGCGATCGTGACATGCTCTGGAGGCTCTGTGCGGCACTCACCGAACATCTTCATCCTATTCGAACCATGCTTTGGACGCTGCCAGGCCCCGTGCGCTCTTTGGCACATGTCACTCATCGCCGATACAAGTCTACGAACGCTTCACTCGGGATATCGGAACAGTTGCGCATATTGTTCTGCGGCGCCGATGAATTCAGCATTGCATCCTTGCGCGCAGTAGTAGCAGCACAACGGCATGTACCAGGTCTCATACATGACATCCATGTACTCCACCGACCAGCAAAGCCAACAGGCCGGGGGCTAAAGACGCTGAGAGAGGGTGCGCGATGACATCACACCTCCAATGAATACGGGCATCAATTGACACGATGCAGTACCCATCAAGCGAGTAGCCACCGAAGAGCTCAACTTGTCCACCCATGCAGTTGACACCTTCACAGGCTGGACTCCGCCCATTCCCATCAGCCTTATTATTGCTGTCTCCTTTGGTCTCCTTGTCCCGCCTCGCATTCTCCGTCATGCGCAATACGGCGGCTTGAATGTGCACCCTTCGCTGCTTCCAGACCTGCATGGCCCAGCCCCCATTGAACATGCCATCACCAAAGGACGCGAATACACCGGTGTCACTGTCCAAACACTACATCCGCTACATTTTGATCAGGGTACTATCCTTGCCCAAACGCCTCACCCGGGCGTTGCCATTCCCCACGGAACAACGGCTCCGGAATTGGAGCGGCAATTGGCAAAGGCAGGTGCAGAACTACTCGTACATGTGCTCAAGTCGCGCAGATTTGTGCCCCCACACGAGCCTGCGGGATGGTATGCCACCTCCAATGGTCCCGTAAGCCACGCGCCCAAGACCACAAAGCAAGACCGATTCGTCGACTTTGGACAGCACACGTTGGCCGAAATTCTGGCTAAACTGCACGCTTTCGGCGACTCGTGGTGCACGCTACCCAACGGCGATCGCCTCATTCTCCACGATATCGTGGATACAGGCATGATCGATGCAGCGCAACGTGCGCCCGGCATCTTTATAGACCCAACCCTGACAGCCACGCCAAACCTGCTCCTTATACGAGCAGCCTGCGGCAAGATCGCTTCTCTGAATAAGAGCACATATGAGGGAAAAAAACATGGTTTTGGAAACGAAAAATTGATGCGCATGTTGGCTCCTGCGTGCGTATCATCATAGTCTAGGGCTTACACGGTTACACGACCCCTTGGCTATATAGTGTGGTCGTATAAATCTTGCGCCGCGTTTGGCCCTTCCTATTTCCTCTTAGCATCTTGCATCTCTTCCGTTATTCTCGTATGTCTTCTGATACGTTTCGTAATCCGAGTCTTCCGTAACGTTGGCCGAGCCTGTTCAAGTCTCAGGTAAGGGAAATGCCGGCACCTTCCGATACCCTGTCTTCACGTGTACCTGTCGTTCCCACGGGAGTGGCAGAAAGTAGTATGAAGACATGGAGTCTAGAACCCGTCTAATCGTTTAGCGCATGACTGCCGCATCCAACGCATGATGTCACTGTTCCATTAAAATCTGACGTAGCAACCAAAGTCTATACGGGCATCACATGAACGATAGGCTCGGGGCGATCACTGTTACAACATACACCGAGAAGCGGATGTCGAATGAAACTGGCCTCAAGCCTGAGGTCTTGGATATGACATAGAGTGGCTTAGAGTACAGACTGCTACAGTTACATATGCTGCCGGTGTATACTCGGGTGGAACTAAGTGTCGGTGTGACACCGACATCTAGATAGGTTACCCCCGTTCTTGAGAGCATCGCATAACATGTACCACTCATTTGGATAACAGGAGGGGGCTTTATGCGGTCCGATAGAGCCGAACCCCACGAACGCGGTGCTGTTGATATGGACAGTTTTTGCCAGCAGTTCGAGTGGGCCTTTAATTTTTACATTGAGTGGAGAGGGTTCTGATCACTTCCGATACACCATACATAACTATCGTTTAGACTGAAAAGGATACATGTGTTCGGTCCCGTTTAGCTTGCTTGCCCATTCTAAAAGTTCATATAGACTTGCTAGATTGTGGCCTCACGTTATCATATGAAGTCAAGCAAATGAATTCCTCTGGGGAAACACTGGAGATGAAAACATTGGTGTGAATATCACAATGGCGTTGTTCTAGAACAAGTACAATATGCGATTACATTGCCTATGTTCCGTTCACGTTTTAGTGACTGATGTTATCCTGTAAGTAGTTGATGTTACTACAAGAAGGGCGCGATAGTACTTTTGTCTCTGGATATGTGACGCTGAGGCTCGAGAATGAACATGTTCACCATAAAATGTGAAAGTGTAGTTTGACCGGAAGCCGGTACGGAGCTAATCGATAGTACAAGAAACGTGATATCAATTCTGATACCCGCTTCGTCTTAGAAGAGTAATGGAAACATCCTATCTATACAACTACACGGAACAACAGAAGGCATGTCCGTTGCTATTTCTCTGAACAAAATAACAACGTGAGGAGTTACACGGCCATAGTTGTTGAGTTGGAGATAAAATGAGAAAAAGAATAGTGCTAAAAAGATTTGTAATTCGAATGATGGCCTAACATGCTGGAACTTGGAGAAAACCTGATTGTAGATTTATCAAGTCTCAAAAGTTCTACATGAGAAAGGACGTTTCTTGCTGGTGTTTATACCTGCTTCTTCTGTACAGCATTTCGCCCTGAAAGACAAGAGCCACAGTGAAAGTCCAGTATCTCTGTCCAAGTGACTCCTCGACGTAAAAGAAATGGGCGGTATTCATGTAGGTAGCATTCAACGTATATAGCCTCACTCCATCTCCGGAGTGGTCATCAAGCCGACCATTCATTCTACAAAGAGCCTGCTTGGTGTAGAACTAGAAACTAAGTTTACCCTATACCTAACAAGAAAGCCTTCACCAAACTCAACGACCTGACCTATCTTCCAAACTACATGCTCGCATCCTAAACCAACTGAAATGTATACCTACATACCAGAGATGTCAACAAGCAAGTCAAGCTGGCTTGATTCTTATCGATTGCAGATCACAGACCATTCTCTGGGACGTGCCACTGTGCACGAGCCTCTATATTGTCTGTGATCTGCAATCGATAAGAATCAAGCCAGCTTGACTTGCTTGTTGACATCTCTGCTACATACATACACTTATCACATTCTCACATTATAGCAATCACATCCTCTAACTACTAAAAATAACAATACAACCACACTTCTTCACTCATTCATCACATAACACTACTGTATGTATGCCGCATGAAACAGCAAAAAAATATGACTCCTCCCCCGGAAAGGCTCGAACTTTCAACCTCCTGATGAGCCACATCACTGTAACAGTCAGACGCGCTAGCCAATTGCGCCACGGAGGATTATTGACTGATGGAAAATCCACCACAATATTAATATATGAAGTCAATCTCAAAAAACAACACATCTAGGCAGAGAACAGGTATACCACCGGCAAGGTTTTGGTGTTCGGTGACGCACATGCGTAATTGGTGGGGCTGGCTTTTGACGAAACGTATGTGGGGTAAAGAGGAAAAAAGTTTCCGAGCGGGGGGTACCGAGTGGTGTGGGCCTCGCCGAGTAAACTTATCTGAACTGACGGGACGAGAATACGAAAGCGAGGTGCTGGCTACGTATAGTACATTTTTTTGGTATTCCTGGGGTTCGGCGAGATACAAAAGTAAAAAGTTTTGGTAGGTGCGGTCGTCGGGTTCCGGTGAACAACATCTTTGGGCTGGAAACGTATATGATGTGAACAATGTTTCTCGAGCGCCAGCGATCAGCTTGTCAATACGGGACTGGGCTTGATAATTTGGAATATTGCGATGCATCTGTATTCATCTGTATGTTTCACTATGCTCTTACCAATTATCATGCATGGAATCCAAACTCCAAGTGTAAACCATGAGAACTCATCTCAACCGCCCCATTGCAATGTCTGCATACTCCTCCCTTTCTTCACTGTCAAAACCAGGCGACATAATTCCAATCTCTTCGTCTCCATCACCGCTTTCTCCGAGCTGAACCTTCTTCTTGGGCTCTTCCTTGTGGATCGCAACGTAAATCGCGGAGCCTAGGATGAGCGACGATCCAGTAATGGACAGGGCGCCGGGTGTAGTACCCCAAACCAGCTTGTCGAATGCGAGTGCGAAGAGCATCTGCATGTAGAGCATATTGGTAGCGCGCGAAGACTTCTCATATTGCAATCCTGCAGCGAGGAGGAATTGCTGGATCTGGTTAGTATGAGGACGTGCAGTTGTCATTAGGGTTTGACCTACCATGACAAATCCACAAATACCCAGGAAGATCAGATAACTCCAGTCTTTGAGGCTATTCGGAAGCAAGAAGCCTACACCGGGCAATGCGAACATCGCGACGATGCTGACGATTGTGCACCAGACAGCAAAGTAGTTTACAGAAATGAGCGGATGCGCTCTCTTGCCGATCCATCGTATGGTTGTGATAGCCCCTGCTGCTCCTAGCACACCCAACATTGCTAAGCCGACTGCCATTGCTCGTTGTGTGGGCGTCACAGAATCATAGTCGACAGCAAGGCGGCCGGGAAGATCGGCAGTAGTGGTGTTCGATGGTATCAGGCCCAAGTTGCCGCTTGTAGGAGGGACGGTATGTTCAGAGTGGGTAAAAGCGGTGAATAGTGATACAGGCCTTGCAATCAAGATGACACCCAAAAGCGAGACGTATGCAGCCATTTGTTCCATTCGAGTAAAGGGTTCGTTGATGAAGTAGGAGCATGCCCAACATGCAAGGCTAGGTGCGAGAAAGGTGATGACAGTTGCATCGGCAAGTGGGAGGTACAGCAGAGAATCTGCAGAAGTCAGTTACATAGCCGATAGCAGGACTCATGAGTACTACTGTGGTTTCAACCAAAGGTAGCAGAGTATGGAGTAGCTTCCGTAACAAGCCAATATCGGAAAAGCTTATACAAGCTATTGTGCCTACACATGGTCCCATGAGCAAGGGCGGATGACTTACAGTACATTCCAAAGACCCCGAAGAAGCCGAGCAAGCCGCGAGCTACTAGTAGTGAGCGTACCTCTTTCATACCGAATGGAAAGTGCTCAGTCTTCTTATACCACATGTACAAAGAAGCACATATAACTGTGATGCTCATTCTAGCAAAGAGAATCTGAAAAGGGTGATAGCCCCTGCCTATGAAATGTTAGAAAGTCGACATGCAATTGATTGGAAGTATCCTGCCATTGTTTCCTTCCATCTCCAAAAGTCTCGTTGTGACGTTCATCAGAGTACCAAACATTTGCGCGATTAGGACAAGAACCAGCCCCTTGTTGGCTGTCCACGATGCCTGTATCCTGCCTTTCAAGGTCCTAGGAGGGGCTGGCGAGGGCGAAGCATGACTCTCATCATGATAAGGAATATACACTGAGTGCTGAACAAGTCGTATATTGTTCAAATCGTCTATCGATATAACAGATGGGTTTGGGGATGGTACGCGGATTGCCCCGCGATTGACTCTTAGCGCGTCCTCGGGATTGTCCCCGGATTTAAGGGTAAGCCCAGCCACTACTTGATGCTCGTTGTGTTGCTGCGTAGGTCTATCATCGTCTTCGATCGATTTTGAGGGTGGTGACTGAGCCATAGTACTTCACAGTGAGTTGTCAACTCGAGTTTGGAAGTGACGAAGATACGAAACATGATAGAAAGCGAGGGGAAGACGACCCAGCCTCGGGCTGTGGCTTTTCCGTCATAGGCGCCATGTGATGAATAAGGAAGGCGGCAGCAGAATGGACGAGTCACAGACAGACAAGTTTGCCCCAGACCCACAGCCATCTATTTGTTGTTTGATAGCTGCTACTGCTACCTCTTGACAATATGTCGGTTCTAAACATACTCTATGGTAATCTGTCAGTCTGACTTGGTGTTGAAGTAGGAGAGTCTTGTCAAGATGACGTGGGGTATCCCGCGAACGGGCGCGCACGGACCCCAAAACACAACAGTCTACAAACTTCGACACCGTTCTGAGTTTTACATGGGAGAAACCGAGGAGAGAGGAATGTTGAAGATACAACAGGATATGCTAGAGATGGTGATGGGCGAGAGGCGACGGAACTGAAACACGTGATCAGCTTACCAAGCATGACATAGCGTCAGGGTGAATGCAACACGAACGCCGACGTCATCAAACCTACCAGATGTACCGGTACCGGTTCAGCACATGAGCATCCGATGCATCCAGCCACGATGTCCTTGCCGTATGATGTTGTCTCCTCGCGTATAAACTACGGTAGCATTCATCGGGCCTTTTGCTGCCTGTCGGAGTGTCCGACGACCGGATATCCTTTCGCACCCATAGCACTCGCCAAGGCACCGAGATCATGATCGGGTTCATCAAACGGCTTCTCATGCGATGCTTCAGCGCAGCAACTATTTTCCTTTGGCTCGGGCCCCAATTTCGTGGTCGTGGCCCCAATTGATACGAGCTCCGCTAGTGGCCCCGCCGTCACTGCATGGGTGGTCAAGACAAAGTTTAGAAACACTCTTTTGGGGCAGTTATGCATGAGGAAGGAATGCCACACCGATCAGCGGCAGGAGGCGCTGGACGTCACACGGAACCAGCAATTATCGGGCCAATACTCAAATACATCGTATATGCATGTCGACGGGTCAACGGCGCGCAGCCACCAGATACACCAGGGTTGCGCTGCTGCAAGTTTGGCGCCATCAAAGACACGCCAGGGTGCGTCTGAAAAGGGTCTTGTATGCGAGCAGCACACTACCACTACTTCACTTCGGCGATGAACCATGTGTGCTCATCAAGCCGAACTGAGGTGCCGCCGGTCACGACGTCCATGTCCACTAACGCTAGCAAGCCGCTTCTGTCGGCGGACCGCGGCATGTCCCAGCCCGTGAGACGGCAGGCTGCCGCTGTCCTCGCACGCAACACCAAGTATCCATTCTTAAACCCTATTATTTGTCAGTCAACGCAACCGAAGCCATCACCCTGGCCTGTCAATCACGCGTGTGCATGTCGGGGATGGCGGATGGCAACACGTGTTACACACTGGGCCCGATTCGCAGCAGCAGCAGCAGCAGCAGCTGTCAGTGACAATCTATGAACCTTCTTTACCGAAGACGTGAAAGAGGCGCGCACTAAGTTTGCGTCATGGATACCACAGTGCACCCATGTGGCACCATACAATGACCGGTAAGCTGGATCCAAAGTAGGATAGTAATGATGTGGTTTCATAACGACTATCATGACTCGAAGTTTGTTGTGCGTAGCTCGTGCAAGGCTGGACACACTACGCTCGTAAATAATGTCCAAGTGATGAGTCTCTCCGGGTAGCGCAGAAGCACCGCGCCCAGTCGCTGACAGACTCTTACGAAGAAAGGCAATTTCTTCACCATTGCGAATTAGCCTCAGGGGTTCAGAAGGGTAGGACTTGCTCAAGGGAGATAAAAAAAGACGCCACACGCGCTCGAACCAGAGAACCACTCCTTCACAAAGCACAAGATGCTGACCGAGACACAAAAAAACTCTAAACGATTTCATACCCTTGCGCGCATGTCGGGTAGCTGTGACGGAAGCGACGGGAGGCCTTTCCAGCATCGCGTGAGGTCCGGGACTCACCCGGAAGAGGTCCCCAGAAGACCCATGTAGCAATCCCCAGCAAAAAACCACCGTTCAGGTGCATTACCCTCGTTTCAGACATGTGAGCCAAGCCGAGACGCAGCGTGCGCACAGATCGACTGCAAATCTCCCGCTCAAGGCCCCCGCGGGAGCGCGCGTAAGAGGAAACCAAGTCGGCTAAAAAGGGTCGAGAACGCGGAACCACTAAGCGCGCACATATGTCTCTCTTCTGTCACCCAAGCCACCTTACGCCCCCCGAGGTCATTGATGATTCCGTGACCGAGCAAGCAAACTCCACTTCTCACCCTGTTTGAGGAGGTGAGAAATTGTCAAGGTTGGTTGCTGCGGCATATGCGACCTTAATGCTCACCCTGTTATAGTCTGTGTCGCGAAAGCGGGAGAACGGATGAAAACAAGCTTCCCTTTTCGTTTTCTTTATTGTCGCTTCTTTCGCGATTAGGTTTCATGCGGAAACCCTGGGGTCGGGGCAGATAAGGCCTACTATTGGCGAGCATGACCGTTACTGCACCACCACCACTGCAATTGGCGCCTTTGTCGTGGGGAGAGAGAGAGAGGGAGGGAGGGAGGGGGCGGTTCCTAACTTGGCACCCGACGGTCTCTCTTCCTCACCCTCATCTCTCGTCCATCTACCGTTCTCCACAGTACACAGTTTGACACGCCCACTTCGGCACTACCTCCTCAGCATTACCGACACGGCGCAACGCGACCAGGAAGACCCATGATGCTGGAAACTGAATAGTACGATAACCTGATGCCCGGTCCGGCTCTCTTGTATGGATCGGCAGAAGGGGTGGTCGTTGTAATAATGCCGCGCACATATTGCGCTTCCCTATAGCTCCGTCTGTGATATAGGTGCGGGGCGGACGACGACGGTGTCACCGGCAGTCCGGCAGTACAAGGCATATTGAACAACCGCCTTGTTTTGTGGTAGGCGCCCCGCGAAGTTTAGAATTTTGGAGCTACTCTTGCTTCAACTTGGACTATTGCCTGGGCTATGCCTACCCCCCCTCCCCTTAGAACGCTTATAAGATTTGGGTAGTAAACATGCAGTGTAACAGTTGTTGACCGGAGGGCTAAACGTGTGGTTGTCATTGACCATGCTAACAATGTATGATGCTGATGCTGATGCTGGCGGAGGTTAGACAAGCGAATTCAGGACCGGCTTGTTGTGACGCGTATCCTGGGCTTGGGTTGGCCATCTTAATACAATTGGCCGAAAGATGTGTAGCATGGGCTAAGAGTAGAACCGTAGTGGTAGAGAAACGGTCGAGCAAATGACCGACACTGCAGTGTCTATTTTGGGCTTGGAGCGGTGCGATACGGGGGTTCTACTTGCATATCTCTTCTCCAAGGTTTGATGAGTGGCGTGGGTTACACATACATATGAAGGAAAATAAGTGACATGCCCAGGTGGAAAAAAGAACGCAATCGCGGCATTCAATACGCAAAATCTGGGTAAGCGGGTCCTGTGGCGTTTTTTTCCGCTTGATAACGATGGCTACATGTGAGTAGTGTACTTGTGACAAGACATCGTCGATTGTGGATTTTTGACACATGCACTTGTCCAACACTTGCATGCGTTTGTGTGTCGCAGAAATGTTAAAACGCCACATGCAAGTGTGATGGGGTGGCGGAGAGAAAAAAGGAACAAGGGCGGATAGCGGGGTGATGGGAAATGCAGTGAAACGAAAATCATACACACAATCAAAGTTTAACTCTGGCGCTTTCTTGCTACGTACAATGCAAGCAAAAAAGCAAACTTGCATGCCTGTCTGCCATGACAACTGTATCCATGTACGACAGACGAAAAAATACGCCTACATGCTGTAGTGCTACATCGCGTGGGTGCCCGTCAAGCCTCCGTATACGAGGCACAAAGCCGGTAAACCTTCCCTTGCACCCATGCAGATCCCCATCCCCCTCCCACCTTCCTTCCGCTCCCACCTCTTGGTCGCTTACGCCGGGCCTCGCCCCAACATGGACCTGATTGCCATGACCGCAAAATCATGCATGCCGCCGCGATTGAACCGCTCACTGGGAGCGGCAAATGTGCTGTGCCCACGCAGCTGACGCCCGTAGCTTTCCTCATCGTACACGACCGAGTTGTTGGCGGCGACAATGTGGCGCTGGTAGAGAAGCTCCGACTGGGGTCCGTCGATACCGCTGAGCGTGTAGCGCTGCTCCGTGGTGCCTGCGCTGTACGACTTGTTCTGCGTGGGCACTGACAAGTACGACGCTGTGCCATTTTGGCGATTGACAATATTTGAGCCGCCGAATGGAGTATGAGGGGCGTAGTCGAATGTCTCCCAGCTGTTTGGAAAGGCGAGGTCGCCTAGCTGCAGCACGTTCTTGGCTCGATCCATGCTGGCGTCGATGGTCACGTTGCCACCTGTTGGGGCGCTGTACGACGAATTTACCGATAGAGGGTAGTCGAAAGTCTTACGATAGTCGGGGGATCCAGACAGGGTACCTTTGGTTGATTGACTCACAAGCTGGTCATTGCCGCCATTACTGAGTGTTCCAACATTGGAAAAGGTGACGTTTTGCGACCAGACAGATATCTTTGATCCCGTAGATGTATGGATGGTGGACTCAATGTGTACGCTACGTAACACTTCAAGCGAGTAGCCTAAGACGGTGCTTTGACTGCTATTCCCAAGTCGGTATGTTGTCGATTGCAGTACAATCGAGGAAGCTGGTGCTGAAATGGTAGGAATGGTGCCTGTGGTGGGACCTTCGCTGTCATCGAGCCAGATGAAGACTTTACCAGTCACAACCCAGTTTGATCCAATAGCCGTCGTGAATGTTCCTGTGCCACTCTCATCATTGTCGATGCCAATAACTTGAATTTCAAAGGTATGGGGTTGACCGTCGCTAAGCAATGGTACGAACGGGGTAATGTCGATCTCGTCTTCCTGCAGATCGAACGCATCAATGCCGACAACTGGTCTCCAGAACCCTGGTACCACACCCCCTGTGAAGATGACCGGAAAAGGCCAAACAACCCCAGCAATATATCCATCAATGAGGACCCGAAGCTCTCTGAAGGCCGAGTGGCCGTACAGCGTAGTCTCACCGCCAAAGGTATTGACATCGGATTGCAGCACGTTGCTCCACCAAAACTCCTCGGCAGCCTGCCCGCATGCGGCAATGGAGAAAACAGCCTTCTTGGCATTCTGCGGAAGCGTGACAGTGTCAACAGCCCTCGTGTCTGGCACAACAAATGCGCTTGAAGCATTTTGTGTGGATTTTCGAGCCGAGATGGGAATGATGACATCGGCAGCATCGATGTTGTCCTCAGCGGTGAAGAAGGTTGCGGTTAGGACCGTATCCCAGGACCCCGTGTAAGTATCGTCGATGAGATTTCCAAGGTCGAAGACAATCTTTTGTGTTGTCTTAAAGAGGGCAAGGTAGCTGCTCATATCTTTGACATAGCTCCAGATAATGCCATCCTGCGTCGGTTCGGCAGTTGATGTGCGGAAGACCTCTGTGTCATCTAAAAACATCAGGGCTAGTCTATCAAACTGGCGCCCAGCAGACGTGACAGTGAAGTTGATCGTGACTCTGTTAAAGCTACAGTTTGGCGGGCTGTACTGGCCTACAAACGGCTGACCATAAGAGCGAGCAAAGGTGTATTGCATCAAAGTCTCATGGCATCCACCGGCAGGGCTCAGGACCGGCGGTGCAACTTGCAAACATTGGAGCAGGGAGGACTCGTTCGTAGCACGGCGTCCCAATAAGTGGGTCTGAACATGGGGATGCGGTGGCGTCGTAGATGAAGCGGAAGTGCATTGGAAAAGCGTGATTAGCATTAAAAACAGTGTTGTGACGCTTAGCGATCCGTAGCTGGGCGCCGCCCGCGTAGGTGATTTTCGCATGTCCAATTCTAATGATCTGCCAATACGCCATGCAAAGACTCCATCGCTCTTATGCTTCCATAAACCCATATCCAACACCATTTTGGGAACCTGCCAGGAGTGGTCTATTGCGCGAACTCCGTAAACTCCGTGATCAGAGGTATCTATGCGGAAAGTCTCCGGTATTTTAGTACGCCGTTGAACGCCGAATGAGAAGGCCAGTATTGACGTTCGTGTGCTGTCTGGTCTGTGTTAAAACGGCTCGTATTCGGGTTGGAAGCTTCTACGTACCTCATCAATGCAGAAAAAAGTAAAAACCGCCTCTTCTGAGAATCACCGTAAACAAGGCCGACTGGGTAACGCTTGGCGCGATTGCGTAGCAAGTTGCCACCGGCAATGGTGCAGTACGTTTGTGGTACTGACTGAGTGCCGGCTTATTCAGAAGAGAGCAGTAGGATCAGACGAGGAGTTATTGACTGCCTTTATGGTTATCCCAGAAGCGCCGAGTTGCTTGCTTGACTAATTCGTTGTCTCCAAATCTTGTGCGATAGTAGTTGATAAGCGCGAATTCGTCCGAAGGCAGAACGTAGGTGTTCGGCTGGGCGTTTAGTTTTGACCAAACTTCGGCAAGACGTTTTTCGAGGAATTGAGCAAGTCGCTGGTCAACACCGCCTTCGCTGTTCTGGGCGACGTGGACAGCTTGACCGAGAGAGAGGTAGCCGTGGCCTTGTATGAATTCAGTGCTGGCACCCATGTTGCTGGCTAATGCAGAGTGACGATTGGTTTATTGATTGATGTTGAGGCTAAACGAGACAGGAAGGAGCGATTGTTTATGGTGTGGTGATGGTATAGTGTTGACTTGATAAGGAACGTGGCGGTCGAAAAGTGAACCAAGGAACAAGCGACAGGTAGTGAGACACGGTGCAGACGAGGTGAGGGAATAGTGCGGGCTGGTGGTATATATATGAAAGCATATGAGTAGGCAACTTGAGAATGAGACGAACCCACGTGGAGAATTAGGAAGATCCCTCACAAGACCTCATGCACCTACGCAAGGTGAGAGCCTAGTCAAAGCCTCAAACAGTTGGCTCCGGGAGCGTGCCGTTTTGGGCGCTGTCAAGTTGTGAAGCGAAGGAATGGGTGTAACACCACAGCGCAGTATCATCCCGCCGAATCATGAGGTCTGCCAGGGCCCTTGTCCGCCAGGAAGTCACAAACGGCGCCGAGCTTTTTACAGGGGCGGGGCGATCAACTCCAGAGTTCAGCCGAACTAGCAGGGGAGACACACGACGCAGCGCCGTTCGAAGAGGAGCCCTGGGCCGATGCTCTGGGACGTCAGAGGGCAGAGGCAGAGACGGTGCTCGTGACCACGGGCCATGTTGGGGCTACTGCGGCTGCAAGATGACCATTCATAAGGCTAGGAAGATGAATAATGGAGCCCATCACAGTGGCATCACTCGTCAGCGCAGTACCCAAAGCTCAAACTTTGAGACTGGTGCGGTTGCAGGGTTGTGGGAACGCCGAAAACCTTAAGGATCAACTTGCAAACCTTCGCTGGCCCTCGCCGTCAGGCGCCGAGCCGTGCTGTGGCCATTGTCGGCAGAGTTGGATATGATGGGGATGGGGGACGTGGGATGTAGGTAGGTGAGAGATTGAGGGATATGGGAAATAGGAAATGGGAAATGTTCTGGGGTGCATGGTTACGATGACAGTCGGCTGCCCGGGCACCCACCTGTGATGATGCAGCGCGGCAGTGAGAGTGGTGCCGGGAATGGGAGCGGGCGTCGTCAGGTATCAGCATCGTGAGCGAGTGAGTCGCCGACCGCAAGAGACAGCACCGCAGCGGACCATGTGTGGAACCTTGTCAGATCAAATCAGGCTAATGTAAGACGTTGGCGACTGCTAGAGGCCGGCTGTGTCCGCACGACTCCAACGCCCTTGACGACGGCCTCGCCAGCATGGTCAAGGCCATGGTAGTCGGTGTGCAAGGCTGTAGGTAGGCATACCCGGAGCCCATGCCGTGTTGGAAAAGGCAAGCAAAAAGGCCTTTGGTTGTGAAACGGTCGTGTCGAATGAGTTCTTGTAACGGAGGGCTCTCCTGTTCCACAACGGCGCTATCGGTACCAGTGAACAGGTTCGCATGCAGAGCAAGAGGGAGGGGGGTAGGAGGGGCCACTTGGGCGGGCAGGGTTGCGAATAAAGCTACGCGTGGTGTCCCCGCAATTTAGGCTTCGAGACGTGAAATACGACCTTTTGGAGAGGGCCGACACGGGACACGATCGCCCATGCTGGCGCTGGCACGCCATTACCATGATGATGGCTGCAGCCGAGAGGGCGAAGAGTCGGCGCATGTGGCGCAAAGAATGCAGAATGCACCATGTTTGCATCTGCATACATAGGTACATACCGTCGAGGTTCTGCCCGCTACCAGTCAGTAGTTACTAACTAGGCTGCTTTGGCTTTGCAACTGCAACACATGTTTGCAGCAAACACGCTTCGAGACTTTTCGCGGAACTTCTTGATGCTGGGCTAATGCACGCTGACGCTTCTGTCAGCCGACCTTCCTGGCTTGCCATGGCTTGCAGCTTGCATCATGGCAGCAAGTGTCGCGACGCTGGGGAGGGCAATGTGCCGCCGCAACGGTGCCCCAGAAGCCCTACGCGTACAGTGTCCACCAAATTGCGAGACGGGCCTTGACAAGAAGCCACGAAACGTCCCTGAAGCTTGACGCCCTTCCGCCCGAGCCTGCGGCACCAGCCCGCCAGGGAGCCTCGACATGCGGGCGGCTTGGATAGGTTCCGACAGTCATGGATGCCCAGATGACTACATGCCCGGACGCCTGGTGCCAGTGCCAGTGCCAGTGCCATCACATCCATCACATCATCCATCACAGGGCCACCATGTGCTAGAGTTGCAAGACGCAATATCGCCGCCCTCATGCCGACAAACGTCTTCACCGGACAGTATATGCCGGTCTACTGGATAAGCCTTGGATTTCTGTACTTTGACAAGAGTGGTAAAAAGTACGCACCAATCGGCATCCCGACCAAGCGACAGACATGGCACCATTGCTGTTCGTGCGGCGACGGAGAATATGTCGGAGCGGATTTACTACTTCGCCGGCCTTGGCACTTGTGACGCTGTACTGACATTTTACGTTGGCGACAACTTCTGGAACGACGAGCTGCCACTGCGACTCCAATTCGACTAGAAGCCCCACGTGAGGAGCGACTCACGCAATGAAGCCGCGACTCGCACGCATAAGGACGGCCCGCTTTCTGTTCGGCAGTGCGGCCACGGGCTCTGCATCGCGATTCTCGGCGCCACTTCCACGCAACTTCTTCACCTCTGCCCGCCAAGGACCGTCCGCAACGCCTCTCCACCAAAGCGCCCTTCTCTTCTTTCGCCTGCAGCGGTCCGCCCTGGGCCGTCGCTTCCAATCGCTCCGCCTCAAGAGCGACAAGCCCACGTATCAGTCGCACAATCCCACGCCACACCTAGGCAGCCCCGAACCCGCACCTTCAATATCGCAGCGTCTGAAACAGCTCTCCCGAGAATATGGCTGGACAGCCGTCGGTGTATACTTCGCCCTGTCACTCGTCGACTTTCCCCTCTGCTTCGTAGCAGTGCGCCTACTCGGAACCGACAGAATCGGCCACTATGAGGAGGTGATAAAAAATGCCTTTTGGAATGTAATACGCATGGCTTTTCCAGACGCAGGCAAGATGCCAGCAGAGCCAGGCGCGGATGAAGACGTCTCCGAAGCCACTGCAAGAGAGGGCTATGTCGAGGCTGGGAGAGCAGTTGGGCACAACGGCGGTGCTGATGCATGTATGGAAACCCAATCTCCCTTAGCGGTATCACCATGTCTAACAAGAATCACAGCAATCTGGACCCAACTCGGTCTAGCCTACCTCGTCCACAAGTCCTTAATCTTCTTCCGCGTACCACTTACCGCAGCTGTCCTTCCCAAAGTTGTCAAGACCTTGAGGAGTTGGGGGTACAACATCGGTAAGAAGAAACCGAAGAACTAACTGGTATCAATGTGGGGGTTGACTCAGTGCACCCGGCTGTCACATCAAAACCATCACAACATTAGCACATGGGTCCTCGAGGACCCGTCCCTGTATATTCTCATGCATCACGACTCTGTAACAGTACAAAAGTGTAAAATACGAATGTAAGAGACATACTCTCGGTACATTTCATATCAGCAAACCAGCTGTTTGAGCATTCTCGAATGCTGGCCGTAAATACATTTCCAATCCTTGCTGCCACGTCTTCTTGGCTTTCTTTGGAAGCTTCAAGGAATTCATCAAGTCTCAAACATTGCGACTTTGATCCAAAAATGAGTCTGCTTTAAACGTCAAAGGCCACCCGCGCACAACGAAAACGGTTTCAGTTCCCCCCCACGATTGATCGCCAAAACTCGACAGCCCAAACAAGATGCGGCCCCTTCCCGCACGATTCGCTCGGAAACACAGTGCATCCATTCCATTGTAGGAAATGTTGCCCGAAGAGCATGCAGTTCAGAGTATCATCGACTGCGCATCCAGCCACTCCATGTGAAACCAGGTTCAGCCCTGAGCCACACTTCAACTGCAACGGCGCTACTGTTATGCATAACACACGAGTCCGGACCGTAGTGGAACCTAATCTTGACCTCAGATTACTTCGATTACCTTTCCGGCATTCGGCCGTGCTAGAAATGTAGAAGTGATTGGCATATATTACCGAATCTTACCCTGCGCTTCGGTCGTATGCAACCGGCACACACCCGTAGGCCGTTCTTTGGGATAGCGTAACCCGGACTGTGGTATCATGCCCGCAAACCTTCCCCCAAACTTGTGGAACTTTGGTCGCAAGGCCTAGGCCGGGCTCTACCTAGTTCATTTTGATCCTCACACTCGCGTATCGGTCCTTTTCGTATCGAAGCCATCCCTGCTACTCGGGTTCTCACTACGTCCTCAAAGTTGCTCGCTTACCCGATTCGTACCCTGAACCCGTTCGCACCGATGAATTCCTTAGGCTCAGAGCCATGCTTTCGAAACCTTGTCTCGATGCTAATCGATAAACTTCTGCGCTGCCAGAGGAGAAGAGGAGAGTTGCACTGTCCCGCATTCGTCATCAGGACCATGTGTTTGAGAATGGTTCTGCCTGCTCGGTTGGACTACTAATTGAACTTTGTCGGTGATATTACTGTTTGGCATTGGAGAAGTCTGCAAGATCCCCTAGATGCTCCAAGCTCTTACTCGTGGTCACGATCTTCCCGGCTTACTTCCATCAATCACATCAGCATGATCGATCGGAATGTCAGACTTGGAACCGCGATTGCGTGTACGGCAGCGTACTTCCGATGAAACACCGACGACAAGTCCTCAACTTTGCCATCTTGACCATGACATGATGGACGCGCCGCAAATGACGATTCATGGGGTGTCGGCGGACCTGCATTTGCGGATGAAGTGTCGGCGCGACACAAACGCCAGATCTGCAACGGGTCGACGGACAATTGCACATCAGCTGCATGACAGCATTGACAATTTGACATGGAAGTGCCAAGAGCGTCGGTCCCGAAGACAGCTTCGTACCAATGCACGGCGACAAAGACTTACAAGCAAGAGTACCGAGGCGTCTTACCGCATTTGCCTCAGCTGAACTTACACACGAGATACGCATTATCACCCATCAGCTCGTCAAAAATTACGATACCATACCAGAAATTTGACTCGTAAAAATATATCAGTCCACGGTGCTAGCAGGCTTCTGTGCATGTACAGAACCGGGTTTCTTTGCTTTTTCACGGATGGAAGAGCGGATGGTGATATTGCACGTGCACATTTAAGTTTTACGAGGCTGTCTGGTAACAGCAGCTAAGCTTGCGTCCGCCCGAACAGCGGCATTTCTTACAAGCGCCAGATGTAATGCAGATATGGTACTTTCTGAATCGTAAAGTCCATACATTCGCACCAACACTATGGTAGCAAGCATCTACCCTCCACAACCTTACCCGCCGTCTAAAGGATATCACGAGTCGTACAAGTGTGAGACCTTTGCAGCCACCATTTTCACCGGAAAGAGCATACGAGTCACCACGATGGAACCATGCATGTACGAACGCAATGAGACCCGAGTAGCCACGAAATAGTAGGCAGCCAGGTCAATTAAACGCTCACGGGTTGTTCTTGGAACATTCTTAGAGGGCTTATATCGAAGTTGAGGCTGTTCGAATAAGCGTGACAAATTGGTTCCTGATGTCTACAGCAGAGCATCTTTGCGATAGGGTTCAAGTGTAACGACACATGATCAAAGCGCAAAGTCGTGGCGCGATGGTGGAACAGCTACACCCTGCTATCTAGAGACGGTGAGATGATGGGTGAACCGAAACTGTTCGACTTTATATAAAAAGGTGATGTTTTCGTCTCGTGGCTTTATTTGAAGCATTTTGGCGTAACCTTGGAAAAGTGGTGTTGGTAAGTGAACAGAAGAGAAAACTTTCCGCGTGCAGAGAATTCGGCCAGCGCCAAGATCCACAGCTGCACGTGTAGACACTAAGCCACATCTAGCAGGACCCCTAAGCCCTTTCAAGCACGTATCTCAATCACCATCAAACCTCACGATACCAGGAAACCCCACAACTATCATGTCTCCTTTGTGCCTCTCCACTTCCCTGCAAGTCCGACACCAATAATGACATCTCGCACTACACTTATCCTCTCAAACGGCAGACCATGCCCCGCCCCCCGCTCCGCATCTTCCGCCTCCCCACATCACGCGCTGCCCGCCGACGGCGCATGTACACAATGTTAGCCGCCATCTTCGTAGTCGTAACCTTCTTACTACCCTTTTACTTCATCTACAAACCCCCTCATCTCCTGATACGATACTTTGCGTACAATTGGCCTGATGTGCTCTGGCACGTGCCTCTCAGCAACACGAACGAAAAAGTAATTGCCCTAACCATCGACGACGCGCCGTCTGAGCACACACTCGAAATTCTCGAGCTGCTCCGAGAAAACGAGGCAAAAGCCACGTTTTTCGTCATTGGCGGCCAGGTTGCGGGAAGGCAGGATGTGCTGAAAGAGGTGGTTAAAGGGGGCATGGAATTGGGGAATCACGCCATGCATGATGAGCCTTCGCGGTCGCTATCACCGGAACAGTTGGTTGAAGAGGTGAAGCAAGTGGAAGGTTACATCAACGGCACATATGATGATGTACTGCTCCCACATCCACCGCGCTACTTTCGCCCTGGCTCTGGGTTCTTTAGCACCCGTATGCGTGGAATTATACGCGGATTGGAGTACCAGATGGTACTGGGGAGTGTGTATCCGCATGATCCACAAATATCGTATCCGAGAGTGAATGCACGACATGTGCTTAGTATGGTGAGGCCTGGGGCGATTATCATTTGTCATGACAGGAGGAGTTGGACGGTGCCTATGCTGAGGATCGTTTTGCCAGAGTTGAAGAAGAGGGGATACAGGATTACGCATATAGGTGGGTTATTGGAGGCTGCGAAAAGGAGCGGCGAGGATTGAAAGAGATGGGTTGGTGCTGGAGTTGATGGCTACGATCATGTTACGAGGAGCACTTTTTACTTTTACGAATTGCGTGGCAACGTATTCGAGGGCGACCCCACATTTACGGCTCCTTATAAGCTCGCACTTCAAAAACGCCTGGCAATTTCACATGCCCTTGTCACCATTGACTGTCCTGCCATTTCAAGCTTCCCATCATGGCCATCTGGTTGTTGTAGATGTATTGCAAAATATAGAAACCCCGTCGAACAAACTGGTTCTGCTCTTGTATTTACAAGTAAACGTCCTCGTTCATAGGATGAACACACGCATTTTCTATAACAGGAAGGTTTCCCGAGCAACCTCAAGCAACACAACAAATATATGAGTGGACGCTACAGTAAGCAACTCTCACTTGTATCAACGTGCTTGATAGGTACTGATTACGAAACATGTAGGGCTACATGGTACCACCCTAATCGAACTTACTAATATAAACCCCACATCTACGAACGGGTTTCTCGAACATTTGAGTAATCATTCAATATCTCGTTCCGTAACCACCCGCAACATGTCAACATGACCTACCACGTAATCTCACAGCAATCAGGGTAATGCGCGTTGAAATTACTTTGTTCATTGAGTTGTTGGTATTACATCATAATAGAAGCCTGCTCTGTGCGGCTTTTCTTAGCTAATGGTATCTGTGACCGAGGCATTCAATCTAAACCACCAAGATGAGAATGCTAAAACTCCCTTGCCCTTGTGAAGCGCGACGCTTAGTCGAAGGGGTTGGTGCGGGTTCCCCAGTAGGTGAGGAACATGCTGAGGCCGACAGTCTCGAGCGCACGGGCAAGAGCACCGACGGCGATAGTGTCCATGGGGCGCTTCTCGGTAAGGACCTGGGAGACGATCTAGAAGAAGTTAGTGTGTATTCTCCAATATTGTTTCATATGCGGGATGACGTACTGAGGGAGCGGCAGAGGCGAAGAAGATGAGAGATCCGAGGTAGGCAGCGCCCTTGTAGGTGAGAGTTCCAGTAGCGTTGATCAGAGCTCCGACACCGTAGGCCTGGATACCTGAGCCGACGATGGAGCTACCCCATGTTGCGGCAGCGGTGGCGGCCTCCTTGGAGTGGAAGTACTCCTCCTTGGAGTTTGCCTGCTCCGCGCGGCGGTATGCGTCACCAAAGACGGGACCGAGGACGGCGAGTGAGACAGCGTGGTTGAAGGCCGTGCCGAGAGCAATGGCAGAGGGCTTGACGGGAGGGAGGTCTTGGATGAGCTGTCAGTAAAACTCTTTATTGTGCATCAAAACAATGCTCAATTGCTAGCATTGCATCCGCACGTAGTAAACAGAGGGCAACATACAGTGGAGGGACGCCATTTTGATGGTTTTCTGTGGTTGTTGATGAGTTTAGTGTGTGGAATTGGGTGAGAACTCGTTTGATTGCGGTTGATGGTGTGTAGACAGACAAGGAATGCAGGCGCTTTTGTACTCCCACCTGCATCATGTCATCGCTGTGACGTAGCTGCCAAGCGAGCCGCCAGTGGATCGAGAACCTGGCCTGAGCCGTCCACATTGACGCAAGTCAAACCCACTTGCCCACGAGCGGGTCTGGCCTGACGCCAAACAGCCTTTAGCATGCTCGAATTGCAGTGAAAAAGACTGGATTTTCATGTTTTGCGACGCGCTTTTGGGCGGAAGCTGGTTCAGGTACGTCACCGAGTGAGGTGGGGAGCATGAGCAGGGAGCTTGGACCACTACCCCGGTCCTTGACGCTTGATGGCGGGCAAGCAATCAAACTATTTGCGGCTATTTGCGCTGAAGGATCTAGCGCTTGCCTTCCCCCCTCCCGAGGTCTCTCGCCTGCGCATGCGGAAAATCAGGTACACGGCAGGGAGAGAAGATGTGTCCTCCATCCTTGTCGTACAGCTGTCACGACGTCGTATGCGCTTATCTGCCGTGTTTACGTGCAGTCAAGTGACCGTTTATACTTGCTTTTGACATCGTTCCGTTAGCTTCACGCGCGCAGCAAGGCTATCGCGAAGAAGCATGATGATTCCCAAGAAAGCCTTTGGACTCGTTGCGTTCTTGTTGTTTGGCGTGAGCCTGCTGCTTTTCTCGCGCACTGTTGGACATTCGCTGGCCGAGTACTTCTTCGGGCCTCATGGACCGGTTATCCCGTACACGACACATGTTGTGCTGTTCCAGTTCAAACATGGGACGAGCAAGTTTGCAATCAAGGAGGTGAGGGGCTCACTGCGGCTATCTTGGGGGCAACGCTGAGATTGTGTGATAGATTGTCTCACAGTTTGTTGGACTGAAGAAGTCTTGTATACATCCGGCTACGCTGAGGCCGTATATCGTCTCGATATCGGGCGGGAAGGATATCTCGACCGAGAATTTGCAGGTATTGTCATCTTTGTGGCTGAGTTCAAAGACACCAGCAGTCTGACACGGTGCGCAGAATGGCATTAGTCACGCATTTGTGATGCAGTTCCATTCCATTGAAGACCGTGATTACTACGTTAACGACGATCCGGTTCACAAAGCGTTTAAAGAGGCGGTGGGTATGGCAATCGACAAAACAATCGTGGTTGACTATCAGAACGGCGTTTTCATGACCGTCTAATCGCTAGATGCGAAGAACGTGGAGTCATTAGTGTATTTGAGAAAATGGAAGAACCTCAAAAGAAACTATCTCCCAAATGAGCGTCCCAACCCAAGGCCCAACCTCAGAAAATGTCACAAAAGGCCCCCTGAACTTCTGCCTCCCAGCTGTAAACTTGGTAGGATTCTAGAGCAAACATCCGACTCATCACAGTCATGAAGACTGTGGGAGAACAGGTCGGCGTTGCTTTTGACTCGTTTTCGCAAGCATAGCATACCTCTCCAGAACGCCTGTCAGAAACTTCTCAGGCCAAGCCCAAGTGTCAGTATGACCCCAATCACCCCACTGGCACTGCGCATGGACCATCCATCGACAGAGAATGTCCCTTGAATCCAAATTCTCAAACGCATGCTGCACCATCTCGCAGCTCGGCAGCCACGTCCCCGGCTGCTCCACGTGGATGAGCAGTTTTTCCAGGCATTTGACGCGCAACTTGTCGATTTGGTATTTTCCACAAAAGACATACAGCTCAATGAGGTTACCTGTCTTTGTGTATCCACCCTCTTGATTTGATGTACCCCATTTCTCGATCAACAGAGTGTCATCGTTATTGGGGTCCGGTAAGCGGTTGTTGTAGAGCCAGTGCACACAAAACTCGAATGTCTCGGACTTTTCAGTGGGAAGAAGGACGGTCTTGGTAGTCGCTTCCTTGAAGTTTCCAGTCAAAGCCGCGCGGAAAAAGGGCGAGTGGTAGACGAGGAGGTCGAGGTGAACTGTAAAGCTGATCTTTTCAGGTCCGACGATGACGGTAGCGAAGGGGGCGTTGGGGCGCCTGTCGTAAGGTCAGTGGGTTGTATGAAGTAGACTCATTGTAGAACTTACGATAGGCGAGGGAATGTAGGCGACTTCAGGTTTTGGGTTGCAGCCGTGTTTGAGGCCATCTTGTGCGGATGGGAAGAGCTTGTAGGAGATAGAGAGGAAATCGAATTGGAGGTTAAAGCTTTTTTTACCAAAGTTCTTCAACGCATGCTAAGTTGGAAGTCTTGACGAAGTGAAATTGTTATTCACCGTAGTTCCCATGTCGAGGTGACCCCGACCCCACCAGAACATCAATGAGCGACGCTTTAGACATGTATACAGGTTCGCACCAAAGAATAGGAGCTTGGCTTGAGTATAGTATTGTTTCTTGCTTTGTAGATGTCAGGGTCATCAGCAATGTAAGCCATATATATGAAAGTAGTGCCGACTTGATGGGTGGAGCGCAATGACGCGAGCCATGTTGGAATACTGATATTGTACATTGTTGCCGTGGCATTTTTACACTATTTGCTTGATATTTTCTTTGTTTGACGCTGGCTCTTGTACCGAGACAGGCTTTTTCCGACCATGCAGCGACTTGTGAACTTTCTTCCCGACCTTCTTGAACCACTTTATACGATCAGGGTTTGGCTTCTTGTGGTCGTCAACCTCCTCAAAGTAATGCATACCCCTCTTCATGGCATCCTCGGGGTAAACGCTCCTCGGCTTGGGTAATATTCGGTCGTCGAGACCATTCTGGTGTGCTCGTCGCAGGGTTTCAACCATTGTGCGCAAGTCCTCCACCCCGTTTTTGCGGAATTGTGTGGCCTTCTTCACATGAGTTGTAACTGCAGGAGAGAAAGCCTGGGATGGGTCTCTCCGTGCTAGTGACTTTGCAGTCATGGCGAAACGCATGTCTTTTGGTCCGTCGACGAGTTCGAGAATGGCAGATTCGGCCTGGTCTTCCTTCATAGGTTCGATGCGGAGAATGCGCGTATATCCACCAGGCCTATTTGCATAGCGCTCCCTTATGGACCCAAACAGCTTAGGGACCAAGTCATTCGGTTCCTGACCATTGTCAGTAGGCCATTGTCGCAGTTTCGCAGAGTGGTCGTACGTAGAATATCTGCATTGCTCTCCGCCGAGTGGCCTCTGTGTTCTTCTTCCCCAGCGTGACCAGCTTCTCGGCCAATACCTGCGCTTCCTTGGCCTTATGCCATGTTGTTGCTATGGTCTCATGCTTGAAGAGCGATGTGACGAGGTTTCGCAGGAGCGCTTGTCGATGCGACGACGACCGACTGAGATGGCGGTATTTCATGTGGCCGCGTGGCATGACGGGCAATTGGTGCTAGCTAGGCCCGGGAGAGGGTGATTTAGACGTGGATTGCTGCGGAGCCTCAGTTGCACTCAACCTTCCATCACGACCACACTGTCCGCGAAAAGTTCGGGCGCCGGAGGCCATTTCCCCGACCCCACATCCCTGCACTGCTTACACAAGCAAGCACTTTACGCCACCAATCCGTGACCCAAGCAACCATGCACGCGTCGCGCGTTTCTCCTACCGCGTTATAAGTGCCTGCACCCACACAACCCCTCTACTGCACCCTCTTCCAAATACAACCCCCCTTTCATATAGCCACACAGATACCCATACTCTTTTTCTAATTCAACATGTTCGTCTTCAAGCGTGGTATGTATTTGTCTCTTTTCACCGCTACTTGAAGTCGCTGCAAAACTTCGCAAGGCTAACAATCCCCTCAGATGGACGCAAAGAGCGTGTGCAGTTCGACAAGATCACAGCACGGGTGTCCAGGCTATGTTATGGCCTTGACCCTGACCATGTTGACCCTGCTGCAATTACAATGAAGGTCATTTCTGGTGTCTACCAGGGTGTTACTACCATCCAGTTGGACGACTTGGTATGCCATTGAGTCTGCCTTTGTCTACTCAATTGCTGACAGAAGACAGGCTGCCGAAACAGCAGCATACATGACTACCACACATCCTGATTATGCCATCCTAGCAGCCCGTATCGCTGTGTCGAATCTCCACAAGCAGACAAAGAAGCAATTCTCCGCCGTAGTGGAGGACCTCTACTCATATGTCAACCCCAAGAACGGCAAGAGCCAGCCAATGATCTCGGACCATGTCTACAAGGTCATTCAAGACCACGCCGAGGAGCTCAATTCGGCTATAGTGTACGACCGCGATTTCAACTACCAGTTCTTCGGCTTCAAGACACTCGAGCGTTCATACCTTCTCCGCATAAATGGCAAGGTTGCCGAGCGCCCCCAGCACATGCTCATGCGTGTCGCTGTTGGTATTCACGGCGAGGACATCCCAAAGGCCATTGAGACATACGACTACATGTCGCAGAAGTACTTTACACATGCTTCACCTACACTGTTCAACGCAGGCACACCTTCCCCGCAGATGTCGTCCTGCTTCCTCATCGACATGAAGGAGGACAGTATCGATGGTATCTACGACACACTCAAGACGTGCGCTCTGATTTCCAAGACCGCTGGCGGTATTGGTCTCAACGTGCACCGAATTCGTGCCACTGGCTCATACATTGGCGGCACCAACGGCACATCGAACGGTCTCATTCCTATGCTACGCGTGTATAACAACACTGCACGCTACGTTGACCAGGGTGGCAACAAGCGCCCTGGTGCTTTTGCCATCTACCTTGAGCCATGGCACGCTGATGTCTTTGGCTTCCTTGACCTCCGCAAGAACCATGGTAAAGAGGAGGTTCGCGCTCGTGATCTCTTCTACGCCCTGTGGATCCCCGACTTGTTCATGAAGCGTGTGCAAGAGAACGGCGAGTGGACCCTCATGTGCCCTAACGAATGCCCAGGTCTCGCCGACGTCTACGGTGATGAATTTGAGGCACTGTACGAGAGCTACGAGAAGCAGAACAAGGGCCGTGAGACTGTTCGCGCTCAAAAGCTCTGGTATGCCATTCTCGAGGCCCAGACTGAGACTGGTAACCCCTTCATGCTCTACAAGGATGCTTGCAACCGCAAGAGCAACCAGAAGAACCTCGGTACCATCCGCAGCTCCAACCTGTGCACAGAGATTGTTGAGTACACCGCTCCTGACGAGGTTGCTGTTTGCAACTTGGCTTCTCTTGCTCTACCTTCTTTCGTCGACTACAAGCGTGGCGAGTTTGACTTCCAGAAGCTTCATGAAGTCACTCAGGTTGTCACCCGCAACTTGAACAAGATCATTGAGGTCAACCACTACCCTGTAGAGGAGGCTCGCCGCAGCAACTTCCGTCACCGACCTATCGGTATGGGTGTGCAGGGTCTTGCTGATGCTTTCCTTGCCTTACGCCTTCCCTTTGAGTCTGAGGAGGCGAAGAAGCTGAACATCCAGATCTTCGAGACCATCTACCACGCTGCTCTCACTTCATCTTGCGAGATTGCCAAGGAGCTCGGTCCCTACCAGACCTACGAGGGCTCACCCGTATCCCAGGGTATCTTGCAATACGACATGTGGAATGTCACTCCTACCGATCTTTGGGATTGGGCCAGCCTAAAGGCAAAGATTGCTGAGCACGGTGTGCGCAACTCGCTGCTCATCGCGCCCATGCCTACTGCTTCCACTTCCCAGATTCTCGGAAACAACGAGTGCTTCGAGCCGTACACTTCCAACATTTACTCTCGTCGCGTACTCGCTGGTGAGTTCCAGGTCGTCAACCCATGGCTGCTCAAGGACCTTGTCGACATGGGCTTGTGGTCAGAGAACATGAAGAACCGCATCATTGCCGATGGAGGTTCTATTGCAAGGATTCCCAACATCCCTGAGGAGACCAAGACTCTTTACAAGACCGTCTGGGAGATCTCGCAGCGAACCATCATTCAGATGGCTGCTGATCGTGGTGCTTTCATCGACCAGTCTCAATCCCTTAACATCCACATGAAGGAGCCAACCATGGGCAAGATCACATCCATGCACTTTGCCGGATGGAAGCTCGGTCTCAAGACTGGCATGTACTACCTCCGTACCATGGCCGCCTCTGCGCCTATCCAATTTACCGTCGATCAAGAACAACTCAAGGTTGCAGACACAAACATTGCCAAGTCACTCCCCAAGATACGGAAGCAGCCTGGATTTGTGCCCGAGGCAGTACGTAGTGCGCCAGATTCGGAGCCGCGACCCATGTTCGCTACCCAAACTCCCAATGGCGCTGGCAATGAAAATGGTGTCAATGCGGAGAGCAAGAATGCGCTTGCAAGCAAGCCGTTCAAGGCCGATATAGAGGATGGTGACAGCCCAAAGATGGTTGCAATCGATGCTATTGGCAAGCCAGACGAGGAGGTGTCATCAAAGGCCAAGCAGGACGAAGACTCCAAAGACGATAGCGAGGCACGAGATGGAGACATCTACGCTGATGCTGTCCTGGCTTGCTCGATAGAGAACCCAGAATCTTGCGTCATGTGCAGCGGTTAAAGTCGGTAGATGTATATATCCCTGACAGGTGCAGGCAAGCTGGGTTGTCTTTTATCATTCGCTTTTGACATGGTTTACGGCGCTTACGGGTTTAACGCTTGGATATGAGGATGATGCAGGGAGGAAATGACTTGATGAGCTTGGATATGGCCGTTGTTTAGTGTTAGTAGATGCAGCGATAGACGCTTTTTCACATTCAACAATCACGTCTTGTCTCTGGTGATGCCACCGAGGTGTAACTATTATTATCTAGTTCGGTATAGTTTGATTCCGAGATTACCGCGGCTCAGTTCCGCAAGGAGCTGCAGCTACGTCTTACCCCCACATCCATTACATGCGCCCTACAAATCCACTCACGCCCTTTACGGGTACAAATCATACTGTATACCTAATCTAGGGTATATACATTAATAAGCTCCTAAATACAAAGCTAACATAATTCGCAACTCGTATAGCTCCGTTACACCAGACACCCACACCCGCAACCCGACCCCTCACTCCCGGGTTTCCCCACACGAGACATATATGCTCCTCCTCCGCCCTTTCCTACGAACTACCCCTAAACCAAACTCTACATTATCATCTTCGCTCCGCAAACCTGCCGTTTATCGCACAATGGCATCTACCAGCGCCGCTCCTTTGCAAGAATGGCTCGTCATCGTGCCCGATCACAGCGGAGTGCTGCATAAGAGGCTAGCGGCTCGACCGAAGCATTTGGAGGGACTAAAGGCTGATAGGGATGATATGTGGTTGTGGGGCGGTATGTCATTATAGCTCTTCTCTGTCTCTCTACAATCCCGGTCTTTTGTGCTTTGCCTCTCTCCCTCCCGATGCTCGTTTTCTTTTCTGCTACCTAAGAAAAAAGAGGACATTGCTGGCGCCGTACATAAAAGGTGCCATGCTTGAAGAGCCAATCAAAGAAGGGGACACGAATCCCCCCAAGATGGCGGGCTCGGCTTGTTTGATTGGCGCCAAGACGAGGGAGGAGGTGGTGGAGAAGTTGAAGAATGATGTTTATGTAAAGGAGGGTGTGTGGAATTTGGATGAGGTCAAGATTATCCCGTTCAAGAGTGCGTTGAGGAAGGCGCTGTAGATGGACAAGCTTGGGTATACACTGGTGTGAATATCAAAGCCGTTCTGGGCATACAATCTTACATTCAGTGAGGATGAGAGGCTATATCGAACTTCTGGGTTTCAACGTCTACATATGAAGATGGTTGGTCATGTTCCTGTGAGAGAAGAGCGGCCTACGTACGTCAAGATGCGCTTATGCCTCATCGTAAAGACCTACATAACAGAGAACGATATTATGCATGCCTCAACACCTATCCTCTTCCCAAAGGCGTATAGTTCTTCTATTGTGTCACAATGGTTATCTCGGCCGGTGAAAACCCATATCTCAAAACCTTACATCTGCGAAACGCAGGGCGGCTTCTCTCCACGCGTAAAAGGAATACGGCAGATGTATTAGGCATAATCCTCGGGTACTTACCCGACTTGCTAATCAATTGGCGATGCATCTGAGACAGCCGGATGCCGCATACTTTCTTTATGGCCATGTCTCGAATTCTGTTATGACATGTGCGGCAAAGCTATGCTATGTGCGGCGCATTGTTTAGTGGGCTCAGTGTATGAGGCTTGAGCAAGGTTGTGTGGATCCCACGCATACATGTGCGGCTCCAACAGAGTAATCGTCTGGAACAAAGTATGCTATAATTATCGCAGCAAAGTGATGAACAACACAAGGTAGGCTGGGCGGAAACAAGGACTTGGTGTGTTTTCTGGTATGTGGGGACAGGGACGTGGGAGTCTGCCTTGAGGATTCGTCTGAGCGAGGCTGTGCAGGTGGCAGGTGGGAGACCCCGGGTAATGACCTCACGGTCAAGGGCTCGCTGACTGGTCTACGCGCCAAAGTCTCGCGCGTTTTGTGAAATTGGATCAGCGGTTTTGCATGTGCAATTGGTCGCAACGGCGACGGAGACATGTCTAGACTTTTTGTGACGGCTCGGCGACACTTTGGGGTTGGACAGCGGTGACGCTTGCCGCCTGTCGTAGCCGGGTATTAGACAGGTTGCCAATTGACCGGTTGGTGAAGTCGTGCCTGTCCTTCAGGCAAGCGATCTAGTTGTATAAGGCTGGGGCTGTGTCAGCGTGTTGCGCAGTGTTTGCCAGGAACGCGACTGAGGGTAGCAGTTCACTCTACTTCAGCTTTGTCTAGCAGTAACGTTGACGGCACCGAATTGTTTTGCAAGCATCACGCGACTACCGGTAGGTTCAGCTCATGCCCTCGTATCTACTCCCCCTTAGGCCGGCGCAACCGACATGATCAACTTCAACTCTCGCACTGCGGTGAACAGCACCCACAAGACAACGCATAATACGACTCCTAGCTGATCGTTTCAAGTATCTCTAGAGCCTGAAACCGGGAACGCACAAGGGGACTTGTAGAGGGCTTCCCGTCGCGGGGCTAATAATAGCGGGCTAGGCAACTTTGAGCGACGTCGCTCTTCGTCAAGAGGGCTGTGTCCGCGACCGAAGACAACACTGCGCCTCCTTCACACTCACCAGCCTCAGCAGTCAAGCCAGTCACGAGCAAACGTTGCGTGTTCCTGGCGGACACTGGACCATTCACAGTTCGTGCTAGATTCTTGGTGTCGTCGACTCCACGCGGGCCCAAGCGCGGCCTCCAGGGCTCACTCGTCCACATCCCACCTATTGTTAGGTACACGCGAACGTAGACGATGGATATCCAACAACGAGGGCGCTCTCCCTCTACGGGCCAGCGCATTCATAAAGGACACTCACCCTCGCCCAGCCCACACGCGCCATTCCAGCATCAGCACAACGCAAACTTGGGCTTCGAAGCTATCCAGGACCCGTCCTCGTACGCCGTCACCAGCGCGGGGCTAAACAACGCGCAGTTCCTTACCACCACCCAGGGACAGCCCTTTTCGCAGCAAACTTCCTTTGCCGATCCGGGTTTCTTCCAGACGACACAGAGTATTTCTCAGCACAATACGCCTCAATTTGGCCCCCAAGGCAGCAATAATATCTCGCCTGACCCACTTGACCTGACCAACACAAACAATCCCGACTTCAACTTCTTCCAGAGCAACGCCCTCGGCCAGAACCAATCGCTGTCGTCGTACCTGGGAAACACACTCGATCCGCATCTGCTCGAAACGCAGTCGCAACAAAATCAGTCGGTCAACCCATCCGAGCTCATGCACCAGATGGCAACCGCACAACACAACGCGCCTACCCCGCCACACCTCCTGCCAAACATGAACAGCCACCAGAGCCCAAGTCCACACGCGTCTCCGAACATAAATCAAGGTCCGTTCAGGCCTCCAGGTCACTCGCGCAACACGTCCTTGGACCCCAGCGCTGCGTATGGAACAGAGTGGGGGCAGATGGCAGGCGCAAGCTTCGGAGGTCATAGGTCTAGGGGAAATAGCGATGCCGCCTTTTCCGACGTCGCTTCCTCTGTACACAACTCTCCCTACCTGCAACAGCACGACAGCTTCGACAATGACCAGCCGTCGCCGCTCCTCAACGCGCAAAATGACCCACAGCTGTTCCAGGATCCCGTCCCAGGCTTTGACAGATTCAACTTGAACAGCGGCAATGCACACCTCAGCGCGGGCAACAGTCCACACATCTCGCCTCGTCTGCTCCCGCAGAATCAGCAGGTGCTACCCCAGTTTCAGCCCGAGACATTCGGTCTGAACCAGAACATGAACCCGTATGCGAACCCGAGCATGAACGGGTACTCAGGACAGAGCTCAGAACCCTTTCCATCGCTGAACCAGCCTATGCCTGAGTTTGGCCAAGCCGATGCAATGTCACCGCCGGAGATCAACATTGACTTTGCCCCGCCCTCGCGCCAGCCGAGCTTTGAGCCGCCGAAGCCTGAGCACCAGATAGATGCGCTGAGCCCGCCTGACCGATGTAAGCAATTCATCACTTTTTTGGGGCGTTTCTAACAGTCACTAGCACGTAGTCGGAACAGGATGCGCGCCAAATCCGATCCATTTAGTAGCGCTAGTTCGCGCGCATCTACGCCTGGCTCTGAAGTGCGCCGATCACTGTCTCCCAACGCCGCAAAGTCTCGATCTCCCTCGCCTTCAGGCAAGTCTTCTCGCCGCTCGTCTACTTCAAGCGTGCCCAATCGCGACTACATTTTGGATCTTGCAGATCCTTCGAGGCCTGCGCCTGCTGATGGGTCAAACCCGAAGCGTACGCAAAAGCACCCCGCGACATTTCAGTGCACACTATGCCCGAAGCGCTTTACAAGAGCGTACAATCTTCGGTCGCATTTGCGTACACATACAGACGAGCGTCCTTTTGTGTGCAGCGTATGTGGCAAAGCATTCGCACGTCAGCACGATCGGAAACGACATGAAGGACTACATTCTGGGGAGAAGAAGTTTGTGTGCCGCGGTAATCTCAAAGATGGTAGCAACTGGGGTTGTGGCAGGCGCTTCGCTCGTGCGGATGCTTTGGGTCGTCACTTCCGATCTGAAGCTGGTCGCGTATGTATTCGTCCCTTGCTTGAAGAGGAGGCACGCGAGAAGGGTGAATGGGATGGCCAGAATCAGCAGATGAACAACGGCAACGGCATGTTTGCGCCAATGCCTGCTCAGAACTTTGGCGGTATGATGTCTGGACAGCCTGGCTTTGATTCATACTCTCAGCCCGGTGGCATGCAATCATCGCAGCAGTTCTTGCCAGCAGCTCTTCTAGCTCAGTACCCTGCGCTTGCGGGTATTCAATGGGACCAGCTCCCTGCCGGACCGCCTGACGAGGATGGAGACGTTAGCGGTCGTAGCAGTTTTGATGCTTCTAGTGGAGGCGAATACTACGAAGAGGAGAATGAGTACCAGCAGGGCAATCACCAGACCATTTATGCCGGTGGCAACAATGGCTGGGTCAGCGATTCCTATGACGGACGGTGATATTTTCGGCTTCTTCTCCTTATGATCCTCCTACGCGTTTATGACTACATCAACTTTCTGTCGCTTCATATGTTAGATACCACTTTCACTGCTTTATGCGCGAGAGCAGGGTCATCTTATACCCCGGGATTTGAGTACACAAAGGAGTTTTTGCGATGTTTCCGGGGCTTGCCTGAGGGCGTTTGCTGTAGACGATAGTAGATTTTACGTAATCGACTATTTTTGTTCATCTCTTGTGGTTGTGATGAACATGGACTTGTTTGGATGCCAGGGAGCAGAGGGTCTAGATCCACATGCTACAATCCACGGTTACTGCATAGTGGCTGATTTGGCCAAGGTTCACGGAGAAGAGCCATGTGCTGTCGGCTGTGGCTAGAGTGGCTTGGACAGCTGAAAGGAAGTGTTGGACGGACTTTACGCCATGTTTCTACCTTGCTTTACACTTGCCAATTCTCCTACTGTCCCGCTGATAGGATGTTTCTCGGCCGAACACAACAGTGCGGCACAAGTAGCACTGTCGGGGAAACGTAGCAAACAAAGACAACGGCCATGTTCCAAATCCAGCGTCCCCTTTGGCAAACCTCATAATAGCAGCGCAACAGACATGCCACTTGGATGGTTTCTCACGGTTGACCCATTCGTGCTTGCTTAGTATTGCGGTGGGTGGGGTGATCAGGAAGGAGGTCCCGACGGCTCTTTCTTCTTACACTCTTGATTACTGTAAGAGAAGGAATGTTCGTTGTTGCTTCCTAAGACTGTCAATGCCGGGGGTTCTTCCGCCGTTTCCCGGGTGATGTTTTGACGAAATGAATGCAGGCACTTCAAAAAAGAAAGGTCGAGATATCAGAAGAAAGGTTTGGAGTGGACGAGGCCTGGCTGAAGAGTAGAACACGGGTAGAGTGTTGCTTCTGTTACCCCGTCGTGGTTGCCTTCTACTACATTCTCCCTTCACTCTCCCGACTTTTCGGCAAAAAGGAGCAGAAGAAGAAGGAGGTCTAGAGTATTAAAAACCTGCTAAGTAGATCTATGCCTTATAAGAGCTCGGCATGTTTGTGTAGTCGCCATGTGTCTATATCACCCGACATCACTACCTAGATCTCGCTTAATTTTTTGGCAAAAAGCGTGAAAGCAAAAAAGAAAGCCAAACCTCCGCCGGATGGCAAAATAGGAGCCAAAAAAGGTTGGGCCTGACCGGGATTCGAACCCGGGGCCTGTCACAGAACAGATACACTGTATCCAGGTAAAGATAACCCGAAGCGACAATCATCTGGGGGGGTTGTTAGATATGGGCGGAGAGCGAGGCGTTGGACGCTACTTACACCACTAGACCATCAGGCCGATCTAACTGATTGATGACAAATTTTTGGGCTACACATGATATATCTTTGGCTGTTATACGTGTATTCTACTGAGGATTAGTCGAGTCATGGGTTTACCCCTATATCCCTATGCTCCGATGGTGGGGCGTTGAATAATGACGGATTCTAGGCAGGGCTGTGGAACGGTGTATCCATAGCTTGTAGCCTCACTTTACTCTACTAGGAACATTTTGCGAGCAGAAAAATGCCTAGTTTTGGCATTCTACTCGACGGTTGACTCGGAGTATTAGAGCTGCCGGAGTTCAGCCACGAAGCTATCGGGTGGCCGAGATGGTCACTGCCATGGCGATTGCGTTGCAGACTCGTGTGCTGTCGCCAGCAGATCTGACACAAGCAATGCCCAAGCCTCTGGTCTTGAGGGGTTGAGGAGCATCATAGGCTCGTTGCATCGCCTTATCGCGCGCCTCACTTGTAGCGTACAGTGCTAGCGGTGGGCGGAGAGCCGATCATACAGGCACACCAGTGCTGCATGGTTGCGGGAGGGAGCCGACATCGCTAACCCTATGACGATCCCCCCTGTCAGCGGCGCGTTCAACAAGGTCTACACCGACATTTTCGCGCCATCGTCATGTGCTCAACGGCTGTCAACGGGTGTCACCAAGGACACCATTATGTATATTTGTTGAAATATACAATTTTCAAGGAATTTCAAGACAAGTTCTCATCGTTCTTAGCACGCTCGTTGCTCTCTTCCGCAAGCGCAAGCTGGGAGGTGTCGAAAGTGCGGGGAAGAGGGCTGGTGGATCTCGTCCATTGGCTCGGGCCCCCGCTTGTAACAGATGCAGTATGGCAGCTGCCCCAAGCTTCCTCTCATCCACTGAGCACAACGGAGCCTATTGCTGCATCCCCGATAGAGCAGTCAGTGTTATGAACAACTTATGATGGTGTGATGCGTCGTCGCACAGCCCACTGACCGCTTCCAAACCAAAGGCCAAGAGGTCTGGAAAGGCCGTGGCTGCTGCGCCTAAGGTTTGAGCATTAGAAAAGGGACAGCTTCCCCTCCCGATCGCGACCTTGCTCTGTCATTCCACCTTCTCAACACCTCCCAGCCTGCCGGATATCCTGATCGCGATCAAATCTTCCGACCATTCCCGAAGCTTGTAGTCTTCATCGAAACCTTATCGTCTCATAATATCTAATCTATCATCTTCCCACTACTTTATAATCCGCCTTCTTTTCGCTGTCAGCTGCTTCCATTGCTACATCGTTATCCTCCTTGCACTTTACCTTCAATCAATACACTACCACACATTCTCAACATGCAAGCCTCAAAACCGTGCATCCGCGCTATGAGCGCCCTCGCAGGTCCCCGTCTCCTCGGTCCCCGCCTCACTGTCCGTCAGCTCTCCATGACGGGCCCAACAACCTTCTCCTCGCTCCTCACAACCGACAAGCCCTACGCCTCAAATCGTCGTACAAACCCAATTCGTCTTTCTGGCGAACAGGTCATTCCTGTCCCGGAAGCCACGGAGACTGGCAACAAAGTCCGACGCTTCAACACATCGAGGAGCCGAAAGGCCATCAAGGATTCCAGTACCATGGATTTTACCTATATTCCGGACTTTGATCCGGAGACAAGGAGCGCGCCTCTCGGTCTCCGAGTTCCGATCCTCCCGTGGGCCGATGTCCAGGGTCACTCTTCCGAGAGCGATAACGTGGTAAGTCTTTCCTTATCTTTCGGCTCTTGCGTCATGACATGATGCTGACGAATGCGCTACACAGGTCATGCAGCCAACCATCTACACCGTTGCCGCTGATGGTACCCACATCCACTCCCCCTCTGCCATGTCCGAGATGACCGACACAAACCAGTTTGATTACCAGGGCATGGCTGAGACCGTTGCCAACAAGTTCACCGAGACCCGCCAAGAGGGCGAGAGCATGGTCAGACAGATCTTGACCGACTTCATGGAGGATATCGGTGTTTCCAAACGCGGCCCCACTAGGGCTTAGTCTTAGATACATGTAACGGTACTACTGTCGGTGAACAGTAGCCTGTTTATGGGCTTCGGGGCATTGGGTTGCCCATGATGATCGGGCATGTCTGGGCATGGGTACTGCATGAGAGGGTTTTTATTCTGATGGTAGATTGGTCTTGCGCGAAGTGCTCGGGCTTATGAGATCACGAATCACATCTTTTATTTGCTTTGTTCTTTGATTTATTCGTTAGCCCTACTTGGTCTTGCTTAGCTCATGATGCATTGATACGCAGATGCCGATCAGAGCCCATATTCGCCCTCGACTATCTCGGGTACGAATTATCCATCAGTATGCCTGAGATATGTTCCGAAACCGTCCGTTATCATTCCTCCGAAGCCATCATATACCCTCACTCAAAGAAGCCGTAGTCAGCTTCCTCGTCGTAACGCATGTGGGAGTATGTTTTGGCACAATCATTTTTACCCTGCTCTGTGAGATGTTCCCTGTAGCATCGGCTCCGCAGCTTGTGCTTCAACATCGTCTCTTCCTCGGACACAACTTTGTACTCAGCCTCAGCCTGTACGGCCGCACTTCCTCCACTGTAACGATACCTGTCGATCTTGTCCCCTGCTGCAATCACTCCTTTGCGGCAACGAAGAGGCTCCTCGCATGCCCATTGCACCCCGCCGAACCTGGCCAAAGTCCGGTGCAGAAATGCCGAGGGTAGTTCCTTGTGAACAGTCTTGATTGAACCGTTAGCAAAGGGCCAATGCTTACAAAACCCATCAACTAGGAGCTGCACAACTGCACTCTTCGAAACAACATTGATGTACGAGTAGTTGACCAGTTCGATGGAAGCACCGGGAAGTTCGTCGTTTTTGTCGGACATAAGCACATGCGAAATGATGCTATCCATAATGGCCGAACGGAAAGTCGGCGCAACGAATCGGTCACCGAGGACATAGGCTTTAAGCAGGACTAGACCCAGGGCGGTGTACGTTTGCATACAGTCTTCTTCGCCCTGAACAAGGTCGAGCTTCTCAAGCCAAGCCTTCTTTGAATCGGGAAGTACGCCTGTATACAGCCATTCGACGAAAACCTTGACTGAATAATTGTGTTATTAAGGGAACACTGAGTGCTCGATACTCATTTTACTCACAGGGCTGTAGCTCGATATCTAACAGAGGCACTACACCTTCTCTTCAGGAGCACGATGTCACCTGCAGTAGCGGTGCTTTGCCAACGTTAGCTTTTGAAACCCTGGAATGTCTTTCAACCTGACTTACAGGATTGAAGGCGCCGGCGGAACTTGATCTCGAGACGCCATCGCGTTTACTGTACTGATAAGGGTTTAACGTAGAAAGAGGGAAGACGTATACTACGAAATCGGCTGTTGAGGTTGCAGAAGTGGGGCTTGCACTTTTGGAAAGTGCAACAAGGATGACATCGCAGCAGGTGAAGGTGAGGAGCTGAGAAACTTCCCCATGCATCTACGATCGAGTATCCAGAAGATGCATCTACGCATAATACCCAAATCTTCATCTTTCTGTACACACGAGCTCCTGTCTCGAACAATCGAGCGTATCAAACAAACTCTCACGGCTAGAAGTAAACATATTGACTCCAGGGATCTAGAACTACTAGAATTCTAAAGAGATCACTAGTCTCTCTAGCCCGGCCAGTTGAGCGAAAGCGAAAGTAAAATGGTGAACAGTCAATAGTCAGGGCAATACAAAGCGTTCTGCCTGGAAGCATTTGAAGGTGTGCTCTGATGTAAAGTACAAAAATGTAACTGGCTACAGTGCATGTTCTTCGTATGGGTAAGCCACCCGCGAGGCATTCGGTAGTTTATTCGGTAGTATCGCGGGGAGCTAATAAGCTGATGGGCGTTACAAAGTTCATGTACGAACTGGTGGGGCGTGTGGAGCGACAGGCTATGGGGTTGTTGTGGGGTATAGGATATGGGGTTGGTGGTCACTTCTGAGTACGCGTCGTCTCAGTTGAGTTTGTGCTGCCTGTCAGTGTTTGATGTGCTGATATTGTTGGTACTGGTGCAGAATTCAGTCATTGAACACATTGTGTGTCTACGAAACACAAAGAAATCTCGTGGTCTTGCGTACCACTACGGATGAATTACTTTTTTGTTGTTTTTCATTTCGGTAAATATATCGCAATCATAGAGTGCCGGCTGACCCGGATTAACATTCGGTTCTCAGACCAAGAAGGTTCTGACTGTACCACGGCAATTGAATGAGGCAAACTCACCCATAAGAAATCTTAGAGTAGAAAATTGTAAGCAAGAATTGAGTTTCGGACCAATACCAAATACGAGACGAATTGTTCTAGACTCGCTGCGGACACCCATCAACAGCTTCATTCATTTAGTAAGTGGTTCCATATTAGGCTATGATCCAAACTATTGAAACAAGGTCCCTCTAGTAGTATGACTACTATGGATAACCGAGTGGGAGGAGGGACAAGGCGGGGTGGCTGCAACGTATTGTATTAACTGTCGTGTTATCTGTCAAGGTCTCACTCTATTGTGGTGGGTGCTATTGCCCACCGGGCAGTGCCTGCCACACCAGCACATCATGTGATCCCCAAGCACCTTCTACCTGGACTGAACCCAGATATTCTCAACACAAACACAAAAAAGGTGGCTACTGACACGTTAGGGAGACACCGCTATCAGAAACATCCATACCAGAGTTTGATACAAAACGTCTGCATTCTTTAAAAGTACCCCAAACTCGATCGATACTTTCCTCTCAATCACCTTCACAGTATTTGAAATGAGGGCTATTCTCATTCTATTTCTTAGCCTTCTTGGTGGGAGCGGTTTGGCAAAACGTACAAAACATACATGACAAACGCTGCCTGCTGCGCCGATGCACACCAAGAAAATACTTACAGCGCTATGTGCCTACACTGGCAGAGCAAATGCGACGAAGCGACATGGGGCCGTTGTGGAAGCGCAGAGCAGCAACATAATTGCGACAAATGCAACGCAAACCCCGGGAAGAATCCTTTTTGCAGTGGGCGACCTCGTAAGTAGAATTGTATGCTTTACGAATTGCGTGCTAACCGCTTGTTTTTACACAACTGCGAGGGATGGGTACCTTCTGGGAGGATGTTATTGCTTTGAGTAAACTAAAGTTGAGACGCAGTTGGAGCCAAGGCTTAAGTACTGTACGTTCGACACGTGGTTGGCCAACAACGTCATGGGGCACCAGGAACAGAAGGCCAGGGTTAATCAGGCGGGCAACAACGGTACTTGGCCAGGTCAGCACCTCTAGGATGGGAATATCGCTTTTACGTTGACCATAACGCCGCCAGCTGCTAGTCTTAAAATTACAAACTTTTTTTCTCACACGAGTGTTTCTGCCCTGTACCTATTCATATTGGTCAACGATACCAGCCGCTATCAGTTTCACGCCCGCAAGCATGCCGGTTCTCGAGATCACTCAGCTATGTCTGAAAGGTATTACCGCGGATGATCCAGCGTTGCTCCAAACTTTATCGGCTGTCCGAGACAAACTACAGACCAACTCGCAATTCTACGTCTCCGTTGAGGAGCCCGATTTGATCTTCATTCTGGGTATATGGCCAGATCTGGACGCTCATCTAAAGTTTCTGGCTTCTCCGGCACGGGAAGAGGTTCTCGGACCCCAGGAGGACATGCTCGAATTTCGTTGGACAATACACGTGGAGTTTGGTGGCATGCATTTGATTCCAGCGGATGCGCCTATCCTGGCAATGGAGAGAATGTATGTCAAAGGAGAGCAGGTTGAATCGGTCGACCGCGCTGTTATCAAGCATATGCAACAGCTCAAAACTACTCATCCGTTCAATGTAGCACATGGCTGGAGATGCGACATGGCTCCGGGAGACCATGAGGTTCTCCTCATCAGCGGATGGGAAACTACACAGGCTCATGTAACTTTGGTCAAAAAGGAAAGCAATGACAAAGATAGTGTTGCAGTTGAGGATGAAGGGTTGAAGATGCTAGGCGTTTTACATGGCAAGAACCTAGAACGCAAAGCAGCATCCTGAGATTTGGAATATAAACTTCCATCTTCGGAGTTTGGCATTATCGACTGTAATGTTAGAAGATGGATCATCTAGGCTCTAAATCGTCTGCAAAAAAGAAGTTCAGCTTCTATCTCCGTAAGAAGCGAGAGTATATTCTGTTCCAGCTCGGTCACTGGGGCCCACCAGGTAATATTTCGCGAGAAGATTGCGTGTCTGAAGCTTGGTGATATATTTATGGTTAGTGCTTAGCCTCTGATCTGCCGGGGTAATCAGGCACGGTGAAATTAAACCTTGAAAACTGCCGTTACGGTGCACGGCTCTGCGTTAGCCGCTATTTTCGAAGGAAATTCTACTGCATGTGATATGTGCAGAAGCTTGTGCTAGCACAAACAAACCTGTTGTGGGGTAGGTAGCACTGGGCGCTGTCTTGGCCGACAACGCCATGGGACGCCACAACAAGACAGCTGCGCGAGGCTTGTTTAGCTTGTAGCTTCAACTCTATGCCATGGTAGGGGTATGCTGACAGCAATGGAAAGAATTCTTATAACTGCAATTAACCATGAGGTTACATAGCAGCAGAAAGCCCGTTGCATTACCCCGCACCACTCGGAGTGGACGGAGCCATCACCTTCCCAACCCGAGTGACGTCGCCAGGGTGACAGGAAAGGCCGTTGCAGACATGGGTCTTACCTTTCACATGCTTCGCTCTTGGTACATATGTCGCTATCTAGATAGTTCCTAGCTGTTCAATCAAACCCAGAGTACCTCAGAGGCAACCACCCATTCTTGCGATTGTTTCCATAAACAAGTTATACTATTGCTTTGCCAAACAAGATCGGCGTGCGCACGTTGTTGCAGCACGGAGAGTACAGTTCAGCATGTATAGCCTCATCATTTATCTGTGGACTTTCACCCACCTTACTACGCTATCATCAGCCAAACTACAAATGAGGCTAACCGAAGATGTCGATGTATTGAAATGGGTCAACCCGTTGATAGGCAGTCAAAATGGTGGGAACGTCTTTTCAGGTGCGACTTTGCCGTATGGCATGGCAAAAGGCAAGTAGATGTTGATCGTAGAACTATCCTATAAGCTTATAACTGTACAGCCGTTGGCGACGTTGATGGCGCGAATACCGGAGGCTTCTCTACTGACGGATCAAACATCACCGGTTTTTCAGCGCTTCACGATTCTGGAACAGGGGGGAATCCCAGTTTGGGAAACTTTCCCATCTTTCCGCAGATATGCGCCCAAGACGACGTCAACTCATGCCATTTCCTGATTGCAGCACGAGCGACCCCATACATAAATGACTCAGTTGAAGCACGGCCGGGGTACTTTGGAGTCACTCTGAAAAATGGAATTCACGCCGATATGGCAGTCTCGGAACACGCTGCACTGTTCCGGTTCGACTTCTCAAAGGTGTCGACTGGCAATGCGAGTGCCGACCCACTCATCATGCTTGACCTGACTGATCTCTGGGCAAGTCGGCAGAATGCTTCAATCAGTATTGACGCGATTGATGGCTCTGAGAGTGGAAGAATGAAAGGCAACGGCACCTTCCTCCCAAGTTTTGGGGCAGGCACATACCAGGCTTACTTCTGCCTGGATGTTTCCGGGGGGTCCGTGAAAGACTCCGGAGTTTGGGTCAACAACGGAGCAGGAACAGAACCAAAGAATCTTTACGTTACTCGGGGATTCAACCTGTTCTACCTCCAGGCTGGCGGCTTCATACGCTTTAAAGGTCCGCTCTCTGGGCCTGTACTTGCGCGTATGGGTCTCGGCTTCATTAGCACTGATCAGGCATGCCGAAACGCTGAGCGCGAGATACCTGGTCCCAATTACAACTTTGATGGGCTGGTGAAAACAGCTGAAGCAGCCTGGCGCGAAAAGCTCAAGCCGATAACAGTCGAAAAAGGAGACGTGGATGACAGCATGCTCGTCAGTTTCTGGAGCGCTGTCTATCGCACGATGATATCACCACAGAACTACACGGGAGAGAACCCACATTGGCAGAGCAGTGAGCCATATTTCGATTCGTTCTATTGCATCTGGGATATGTGGCGTGTTCAACTTCCGTTTCTCACGGTCTTGGACCCGGCGATGCTGTCGAACATGGTTCGAAGTCTACTCGATACGTACAAACATCGCGGGTGGCTCCCAGACTGCATGATGAGTACCTGCAGGGGTTGGACACAAGGCGGTTCCGACGCTGACAACGTCCTCGTTGATGCTTATGTGAAGAACGTCACTGGTATCGACTGGGAACTTGCATACCAAGCCATCGTCAACGATGCTGAGAACGAACCTCTAGAATGGAGTTACCAAGGACGAGGTGGCCTGAACAGCTGGAAGAAATTGAACTACATTCCGTACCGCGATTTTGACCCAGTCGGTTTTGGTACAAACTCTCGAAGCATATCCCGGACACTGGAGTATGCGTACAACGACTTTAATCTCGCAACTCTCGCTCGCGGCCTGGGTAAAGACACTACCACAAAATACATGTCCCGCGCAACGAACTGGCAAAACCTCTTCAAAGCAGACCAGACCTCTTCTATCAACGGCGTCAATACAAACTTCACCGGTTTCTTCCAACCTAAATTTCTAAACGGAACTTGGGGCTTCCAAGATCCCATCGCGTGTAGCCCATTGACGAGTTTCTGCTCCCTGACATCAAACCCATCCGAGACTTTTGAGTCGAGTGCATGGGAATACATGTTCTTTGTTCCCCACGACGTCGGCAAACTCATCGAACTAACAGGCGGCGACGAAACATTCATCAAGCGACTTGACTTCTTCCATACCTCAGGTTTGGCAGATATTGGTAATGAACCAGTCTTTTTAACAGTCTACATGCCGCATTTTGCTGGCAGACCAGCTCTTTCTGCCAAACGGGCGCGTTCCTGTAAGTCTCTCTGTCTCATAACAAGCCACACACTAGGTGGGTAACACCATTCTAACACAACAATTCTCAGACATACCATCAAGCTTTAACGACACCCTCCCTGGACTCCCCGGTAACGACGACTCTGGCGCCATGGCCAGCTTCGCCATCTTCAGCATGTTTGGCCTCTTCCCCAACCCAGGCCAGAACGTCTACTTCATCACACCCCCCTTCTTCCCTTCACTCTCCATCACTAACCCAATTACCAACGCTACGGCTACAATCCACAACATCAACTTTGACAAGGCCTACAAGAACATCTACATTCAGAGCGCCAAACTAAACGGCGAGACATACACACGCAACTGGATTGGCCACGAGTTCTTCACAAAGGGGGGCATACTGGAGCTGGAGCTGGGAGACAAGGAGAGTGAGTGGGGAACCAAGGTTGAAGATCGTCCGCCTAGTATGTCGAGTAAGCAAGACACGGCGACGGCGGATTTGGGTTTGAGGATGGTGTGAGAGTATGCTAAGTTGTCATTGTTATCCAGCGTGTCGGTATTATACTCTAGGGTAGCTGGGCAACAATTATACTAGCCAAGTAGCCATGATTATGAATCCATCAGTGTGCATACTTGTGGACAATACATGTGGAACCTTTTTTTCACCGGACAAGTGGAGTCTGAAGTTTGAGTTGTACTTCTGGTGTGTGCACGAGTGCATGAGCAGTGGCCCATCTAGGCATAGTTGCGACCCTGCATTAATCACAGCGCATAGTGCTAAAGACGTGTCTCGCAGCGCCTAGTTATCAGATCCAGGGGTAAAACCATGAGTAGAGATAAGCAGGTACCCGCGTTTTGTCGTGTTGGTTGTTGGTAGCTGTCGGGTATGGGGATCCGAGATCATCACTGCAGGGACTGGACGGGCATGTTTGAAAGCATGGGGATCTTGGCAAATGCCCATTTTACAAGCATGGCATTTTGCTTTTAATGATACAAAGGGAATCTGATCTTAGCCTCTACCAAATGGCATCCGCCGTGTGGTGTAACGTGGGCCCGTGTGAAGATGCAAGAATAGAATCAACAAAGTTAAGAAAAGAAATCCCCGTGTGGGATATGCCAGTAGCCTGTAGAGCACCTACGGTAACTCTGAAGAAGCATTTCGCTTGAACGCCTGAACCCTGCCCAATGCTTGCTGTTCTTGGTATCCATTTTGAATCCGTTGCGCCTGTGAAGAAAGAAGGAAGAAAAAACAAAGATAGTCGACAGGACTTCCGATCTATTCCTAGATCCCTTCCTGTTGTCTTGGAATGAAGGCCTAGGCCAATGCCACGGTCTTAGCACCAACACTCGAAGTGATCGACGCAGGTGGCGTGGGCGGTGCAATGTCGATCTGGGGCGCCACCCATCCCTCTTGCCGCGCAATCCACATGACGAGGTTGAGATCGAAGTTCTCGAAGAAAACTTCATCTAGGAAGCGGGCCTTCGGACCAGCGTAGGTGTGGTATTCTTCGCGCACGGTCTCGGGGTCGACTCCCAGGACTCGGCGGAAGCAGGCGATAGTGCAACCGGTCCGGTGCTTTCCCTTGTTGCAGTGGACAAGAATGGGGTGATTGGCGCGATCCATGATAAGACGCAGAGCTCGTGACATCTCGCACGACTCGACGCGGACCTCGCCCTTGTTGGCCCGGATGTGAGCATGAAAGTGCTGGATCCCAGCCTCCTTCATGAAGTTCTGGTATGCGGGCGAAATAGGCTCAGGGACAAGCGTCAGGATTGTCTTGATCCCAAGCTCTTTCAGGAAACCAAAGTTCTCCTCCTTTGGATAGCCGCTACGGTAGACGCAGCCAGGAATAACAGCACCGTAGTTGAAAGGAGGGATCAAAGATTGTAGGCGGTCTGGTGCTGAGCGGATGGAGCTTGCCGGTGTGAGCGTACCATAGGACGCTGTTGTGAAGGCGACAGAGCATTCTTGATCTTGAGGGTTGATGACAACTTTCAAGTCTTCATGTGTTGTATCGCCGGCGTGTTGGATAAGACCATCGCTTGCAGAGAGTCCAAGAGAGGCGACAAACTCCCTAATTCTATCGTAGAGGTTCTCTTGAATATTTTGGCCCTGGCCAGAGGGCGTATCAGTATTCACGTCTCTGCCAGACATTATGAGTTGCAGAAAGGTGCTTCTTGTTGAGTTGGATAAAGGGGGTATGTCGGGAATTTGTAGACCCAAGCTCTGCTTGCGCGGTGCCTGTAAGGTGGAGTTGCAGTCGCGTAGTCGCACAATATCGTGTAGTATTTCCGTGAAATGCTCTGGAGGTGGCGTAGTTGGACTACGTCTACTAGGTCGCGCGAGGCAGCTGTTCGAGTATCGCGTATGTGTTTGTGGGAAGAGAGACAGTAGGCAGAAGCCGACGCGGGCAGCCTTGATGAAGAATGTCAGTACATGGTCAAACTTGACTCGAAAACCAAAAAGCTCTTAGAAGCTCCTGATCCATGGGTGGGAGCGTTGCGACCAAAGATTTCCGTGGTTCGGTAGTGGTTCGCGCGGCGAATGGAAGAGCGAGCTTTGAAGGAGCCGATAGGTCGCTGTGTGGGCAGTGACAGCCCACTTTGATAACCAGAGTTGCGACTTACTTCGCGGTCACCGGTTGGTTACAGGACACATTGTGAGAGCATGTTAGGGTAATGCGTGGAGGCGGCGAGATTCATTGTGTGGAGAGGGAGGTAGAGGTGGGCTGTAGGGCGGGGCGTGCACAGCGCACAAGGATTGGGAGTGGTGAAAGTATGGGGGTAGCGAGGTAGATGTCAACCGTAGTTCGCGGGGGAGTGAGGGAGTAGTGTGATTATATTAGTAGCTGGTGTTGTGTGAGAGAGATCGGGATGCTTCTAGCGCGACTTTGAACTTTGACCAGGATTCGGTCGGAAATGATCCGCTTACTTGGTCTTGCGAATATTTCCAGGGTCCGCCAAGCACGCTGTACGTCACCTACCGTCTTTTCCGAGTGGTGATTAGCAATGCAGGAACGCTGCACCGATGAATCATCCAGGAAAACGTATGATTATATGCTATTTCCATTTCACGACTCTGCGAAACCTCACGTGATGCCAACAGATGTGTGAACAACTTGTCGCAAACACCACACCAAGCAAGTGCCAAGTGGCTGGGTCCTCGCCTTCCAGGCCTACTCAACCGCCCCCACTGCGCATAGTGCGGACTAGACGGCGCGTCTCAACACCGTCTCGGCCCTGGGCGCCATCGACAACTTTGATACTCTCTCAATGCCCATGGCTCGTCATCGCTCCACTGATGCTTCATGGAGCGCTGGGCGGGGCCTTTGAGCTGGTCGGGCAAAGAAGCGTGCTCAAGCTACCGAGGGTAACATGGGCGAAAAAGTGGCACGGGCAAGACACCAAGCAGGACAGCGAGTTCGGTACAGCGGTGAATTGCCAGCCAGCGCTCCTTCACATGAGTTTTGCAAACGGGATGGCCTGTATTACCATGAATGAATAAGATGGCGTCGAGTCTACAAAGTAGTCGTCGTCACATGGGTGGCGCTCCATGCCTCACCCATGGACAGAACGACCACGACATCATGATTTGTATTCGGCCAGCCACCTTGTCATCGTCTCGTTTCTACCTGACTGTGTCTCCACAGCATTCGGAACCGGATTTCAACTTACTCAAGGTTTGCAATCATTCCTAATCGTCAGCACTTGAGTAATCCAGGCTTAATCCATAGCTCCAAGGCCTAGGCTAGAGGGCACGCACAAAAGGTTACGAAACGAGTCCAGACTGTTACGCTAGTCGCCAGATGTAGAAGATGTCCAAGTATCAATAGCATTCATCTAAACTCTATATCTTGTGGTCTCTCAGTAACTTCCAAGTTGAAGTTTCCGTCTCCAGTCTTTTCACGTGAAGGGCCCTAGATCTTCCACTAACCGCAATGGAGCTAGCTCCCTTTCCCCAGAGTCTGTGCGCGAGATCTGTTGAACCTCGGTCACTCCACCAACACGAGAGGCATCGTAACATCTCGGGACGTCAACTACTCTCCTTCTATCCCTCCGCCTCTTTCAATCTAGCATCATGGAGCCTCCCCGGTCAACCTCGCGCTCGCGCCGCTCCTACCCGAACCTCCAAAATCTCTCCATCGCACCATTGAGTGCCAAATACCCCCTCGATGCATCGGTTCCTCCCTCACCCGATGAGCAAGTTACCACCACACCGCGAACATCCTACATTGTGCAAAAGTCTGCACCCGCAACACCAGGCGTATTGAGTCTTAGCCAGAGCCGTAGTACCTCTCGGCAGCGGCAGAAGAAGGCATACGCATACGACAGCTATTTCATGACACCCAGTTCCGAAGTGCGAGAAATTGGCGACATACCAAAGGCAAAGAGCACGAGCATGTTACATCCAGGTGTCAGTTTTGCAGACGAAATAGAAGAAGGAGAAACCGAGAAGAAGAGACATCATACGCGGAAGGGCACGGCACCTCTACCTCTACGCTCACCAAGCATCAAGCACCACACTAAAGAGTCCAATGACGAATGGTTCCACCGTGCGGGATTGGCAATCGCCGGAGAGATGAGAGATAGCAAGGGCCAAGGGTGGCTTGTGAGGCGGGAGAGTTCAACAAGTCTAGTCGGGGAGAGCGATCCCTTCGACCAGCACCATGTCCACGACGACCGACGCATGGCTCTTCTCTCAGGCGAACATCTCGGCGACGCCGAATTTCCCTCCTTCTTCTCTCAGCGCAATTCTAGAGCCGGAAGCCGTCTGCCAAGCCGCGTGGGCTCCCGCGTACCCAGCGCCCGCCAGAGCCGAAGGGGAAGTAGAGTTGGCAGCCGGGTGGATCTCATGACAGGTTTCAAGAACCAATCCGGACGCCCCAACTTTGACATTTCAGAGCTGGAAGAACGCTTCATCGAGCCCGACTTTATCGAAGCGGACGAGGAGTCTGACGGCGATGAGGAAGAAGTCGCACGCCTGGCGCGTGAACGCGGGTTCGGTCTTGGGGGCTGGATGGACAGTTTACTTGGATGGTCGCTGTTCTCCGTCGATGAGGATAGAGAGGGGTCTTCTGATGACGACGATGATATGGAGGGTAGTACTGGTTTGCGCCTCGACAATATCTCAGCAGAGGAACTCAAACTCCGCCGCGAGGTGGAAGCTAAGAGGCGCAAACTTGAGCGCGAAACTATCATTGCCGCTTCGGCGTTGAATCGCCGCGAGGGCGATGCAAGTGAGAGTAGTAGACCTAGCACTGCAGATAAGCCGCCGCCTGCGAATGAGGAAGGTGGCGGATGGCAGGATGCTGCATGGCTGTTGAGTGTAGCATCAAAGGCCCTGTTTTGAACATAGTATGGTGTACATACTTGGGCTTTTGTCTATACTACACAAGGGTTGTAAAGCATGACTACTGAAAATAGGTTGGGCAGAGCCCTGGAATGAGTCACGAAAAGGCAAAACACAGAGTCAATCACATCGGGTACACTGGGAGCAGTTTGATCACTCACAACGATGACCACAAAATAATTTCATGTTAAGTGGTTGGGAATCCAAGTCCGAATACCATTCTGCAGCTAACAAGATATTTTCCAATGATCACTTACGGTATTATTGCTACAATTTACTAGTACAAATCACATATTGGTCGGTGATGAGACCTCAAACACTCTTCATACTCCATCCAAGCACCAAACAATCACATCCCCAACCCTCCGATGATCGTCATGAAAATGCGAATTAAAACCCCTCCAACACTCCTGATACCTCGTGCCCTCAAGATGCGTCTTCAGCGTATCCTCCAACTGCTCAAAGAAGACCAAGTTCTGTGGCCACTCACGCCGATACTTGCGTTTGAACTTTGGGTCCTGGCGCATCCAGTGCTGGCCCGAGCGACTGCCACTCGCGGTAATGGTTTGCACATCTTCCATGTTACCGCGGAGCCATGCCACTGGGCCAGGTTTAATATAAAACTCATCGGCTTCGTCAAAGTAGGCAGAGCGTTCGGAGGTTGGAATGTCGATTGGGGGTTCACAGGTCAGTGCCCAGGCGGAAAGCTCGGGGTAGACGAGGTGGGAGCGCCAGGGGGTAGAGTGGCAAGGCATGAGGAAGCCAACTGTCGTGTTTGTTACGATAGCAGCGTGCGTGTCGGTACTGGAAGATGTGTGTGATAGGTTATTGCGCGTTTCATGTTTATGGCGAAGATAGGCGAGAACATCGATGACGCCTCGTTGATGGAGCTGCGAGACATAGCTCGCAAGTAGGATGTTTGCAATAAGAAGGGACAATATGACGGCTCGGCGCGATAATGCAGCTTGGCGAGGCAGGAAATTGCAGAGCGGTGCGGCTGCAATGATGTGAAGAAAAGGCAGTATAGGATATAGGAAGCGAACTTCCTTGTGTGATATCAGACTCAACACAACGGTCATGAAAACTGATGTCCATGCCAAACGTGCTAGTATCCGTTTGCCCGTTGCGTCTTCACTTGACTCGACTGGGGATGATCCTTGTGGTTCTGGGCCCTGCAAAGATTTCCATAGGCCGACAGCGGCGAACGGTAAAGCTGTGGTGAGAAGCAACGGCAGACCTTCGGTAAAATAGTAGTCACCTCGGTTCTTCCCGTAGAAGACGGCTAGAGACTGGGCGATGTTGAAGTAGAGGAAGCGGAGCGGCGGAAGGGTCCAGACTCGGTAGTACAGTCGGTCAGACACAAGTGAGACTGCGAAAACCACGACGCTAGTATCGTCAGTTTGAATCATGATCTGGTGACCTCCATGGCACAGTAGTGGTATGCCGAAGATGGCATGGAACGTGCACTATGGGGACCAAGACCGTGCGTCGGATGCGAGAGCAAACACTTACCCGCAGAGCAGGACTTCCCGGACCAGCACATACCGCAGTTTCTGGGAAGCCTGCCAGAGGGTTGGTATGGATACGGCAAGCCAGATGAGGGCATTGGTTGGTCGGAGAATACATGCAAGCGCTGCCAACAGTAGTGACAGACGCAACCTGCACAAGCATGAGCTAAAATGGCGGCGGAATAGACAGAAGCATATCTTGAATTCCACAACTTACTCTGTGAGCAAGCCGAGGTCCTGGGATGCAATATGCGATTTATCCTGTGTCCTAGCGGCCCCATGTTTTGACATACCCTGCCAAGGCCAATAATACATGGCAATGGAGGTTATGGTAGTCTCCAGGCAATTAGACAAAGTCCGCGTTGAGCAGAACCATTGCCACGGGCTGCATACGGACAAGGCAAGCTAGAAGCGGGTAAGATGAAGGATCAGAGGATGATTGATTAACAGAGATTGCGGGATGGTCGCGTACAGTAAGAAGGGCAGTGCGGGTGCCACGACCGTAAACTTTTTCCGCAAGTTTCCAAGTGTAGCAATCAAGCAAAGCCGCAAAGACGGCCTGGAAAACTTTCGGCGTTGCGATGAGGAGTTCGGCTTTTGCAGGTAGCGACAAGCGCCAGAAAGCAGCAAGATGTGCCGCAACTCTGTAGACGGCAGCAAATAGCGCTGGATGCACGGACGACCGCAACTGCGACCTCCACTCCTGATGATGGTGAGACGACAGCCGACTACGGAGAGGTCTATAGCGGATTTACCCAAGTGATGCAGGCATGACTGTTGGCGCCAAAAGCCAGCTGCCATGCAGGCTCGAGGGACTGGAAGAACTCATCGGGCTGGAAAAAGGTGCGCAGCGTCAAAGCATTGACGATGCGGAAGGCAAGCAGCAGGGCAAAGACGGCTAGCGTCGAGTCACGATAGCTGTTAGGCGTCGGTCGTGGTGGAGCACCAGTGGCGGTCGGATTCGTGTTCCTCGTCGAGTCGCTGGTGGCAGGCATTGGATAATCAGGTTGGCGTGGAGCACAAGCGGGAAGCCGGGGCGGATGGGAGACGAGCTGAGGGAGATGAGATTGGCAGCGAAGGTGACGATGCGACGGCCGTCGGTCTAGCTCCTTGGCACCATGCACGAGCACGCCGGGGGTGGTCACGCATGGGTGGTGTTTGCGTGTCGAAAGCAGAAAAATTGATGCTGGCACCTTACCGCATTAGGACTTCACGATGATTGCTGAGGAGTCGGACGCGCCTAGACCGAGGCGTGCGTGTGCTGGTTCTCAGCACCGGGCAGACAGCATGCACCGCGGTGTGACTGTGCGCCGAGCCAGGCCGTATTTTCTCACGATAGGCCCGGCAATGGTGTCAGTAGCGATAGTGTGGTCGAGCTATGGCATGTGTGAGGGAGGGTGTGTGTGCCGGCCCAACAATGACGAGCGCATGCGGCCAATGGCTTGTCAGGCCGCCCGTGACGCAGCTGCGAGGCAGAGCAGAGAGGTAGGTGGTAGTGGTAGAGCAGAGGCAGAGTAGATGCAGGCACGGCGGGAGCGAAGAAGCAAAACAGGTACCTGAGCAGATGGGTACAGGTACATGGCCATGGAGGGTACTGGTAGATCTGGGGAACGGATTTAGTTTAGCTACAGAGGGTCCAGTGCCAGTGCCAGTGCCAGGACAGCAACAGCAAAAAAAACAAGTGCAGCCGGGCCAGGGTAGGCATGACTGGCTTGCGAGGTTTTAGAGTTTGGCCAGTTTGGCCAGTGTTGGCAGGGTTTGCAGCATTACGACTGGTCGCTCTTATCGCGCTTCGTCGTCTAATGCAGCACAATGGTGGAGCGCGCTGCGTGCTGCCGACGCAACCGCAGCGCACGACAGGGCCTTTGAGGCAGTTGAGGGTTGAGGGTTGAGGCACATGCGGCTGCAAGTGCTGGGAACGCGTCCAGCGTCTCTGCTGTTCGGTCGTCATCATCTTGAGCCAACCTGGACGGGCGAACGCCGCCCCTCACGACGGGCAACCCCCCGGCCTGGTGTGGTTGAGCCAGTCGCGGCCAGGGCGCGTTGCCGGTTGGGGCGCGGTGCACGTCTAGTGTCATGTACGTGATACTGGCATACTGGCATTACTGCCACACCACTGGCGTCGTTGCCGGCGAGCCCATATCACGGCCTGGCCTGCGACTGCGACGCGCGACACTCAACAAGAGTCCCCAGTCGACTCGACGCGCGGGAGAGCTGGGCAGCAGACCACATGGCATACATACAGTACAGCGCCGTCCATTAAGTTATTATCACCATCACTACTACCCATTCCCTTCCTTCCCTTGTCCAGCCTTGGCTACCGCCCTAGTGTCCCCACCGCGCTTGGCGGCCTTCTCCCGCCGGCGAGCAAAGAGCGTCATTCACAGGCCCCAAAATACCAGTGCTCATCCCTACTCCATCGGGACAGCGCAGGTCGGCCGATCGTGTCTCTCTCAACCAAATCCATATCGAGCCGTTGAGCCCACGACCCGCTCCACCCTTCTGCCTCCTCACGTACCACTTCAGCCTTCAGCTTTTGCACAGAAACACTAAAACATCTCCACGTCCACACCTGCCTGTGCATGCCCCCATTGTCCCCGCCGTGCCACCTCGCTCTCCCGCCCGCCGCGCAATGAGACGCTCCGCCAACGACACAGGCCCCGACTACGCTTAGAAGGCCTGGCATGGTGACACGGTTACGCTGACCTGAGACGTTCGAGCTGCAGTTGCCATGGTAGACCCAAATGCCGTCCTGACAGCCGAAGGGGATCCACGCCACGCAGCAACGCCATGGGAGCCAGCCTCATCCATGTGCTACCTGTCCCAGTACACGGCGCAAGACGGGACCGCAGCCCACCCGCAAGACCAGCATCGGCATCAGGACCAGGAGCAGGACGGCCAGCAGACGCCGGGCCAGCGCCAGCGCCAGCGCCAGAATGCCAGTCAGGACCCCGTTGATGAGAACGACTGCACGCCCCGCTCCGAACTGCCTTCGGTACCAGACGCCCTCAACGCTTCGCTGCTCTCGCACATTCACACCCTCGACCCGGAACCGTCGTACTTTTCGCCGCAGCCCCTCCGCATCTACTCGTCGCCCATCCCCCACGACACGCCGCCCGCTTCCTCCAACCCCTCGCCCAGCAGCAGCGCGCATGCCTCACACAGCTCCCTCACCAAACTTCACCACGACGCCCAGCACTCCCAAGCACCCCTCGTCCCGCTCCACGACCGCCCTACCTTCATGCGAGATCTGTCGACCGCATCCACGGCTAGCAACCTGACGTTACGGGCCAGCTCAGTCGACCCTCAGAGCCCGTACCCCCTCCCCCTCCCCACACGCCAGCGCGATGGTCCCGTCTACCCCAACCAGTCGTATGCTGCCCTGCATCTCCAGCAGTACCCGCAGCCACACGTGCCTCCCATTGTGCGCTCCCGCAGCTCCCACCCCTCGCACTCGGCCGCCAACTCGCTATCCAGCTTGGGTGCCTTTGGTCTCTCCCACGACCACTACAAGGACATTATGGAGTCTGCCCCGCGCACTGTCGGCAACTCTCCTGTCAGCAGTCCCGGCTTGTTCAACCCGTCCAAGCGCCGCTCTTCTCAGGACCCTGACCAGCAGACAGACGACGGAACCTACTCGACCCCCTGGCTGCACCACACGCATAGACAGGCGCCCAAGGAGACACACATTGCAGACGTGCAGGCTGACCCCGTTTCCGGTCGTAAGATAGTGAACCAGTATGAGATCATCGATGAGCTGGGAAGAGGCGTGCATGGCAAAGTCAAGCTCGGCAAGGACCTGGTCCACGGCCGCTATGTCGCCATCAAGATCGTCGACCGCTACTCTAAACGTCGACGTCTGGGCAAGAACAACAGTCACGAGGACAAGATCAAGCGTGAAATTGCCATTCTCAAAAAGGCCCGTCACCCCAACATCGTCAGCTTGCTCGAGGTCATAGACGACCCGGCTAAGAAGAAGGTCTACATTGTACTTGAGCACGTCGAGCTGGGTGAAGTCAAGTGGAGGACCGAAGGCGCTCGCGAAATCTGTCTCGTCGAGTGGCGTCGTTTCAAGCGGGAGTCTCAGGGCATCTTCGACAATGACAGTGCAATACTGGAAGACGAGAGGATCATACGTGTCGCCCACCAGAAGCTTGCTCGTCAGCAACGTCGGCTGGCCAAGGAGGCGTACCTTCGTCGTAAAGACGGCTTGTCCAACCCTGCCTGGAGTCTTGAGTTTGGAATCGACTCCGAAGACGAATACTCCGAGACTGGCCGTGCTTCTCAGGCGTCTAGCCGTGATGACGACCGCACGCCCAACCGTGTTCACTTTCGTGAACGACAAGACGGCGCGGGCCACCATGATGACCACATGGAGACGGCTTTCCGCTCTCCTGAGCCAATGAACAACTCCTATGTTGACGGACTTGAGGGAACAATGTATGGTGCCTACGACAACGACCTATTGCGGGGGCGCGTGCCGAGCATTGCTGGCAGCTCGTCATCCCGTCTCACTGACCCTGACGAGGAGATACCCGAACACTTCAACTATGTTCCCCTCATGACCACCCATGCAGCTTGGGAAGCCTTCAAGGATACCGTGCTCGGCATCGAGTACTTGCACTATCAAAATGTCATCCACCGCGACATCAAGCCAGCCAACCTTCTCGTTACTCGGGAGCACCGCATCAAGATCTCCGACTTTGGTGTGTCGTATCTGGGACGGCAAAAGACGGATGAAAGCAACGGCGAGCAATCAGAATCCGACTACCAAGAGGTCGACGAAGCCATCGAACTAGCAAAAACTGTTGGCACCCCCGCCTTCTACGCTCCTGAGCTCTGTCGCACAGAGATCGACTCTGAGACTCCCCTCATTGACGGCGGTATCGACGTATGGGCCCTGGGTGTCACACTCTACTGCCTCATCTACGGTCGCGTGCCCTTTCATGACACCAACACCTTCACTTTGATGAAAGTCATTAGTGAAGACGAGCCCTACATACCAAGGTTCCGATTGAAGCCTGTTGCCGAACACTCCAACTCGCGACCCAACTCACACTCCCGCAACAATCAACCAATGATGAGCAGTAAGAGAGCTCCACACGATCTAGAATACGAGGAGGTTGATGAGAACCTACGCGATCTTCTTCGACGTTTGTTGATCAAGGATGCACGACACCGCATTACTATACCAGAGATCAAACGCCACCCATGGCTACTGTCTGGTATACCCAACCACATCTCCTGGGCTGAAGAGACCGACCCGAGCAGATCGTTCGACGGCCGGAAGATTCAGATTTCCAAAGAGGACGTCGAGGAGGCCGTTGTTCCCATCGGCTTCGTCGATCGTCTTCGCTCAGCTGCCAAGAAAACATCAGAGTTTGTCAAAGGCTTCACAACTCGCAGTTCGGGTTCAAGACGCCGCGCTCAGAGCTCCGCAGCGAATCAGGACGCACCTCCCAGCATCACCGCAAACTCTTCAAGCAGCACCATCAGCCAGGATGCTCGCCCATATGAGGGCAGACGTGGTAGCCTGGCACCTGGCGCCATCTTGGAGATTCTGACGCGCTCACGTGAGTCAGATCACCCTTTGTCGCACAGTGTCACCGCCAGCCCAGAGGCAAAGGAGCTTTCCAGGTACTTTGACAGTCCGAATTCTCGGACTGCATCGCCTGCACAACACGAGTTTCAGCGACCGCACATGCAGGACCGGGCTCTTTCGTCAATAAGCACAATACGCCAAGCAGATCTGCTCCCCGGTCGATCAGCCTCACCCAACTTCCCTCCGGCTTTGCCTGGTACTCCGATGGCCCTGGACACCCCGGGTGGATCGCAGCTAGGTGGCCTGTTTGGTGGTCTTCCTCGACGTGTTGTTAACAGCATGAGAAGCAAAGACAAACTAAAGCCCCCAAAAGAACATAGTCGGGCCAGGTCGATCGATAGACTAGTCGGAGGAGACGATGATGCACATGGTGTTCCAAGCCTCGCCATCAGCACCACATGTGCTTCTGGTCAAGTCAACCAGCCCGACGCCCTGAGAGATCTTTCTCCTACCGCGCGGACTTCCTCACCCTGCAATTCAGAGGCTCAGTCCGGTGGTCGTCTCGATCCCTCATCCCGCCAATCATCATTGTCCTCGTTGTCTTCTCGACTGCACAGGAACTGGGCAGCCGCTAACGAGCTTGAAATTGGCCCGACTTTGGGCTTCGCAGACCCTCGCTTAGTGCCGCAACGGCTTCGCCCCACTGACCGGAGACCTTCTAGCCCGTCAGTAATCGCACGAGAGAGGTCAGAGGATCGTTTTGACCGCGCAAAGGACGAGTATCGTCGGCGGCTCGGCGTAGAGCAGTCAGCAGCTCGTGATAGATCCTACTCTGGTACACACCGAAGATCCCCATCGGGCCTTGCCCAATCTGCTTGTCCCCCAAGCCCAGATGACGAAATCACATTCCCCCAACAAAACAACCAAGACTACTGGCATCGCAACGATCAGTCCTCCGAGAATAGTCCTGTCGGTGGATCAAGTCGAGGCCTGGCTCTTTCATCGTCCGAAGACCAGTTTTCTGCCATGTCACAATCTGAATCGAATCCCTCGATCCCTTCTGTCGCTTCCGCCGGTTCCCCACCCCAAGGTGGTTGCGACGCGTTTGACGACCGACCATGGAATTCTGCAAATGCCGAATCCTTTCCAGTCCATCAACTAGAACCCCCTGTCGATGATTCTGCCGGCTATGATGGTGATCATGCTGTCGAGAGTGATGAAGATGATGATAGTGATGAAGATGGACTAATCATGGGCTTTGCTAAAAAGAAAGTACCTACGCACACTTCGCACCGAAGCAATTCAGTCTCCAATGCCGAACTGGCTCGCCAGAGCATTCATGCAGGACTAAACACTAGGCGGCGCTCAAACCGAAGTGGAAGTAACGGAACAGTCAAGAAAGTTCCTCCACCCGAGCCGCAGTCAGTCTGCGACCGGACAGCTGAATCAGAATAACGACACCAAACACGCACACCGACATCTCTACTGTCATGAATTACACAATACCCAAGATCTAGCCGTTGTACGAGTACGCATACTTTTGGATTCCCATTATAACAACTGTGTACATATACAAAGTCACAAAACAAACAAACATGGGCATTAACCACCAATCACGGACCAAGGGGGCAGGCGCAGGGCGTTTTGAACAAGAAACTTGGATCTGGGTTGCATGCATGGGCGAGCGTTCTTTCTTACCCAAAAGACGGCGTTTTACTTCCATCTTGTTTGTTCCTTTTATCCTCTTATCCCATACATTTACTTATCTGTGTTTCCTCTTCCCTTGGGTTTCTGTGTGCATGCATGCGTGGCTGTGTTAGTAGTAGCAGAGTGAGGAGCACACAAGTAAGCCCTCTTACTGCCGCTATGAATGAAGGATGAAAGACGACTATGTCGAGACGATCGGGATGACATGATGCGCACTAGTGTGTGGCTTTGGGAGGCTTTGGCGCTTTTTTCTTTTCTTCGTCATCTTTTCCTTCTCTTTCCCTCTTGCGAGTAAAGTGGCTGGCGGGGGCGCAATTGGAAATCGGAACTATCGGAAGCATTTGCATCATAGACACAACGGTTGATTGGATGGTTCTTTTTTGCGTGTCTCACTAATTGCGGCTGCGTATGCGTGTGCGTGTTTATGTGATCACGGCTATTACACGTTGCTCTTTGTTAGCATCGGAAGCATCGGAGTTTGTATGTATGTACGTATGTAGTATAATTGCATTCAAAGCTGGTCTAATGTAGTAGTAGTATCCACATTCTTCTTTGTTCCCCGGTTTAATCACCACGTGTGCTTGTGCGTATTGCGTAGATGGTATGTTGAGGTCGGTGTGTTGTACCAAAGATCGACGACTTGGTAGATCACGCCAAAAATGACGCATACATTTCCACAATTATCCTCTCAACACACCATATGCATCCACTTTCATGTTCTGTTTGGTCGTATAGAGACTAAACTGTACAAACTTATGCAAAAAACGAGCTTCTTATCTACGAAATGAAACTCTGCTATTCCAAGGTTCTTTTTTTCCTGTACATCTCTCGGCTGTGGAAACTCTATACCATAACCGAGTACACGCATCCATGTCTATTGCATCGCTCATATCCGCTTCATCCGTTGGTTAGCGAGCATAGCCGTAGTCGTATGTACTGGGCGCAGTAGCTGGTGGCTACATGTATCGTAGCAGTTACCAGCGCAGATGCAGATGAAACCACGGTTACGCTATTCAACCGTTTTTGTTGTTCGGCTTGTCTTACCTTGGTACCTTGTCTAGCTGGCGATCGTTACATGGCGGGTAAGGGTGGATACGAGGAAAAAGGAAAGAGGTAGCGGGGAAGTGTACACGTACCTAAGGTAAGGGGGAAAAGATTGGTAAGTTTACGGAAACGGAAACGGAGACGATGGAAACGGACATGTCACGGACGCGGTGGCGGCGGACGGGTAGTTAACGGCGCTTTCTTGTGGGAGGGCAAAAAAAGAAGGAAATAGGGTTTGGAGGAGCAAGTGGCTGGCTGGTTGGTCGGTTGTGCACTCCGATGCCTCACGCTTGAGCTGGCCCATCACGCCGAATCGCATCGCCATTAAACTGGGTTATACAAGAGCTGACTGAACAGATAGCCAAATTAAACACGTGGCTCGATGCTGCATGATAGCTGTCAGATCCTGTTTCCCGATCAAGAAGTTTCTCAGCTGGAACCAGAGTGCGGCCACTTCCTCATTCGGGTAATATGGATTGATTGAGGTGTTTACAGTATCGAGGCGTGATTTGGGCGGAATGTGTAAGCGAGGATGGATGTGAGATGTGGTGGCGGCGGAGAGTTGCTAGATCGGGAGCGAGCTGCATGTTAGATGATGAATTCCGTGTTGGACATGTGAAAAAGCTCCAGGATCTGGTAGACAGAAACAGGTAAGCTTAAGTGGTGGAGTATTATCCTATACGCTGGATACGGACGTTTTTCATCCACCTACCACTTCCAAGTCGTGGTAGGCGCGATACACGTCTCCACGTTACACAACCATCGCACATTTCACCACATCCCTCGCAATCGGTAACCCCTTCTCTTTTCCATCACCAAAGTAAATTATACCCCACTTTTACCAAGGCTTCTGAATTACCTACTTACCCGCTTTCGCGTGCCCGTGTCAGCTTTCACCATACACGACATACAGAGGGACCGATAAACGCAGAACGCAAAGACGCAAGCAATCTCGCATCTCACCTCGCATCCTCCGTAATCCCTACCTCTTCTCTGTCTCACGAGATAATTCTCCTCAACCGCCCTACCCGCCGTAAAAAAACCCCCCAGAATGCCCAATCTATCCCCAACTTCGCTAAGCCCCTCTTCCTTACCCCATCTCGCTTGCAAACCCCGCCGTCCCATCCATCCACAATTTATTTATCCGCGAAACGCTTGCCTTGCTTGTTAACGCTTTGACAATCTCCCTCGCCCCATCCATGGGGTACATTGTTCATGGGCTACGGGCTTTTAGCACGATGGAGTAGTGGCGCTAAGGACTAAGCTAACTGGGACTGAGGGCCTGGCTTCCTTGCGTTACAGTGGGACGCGCGCTAGTGGGTGATCATGCGGTATGCATGACATAGATGCGTCAAGCACACCGATCGTAGCGGGTTGTGGTTTTGCATGTCTGGGGATTTAGCGAGGCTAGGATGGAGGTCGGGGTCGGAGTCGGGGTTTGGGCAGAGGGTTGGGGTGAAGGTGATGGTGATGGACGGGGTGGCAGGGGAGGTGGGAAACGAGGGTAAGCGTGTGATTTGGGAGGAAGAGGAGAATGACATGGTGAGAGGATAGGGCTTAGTGGGAATGTGCAGGATTTGTGCACCGGTGAGTATGGGAGAAGAGTGGAGAAGGAACAAGCTAGGCTGTTGATTTCATGTATGAATAGTTTTAAAGCATCCGGTTATTCAGTGTAGTCGAGACACGACTACGTCTTCTTTACACGACTTCTCTTCCGTGTACCCTCAGCAGTTGGTTTGCCGTCTGTAGCTTTGCGCTTGGCACCCTTCTTCACTGCCGGCTTTCTCTCCTTTTCTTTCTCAACTCGCACATCTTCGTCCACTGCAGTTTCCCTCTCTTTCTCTTCTCCCTCGGCTTGTTCACTCACTTCTGCCCCCTGCGTCTTCACATCCTCCTCCTCTCCATCCACCACCCCAACATCCCTCCCCTCTTTCCCCAGTACCCAAGCAACCCTCTCAATATCCACCGCCCTCACACTCTCATTCCCCTTCTCACCCAGCCTCACCCTCAACTTCTCCACCCTCTGCACCACTGTCTCATACTCCTTCATGTTATACTTGACCTTCCTCTGCCACCCCTTCCCTGCCTTGCCCTCATCATCCCACGCACACCAGCGAAACAGCTCGTCAGAAAAGAAAGGCACCTCAGTAGGTTCCAGAACAGATAGCAATAGGGACGCAGTTGCCGGTCCAATACCCCTCAACTCTACCAGGGTCTTCAGCGCAGGAAGGGCATTCGCGTGAGCTGTTTTGTCGTCAAAGAGCGCTTTATATGCTTTTCTTGTAGTGTCTTCCACCGTTTGCGAGGTGTTGCTTTGGACTAGACCTAAGAGTGCTGGACGGAAGGTGCCGTGCTTGCTGTTTCGTCTGTGAGCGAAAATACAGATATTTTTGACGTTAGTCGGACACTTACAGTTTCCATCCTACCAGCTTTTCGACTTCGTCCTTTGTGAGGTGTTTCTCGCTGTCTGCTCTTGTCGCTACGGCTGTGGGTATGGCGTCGTAGCGCTGCGTGTCTAGGTCGCGTAGTTTCTCTGGTACAGTCGCGCTATAGCGGGATAACACGTCTTTGAAGGTCGTGAGGGTAATGGTGCTGATTTGTAATTGCGGCATTGTTAAATGTTTGATGATTTTGCAATGCGCGGGTTGAGTTTGTGGGAACAGAGAAAGGAGAACGCGTTTAGAACGCCGACGCGAAGTCACGTGATGCTGACATGTCTACATCGTGACATAGATTCCTCACAAGTCCACTATTAACCTGCTTCGTTTCGCGCTAGCTAGTGATCGCGGGTGGCCTGGAGGTTTTCGATGACATTGAATTGCTGTTGGCTTCTGTGCCACATGGATGTACGGTTCAATCCCACGTGAGTACTGCGGATGCTTAATAACTTCCAAGGTCATAGTCCACTATTAGCATTCCTTGTCATGCAGATAGTGCAATATTAGGTTTAGTCTGTATCATCCTCATTCATTCCTATCGACAGCTACCTAATCGCAAGCTCTACTGGAGCTCGTCCGTAACCCTAATGTTCATATGGAACATGCAAGGTCTGAAATGTAACAACCATCCCCGCATTGAATCCTGATAGAAGCCCCATTGGTACTACCTAACTAACTGCAAGCTCTACTGGAGCTCGCCCGTAACCCTAATGTTCATATAGCACATGAAAGGTTGTGAATATAACAGCCATGCATGCATTAAATCCTGAAAGAAGCCCCATTGGTATGTAAGAACCCAAGCACGCCATGCTGAACAACCATTTGGTATAGAAGTAGTCAAAACACAAACACCGTAATGTAAATACCGAACGCCTGATATCATGATATTATGCCGCTTTTCTGGGACGCCCACGACCGCGCTTTCCAGTGCTTGAACCTCTCGTGGGGACCATGGAAGATCGACCAGGTGGCCTGCCTAAAGGTCTCTTGATTATGGGCGCAGTCGCGGGAATCTCGTCGTCACTCTCAGTATCCGAGAGGTTGATCGCTGATGCCTTTTTGGCAATCGATGCAGACCTTGATGATGGTGTAGTATTGCCGTTTCGATTGGCAGATACCGCAACAAAGTTTGTCTGTTTACCGTTCAAGCCACTTGGGATTGTGTTACTAGGTTGCGCGTATGTAGACTGAACATGCTCAGGTTGGACCTCATCTTCAACTGAGTCTTCCTCGACTGGTAAATCTCCAAGAAAGTTGTCAAGAAGTTGGTCGTCGTCATCTGATCCTGGGAACAAGGCCATCTTCGCACGAAGATTCTCCTGAGCCTCTCGAGCTTCAGCCTCGGCACGTGCTTTCGCCTCCTCCTCAAGGCGTTGCGCTTCGAGGGCAGCAGCAGCAGCCTGCTGTGCGAGGAGAAATGTCTCATTGGACTCATCGTCCTCGTGGATACCATCTTCATCAGATGGGTGTCCGGATATACCGCCCGTGATGTCTTGTTGTGGGTTCTTTGGTGGCCTTCCAACCGGTCTGATCCCTGCCTTTGATATTGTGGGCATAGTCTTTCGACGTTCCTTTTCTCGACTGGGTCTCAGATCACCCTCCCTGAAGTTCGTCGGCAGCTCTGTTGGTAGGTCTTCTTCATCTTCATTCCGGCGAGCTAGCCAGTTCGATGCTCTTCCACGTGGTCGGCCCATTTGTTCTGGCTCGCCGTCTTCAGCGGCAAACTCCTCGTCTGAATCGAGTGTGATCTCTTCGAATCGTCTAGAACCACGAGGTCTTCCAGGCTTTGCGGTGCCACTGCCTTCAGGATTGCGTTTCCTTGTCGAGTATGCTCCATCTTCCTCTACACGAACGCGATATGTCTTCGCATCCTTCTCCTTTTCGGCTACGCTCTTGAGCGCATTCGGCTTGGGCACGACATCCGACTGCAGGATGGACCGCATGTCACCAGACATCTCAACCTCTTCTGAAGTCATCTGTCTCAAGACCTTTGGGCGTTCCGGTTCGGGTCGTTGGCGGATCTGCTCGAGAAGACCCGTACGCAAAGACAGCCTTACGACCTTAGATTTGCCCTTCATCCTAGCGGCAACCAGAATGAATCTGTCTTCGCGTTTGGCCTCTTCAAGAAGCTTCCTCTGTACTTCCTTCTGGTATTGCTTGCCAGATGCATTCTTTGGTTGGAGCGGTTGTGCATCTTCGTCCTTCTTTTTCTTGCCCTTGGTTTTCTTCCGACGGTTTCCGTCTGCTTCCTCGTCTTCTTCATGGCCGCGCTTCTGACCCAGACGTGGGATCTCGTTGTCCATGTCAGGATCAGGAAAGTAAGAGTCACCATTGGTCCCCAGGAGCTGAGAGGGCCCTCCATTTTCGTTCATATTTCCGTGAGTGTCCTCAGCAGGGGAATAGGTGATTCCATATCTGGTATACGCGTGATCGTCATCCTCCATAAATCTCGCATCGAGAGAGGGATCCGCCATCTTGTCCATTTCTGCCTGCTGCATCCGTCGCTGCATTACAGTCTGGGCCATACCCTCTTCTTCCCGCAACCAATTGAGGTTCGATATGCCAAAGTCCACCAGGCATTCCACGGAACGTATGTCAGCAACCTTCTTGGTGTCGTGGCCAAGTAGAGTTCCCTTGGGCTCGTATGGGTGTTGCCTAGGATCGCGCCGACATGCGCCAGTGTTACAGACTCTGTGGCAATGTGGACATTTCCAGTTGTGGGCCTCCATTACATTTAGCGGCATCATGTCATGTGCTCGGAACAAGGTGCCGTAACAATATGCCAAATCGCAGCTCGAGCAGAAAGCCATTTTCCATTTAGGATGCCGGTGAAGACAAAAGTGACAAGACTTATGCTTAGCTTGCCACTGTCTTGACTTCTTTTTGGAGACCTTCTTGACGTTTCCGTACTCGTCCACGATCGGCTCGTCATCCTCGGATGCGCCTTCGGGTTGTGGGTTCTTGATGTCGACAAAGGGTCGAACTCGCAGCTGCTCTTGGCAGACTTGAGCCAATGTCTTCTTGCCTAGATATCGTCGCTCTTCTTGTAGGGGCAATGGTGTCTTCTCATTGACATAACCATCGATGTCGATGATCTTGGCCCGCCATTCCTCATACTTGTGAATCAAGTCTTTCCACTTCCACTGCTCTACCCACGTGTAGCCTGATTGACATGCACAGCTTCGACCCATGCAATAGCAGTCCATGCAGACGTCGTAAGGCTCTTCAATCTCTGAGCTGAATAGGTTCTTGCAAGTCTTGCAACTCAAGAATCGATTGAAGATGTTACACCTGCAGTACGCACACGTCACGTTACTGTCGTACGGAAGGAATTCGGGATGCTCTCGCGAGTCCGGCGCAAACATCTCTGATAGAAGAATGACTTTGTACAAGTCAAAGAGCTTCTTGAAGTCTTTCTGGACTTGTTTTATCTTGACAGATCGTTGAATCGCCTCTGCTTGTTCTCCGCCTGCTTCTACCTGCGCACGAGCGGATTTGATGAGATTAGAATACTTGAGGAGGGTATAGTAGATGATGGCTTTGTTCTTGTACTGCTCATCTCGGCAAACGACACGTGAGTTAGGCAAGGCTTCGTTTAGTGCGAGTTCCAGAGTCTCGACGGTTGTTCGGTTCCATGCAATCTTCATAGTTCTAGTGCCGCGGTTCCACACTTGATGGGGAGCCAATGGTGGTATGAGAATAAAATCGCCCAGCCGCTGCTCAACAACGTAGGTTTGGAATGGGGCCTTCTTCCATGCGATGAGCTGTGCAAAGTGGTTCTCGACCTCGATGTCGTGTCCTAATATAGAAAGCCAGTACTCGGAGACAACATGGCGGTCCTTGCTCTCCGTCATGAACCAGATGGATGAACCTGGGCGTTCGGATTTGCCGTCTTCACTGATAGTCCCTGAAGCGTTCACCATGATATTCTGACCGAGAGAGGCGCACATCTCTCGATGAGAGGGGGTATAGGTGCCTTCATGTCCAATGTAGCACATGAGGTTCTCGGCGCGCATCTCTGGTGGTAGGCTGCTCATGAGATCTCCCGCCCGCCCAATGCCTCGTCCTTTGCGACCACCGAACTCGTCCAAGGCTCCGGGGCCGCCGGGTTCGCCAGTGCTCTCGTTCAGATAGAACAATCCTGAGGGAATATTTTCTTTCAGCTTGTCTTGCCACACTTGTGGACAATCTATATCCTTCAGATATATGCGCTGACGGGCCTTGTCTCGCCATTTGTCGGTTCCGTCGAAGAACTGCTCGGTCAATTTGGTCATGTGCTTGAGGTAGTGTTTGATAGTCAGAGGTATATTCTCTTTCGTGGTGAGGTTGTGCGCGTTCTCAACTACATTTCTGTCAGCGACGCGCCCAGTTGCTGACTGGCATACTTACTTTTGTCGCCATGGTTGTCGCGCAGCCAGGAGGGCGTGAAGGTCCAAGGATCCAGCACTTCCTCAAAACCGTCAATCACCAGAGGCTTTCCACCTATAACAACGTGCAAAAGGACAAGTTTCTCGAAGGCTTCTACGCCATTGTTCGCGATCATCTCATAGGATATACGGTCGACATATTGGAAGTTGTCTGCCGTTTCGACAAATGTGCGCACATCAAAGTCAGGTGGTATAGGCTCGAAGGAAGCCCGAGGGCGCGCAGCCGGCATTGTTGTCACCAGCCACAGTCATTCAGGTCTCGAGGTCTACTCGGAGTGGAGTCGCAAGTTGGTAGAAGCCACCTCCGCGGCGCTGGCGCAATCGCAAATACGCCAGATTGCTGAATATGAGCTTCAGACTGTAGTCGCAACAGCTGCACAGGCGGTTGGTGCAAAGAAACGACTTGTGATCATTTTCGCAGCGGCGGACGGTGAGCTTTCAGGACGTGGACGCGACTCAAGAAATGATGCGCTGAACCCTGGGCCCACGCTACCGTGTCCGTGCGCGCAATGCGCCGCCCAACAACACCATCTCAAATCCAAAAATGAGGCTATAGATCACCACACAAAAGCTATTATCGTGAGATTTCATAGAGTAGTAGTATTTTGATGCCCCTGATTACTTTGCGCTACTTATATTTGCTCGGCAATCTGATGTTCCGGCCGCAGCGGCTCACTTTTGGTGGTGGGGCTGGTGCAGCTCCTGAGGCCTCTTCAACAGCTGCAGCATCCGCAACACGTTTTTGACGCTTATTGCGATTACTGGAGCTTGTTGAAGCCTTACGCTTACCGTTTTTGGACTGTTGGATAGTTTTTTTGGAGTCGTGATCGGCCTTTTTGCGGGCGCGTTCAGCCTCCTTCTCGGCCTTCTCCTTCATCCTCCTCTCCCTGGCTGCCTCTCGTTCGGCACGCTTCTTCTGAGCTAATCGAAGCTTGTATAACCTTGTCTGGTCTCTCAACTCTTTCATCTCAGCTTTTTGGAGTGCCTCCTGATCTCTCTGTTGTTCTATTTGGATCCTACGCTCCTTGGCCTCCCGGATCTTCCTTGGCGACCAGAAAATAGCTCCCCCATGATAGTTATCCTTGTTTTTTTGGAGTTTCAAGGGGTAGCTTTTTTGCTGGTGAGCCCTTCTACTCAACCTATCTAGGAGACCCCTTACCTCCTTGTGAAGGAGCGTATTTTGGGTGGCGAGATGATGGATGGTTCTCCGGAGTCTTTTCACCTCCCTACTCCTCCTTTCACCCTTGGCTACTTTGACGATTAGTGAATAGATCCTGCGCTAATCTAACCCGTAGATAGGCTCCGTTGACTCCTCGTCCTTATCTACTACCTTAGGGGTAGTACAGGTGAATCTTTTGAGTACACGAGCTGGATTGGGTGGCTAGATGCCGGTGGCGGTAAAGGCCTTTTTGATGAGCTCAGGCCTAAAAGTAGATATCCAGGCGGGCTAAAAAAGGTAGAAGAAGTCTCCTTTTCTTATTTTGGAGAAGCCCTAGGTAGTGTAGGTAAAGGTAATTAGCTTATTTGTATAGGCAGCTGATAGAGGCCTAAACATCGCAATATCTAGGGGCTGGAGGGTATAGGTTGAATAAGAAGGAAAGATAGTTAGGAGAATCCTGTTCTTATTGCAATAGTCTAAAAACTCCTAACTTATATGAGATCTGTGCCCATCTATAATAAGTAATCGATGTGAATAGAGCGTTTTAGACCTTGTAGCTAGCTTAAACACCTCCCTAAGCTAGGCAAGCCCTATCTTATTGTTCGACCATCTAGATTTGGATGAGCTAATAAATACTAGATAAGCTGATTAGGCAACGTTGTCTACCCAGTCTAATTAGAGGCCTCCTAAGCCACCTTAATAGATAATGCTAGGCGGCAAAACTAATCTATCAGCGCAAATACAAGCTAGGATTGAAATCCACTCGCGAGATCCGTCCTGAACCCCTGTAGTAACCTCCTTTTTCTCCTACATACGCCTACTGAATACTCGTTTTTATCTGCCGGTGACGCCTATGAGAAACCCCTTTTCGTCCATATTGTAGATGTCCCCTAGCCTAATCTTATACTCCTCGATTTTCTTGTGTAACAGGTCAAAGTACAGCTTGTATTTAACTCCTGAATTAGCTCTGTGGCGTGCCCGATCTATGCCCCTGGTCTATTTTGAGATGAGATAATTAGAGTTTCTTTTGAGAAATCTATTTACCTAGCTCTCGCTAACGTTAGTGCCGGCAACGGAGGATGCTAGGGAGCGTATAATAGCTCTTGTAGGTGGCAAACGCTTCGCAGTAAGCCCCTAAATATACTGTACTATCTCCTTTTCTTGATCTGGATGGAGTTTTCGATGTGCGTCGGAGCGGGGTTGCGTAAGCTCCTTATGCCTTCTGATCAACGTAGATCTCACAACTCTAAACTCTTTTGCAATTTTTGTATACGAGAATCCTTCACCAGGTCCGTGCGCGTCGATTGCTGCAATCGAAGCTTCAATCAGATCCATATTGGTGGCGCTGTGGGTGGTTGAGGTGAAAGTAATTTGTGGTTGACCCCGCGCATTGCGCGCACGGACACGGTAACGTGTCTGTGCGCGTGATGCCCATAATCGCGTGCCGCACACCCCGCAACATCAACACCAATCCACCCTTACCACTTCAACCACCCATAACTCCACAACCATGAGTTGTATCAACGCTGCGATTGAAGCTATTGAATCGCGTGATCCCGGAGATAAATTTACATACTCTGAGGTTGCGCGCCGCTTTGGTGTTGATCGCTCTACGTTGTCGCGACGCCATCAACAGATCCGGGGCTCAAATGAAGCCAAATCACGTAATCAGCAACTCCTTCACCCACACCAGGAGCTACAGCTTCTAGAGCACATTGACGAGCTTACTGAGGCTGGCTTACCACCGACGAGGACTATGATCCAGAACTTTGCTAGTGCTATAGCCGGAAGGGCTACCTCCCAAAGCTGGGTGACGCGCTTCTTTCACCGTCATCCCGACGCGATTATATCACGTTGGTCAACTGGTTTGGACCGCAATCGCCACCGGGCTGATTCTGTATACAAGTACGAGTCGTACTTTGATCTACTATCTACTAAAATGGCTCAGCACCATATTCGGGCGCAGGATGTATATAATATGGATGAGAAGGGATTCCTTATTGGAGTGACGGGGAGGAGTAAGAGAGTGTTTAGTAAGCAGAAATATGAGACTGGGGGCTTTAAGAAAGTGATACAGGACGGCAACAGAGATTGGATCACTGTTATCGCTGCTATATGTGCTGATGGGAGTACGTTACCGCCCGCGATTATATACGAAGCTACTTCGGGCAACATGTACGCCAGATGGGTTGATGATATCGCAATTGACGATCCAGTCTACGTTACCTCAAGTCCCTCAGGGTGGACCAATGATCAGGTAGGCCTGGCATGGCTCGAACAGGTGTTTGATCGCCATACGAAGGAGAAGGCCGGCAATCACACACGCTTACTCATCCTTGACGGCCATGGGAGTCACGTTACTATGGAGTTTATTGACTATGCGATCGCCCACAATATTATGTTACTCATACTACCCCCCCATAGTACCCATACGCTGCAGCCACTCGATGTGGTAATGTTCAAACCTCTGGCAGCCGCGTACTCACTCAGCTTGCAGCACTACCTCCAGGCGAGCCACGGTCTCTTAGCTGTGAGGAAGGATGACTTCTACCGTCTTTTCAAGCCTGCCTGGGACTCCTCTTTCATTAAGAAGCACGCGTTGAAGGCATTTAAAGCCACTGGGATAGCTCCTATAGATCCCGAAGTAGTACTTAAAAAGTTCCGAAAGTCAACACTAACAGCACCGCCGCCACTAGTGAACGTGAGTAGAGCTACTATCACGAACCTCATTAATCAGGCCTACGATCCGAGCTCTATTGCGGCCAACAACCTCTCAGAAATACTCCTCCGCCTCCAGGCTGCCAAAGAGATCGCCGAGTACGAGAAGGACGCACTGCGCGCGGCGCTACACGTTCACCAGAAGCCCCGCAATCGGCACGAACCTCCCCTAGATCTACAGCAGCGAAAAGCGTTCCATTCAGGGGCAGTTTGGTGGTCGCCGTGCAAGCTTCGAGAGGCCCGCTTCAGGCAGCTAGTGAAGGAGAAGGAGAAGGAGAAAGAGCTACTTGATAAGATAGAGTTGAAAGAGGCAAAGGAGAACAACAGGATCTATCAACTTAAGATCAAAGAGGCAGCGCGGGCGGCGCGTGAGGAGGCAAAGAAGGTGCGGGATGAAGCCAAGGCTGTAAAGGCTGCCGAACTTGACGCCAAACGACGCGATCGCGACGCTGCAAAGGCTATACAACAACCCCAATCGGGCAAGCGTAAGGCTTCAAAGCCCGCTGCAAAGCAACAGCCAAAAAAACGACGCGTGGGTGGTGCTGGCGGTGGCACTCTGGCTGAGGTGGCTGCACCGGCTCCCCCACCAACAACCACCCGACGCGGCCGGGCCGTCAATACTCCGGCAAAATATAGATAGACAAAGTTGTAGAGCTACGTCTATAGATCAATACACCGGAAAATCTCGCGATAATAGTTATTGTACGTGGCTGCACAGCCTCAACTTTGCCGTCGTCGCGATATTGGTGGGGTGTGCGGCACGCGATTATGGGCATCACGCGCACAGACACGTTAAGGTATCACGTGCTACCGAGAACTAGCGCGGCGCACGGCTTGGACCTTCACCCTCCACAGTGCACACTCACCTTCATCGGACCGATCGAGTATGTATCTGTGATAACAAAGCTCTGTTAGTTTAATTCTTGTTTTCTTCCCAAAGGGTCCTTCTAATTCTTAGTATGGCGTTCCAGCACTACGGGTGCTACAAAAAATCTAACATCAAATGCAGTGTTGACCGCCTGATTCCCAAGCATGGCTTTTCTACGACCTTGTTTGATACGGTCTACAACCGCAAAATGGCAACACATCAGTAGTCTGTCAAGATTATATTTCAATCGGACCAGGCATTCACACGGAGGACAAGAACACTCATCAACTTTGCCTGCAGTCTACAAGTTGCCACCTGCACATCTAATAAGATTGAAAAGTTCGATATCGCCATTTTCTCGTGCGCGCATAACAACAGGAGCAACCCCTCAAAATTTACCTTCCAAATCACTTCAGGCCTACACACCACCGACCACGGGTTTCTTGTCCCATCTTCCACAAAAGGCCGTACCATATGGCGAGTTGATGAGGCTTGATAAACCAACAGGCACTTACTACCTTTTCTTCCCTTGCATGTTCAGTACGCTGCTCGCTGCTACCATGGCCACCCCTATCGCTGCACCATCCGCCGTACTCGGTACAACCGCTCTCTTTTTCACAGGAGCCCTTGTGATGAGAGGAGCAGGATGCACCATCAATGATCTGTGGGACCGCAATCTGGATCCACACGTTGAGCGGACCCGTTTACGGCCAATTGCCAGACGAGCAATTACACCTCAGCAAGCCCTCGTCTTCCTCGGCGGTCAGCTTACGACCGGCCTTGCGGTTCTTCTATCTCTCCCATTCGAATGTTTCTGGTACGCGACGCCATCGTTGTTGTTTGTTACGCTGTATCCTTTGGCTAAGAGAGTAACCTACTATCCGCAATTCGTTCTCGGGCTCACCTTCTCCTGGGGTGCAATGTTGGGATTTCCCGCACTCGGTATCGATTTGCTTTCCAACCAAGCGGCCCTCACGGCAGCGGCATGTCTGTATGCTAGCAACGTCGCGTGGACCGTTCTTTACGACATGATATATGCCCACATGGATATCAAAGACGATGTCAAGGCTGGCATCAAGAGTATCGCACTCAAGCATGAGAATGAAACCAAGATGGTCTTGTCCGGTCTTGCCGTTGTCCAGCTCGGTCTACTATCTGCTACAGGAATCGCAGCGGGACTGGGACCAGTCTACTATGCTGTATCCGTTGGAGGGGCAGGACTTACTCTGGGTGCCATGATTCGAAGAGTCAAGTTGAAGAATGTCAAGAACTGCTGGTGGTGGTTCGTGAACGGGGCATGGTTTACTGGAGGTGCAATCAGTCTGGGCCTAGCTGGCGAATACGTGATGCACCTCCTTGGGTGGTACGGTGATAGAGAGGAGTCAGAAAAGCATAAGCTCATCACTGCTTGAGCGGATATCTGCGAAGGATTCGTTTTGTAATTCCAAAATTCGAGTCGCGCGCTCTAAGTAGTATGCGAAATGCGTGGGGATCTTTTGAGTCTAGGACACTCCTTGTGCGCCTGTAACACCCGCCCGTTCCTGGGAGCAATGGAACATCCAAATTCTTATGATAACCCCTCTATACCGGTCCGTATCGCAGGCCATATATTCGTACACGCATAAATTCTACTCATTTACAGCACCCACTATATATTATTCCCGGCGACTCTTCCACCTAGCTGTTCTGCAGCCGGGTTCTGCAGGTGTCCGGTTTCGGTTTCGCTAGGCTGAGGTAGGGCGCACAACTCGATTTTGTTCCTGGTTCCAATCCTAGTCTCGAAGCCGTTATCTAGGGTGATGCGAGGTATGTCTGGCGTATTTGACTGGGACGACTTCTCAAGAATCGAGATAGCAGTGGTCTGGACGTCAGACTGAGGAATGGAAGCCTCAGCGCTTGGTGTTGATAGTACTGTTTGACTGATAGCACTGTCTTCTTTGAGCGTGGGTGATCGATCAAGTGATTGCATCTTGAGAAGCTGACCAACGGTACACAAGGTGTTAGGCTGAAGAAGAGGAGGCTCAGAACCGGACGGTAGGAGTGAAACTTCGCTCCCAGCAGTGTTTTCTTCACGGGTGTGAGATTGGAGGGATGAATTTATCTCAAAAGGCGAGACATCGATGGTTTGTGTAGGAGAAGGTTGAGAAACCGATGGCAGAGGTGACGTTTCACTGCTGATAGCGATTTCCTTGGGTACGTGGGATTGAGCTGATAGTATTGTCCCGGAATTTGAGATATCAGAAGACCCGACATCAGAAACAAGAAGACGAGGACGTGGGCTCGATGGTGTCTGCTCGTTGGCGGTGTCGTCTGCATTCACATGGCCTTCCTCCGCTAGCGATAGGGTCAGCTCCGGTGTATGACGAGTTATAGCCTCTTTATCGCAACTACTTACGATCAGGCTGCATCTCTCCTAATCGCCTTCTTACGGTTTTGTACCATCGTTTTGAACAGTCATAAAACCTTTTCCCTAAAGAGCCCTCAGGACGCAGGGCAGACATTGAAACAATCAAGCCGACGATGCCAATGACGATGCCGGTTACTCCAAATATTACCGAGAGCAAGATACCTACGCGGCTGTCTTCCGATGGCATCTTTATTCGTGCGAAGGTACAACGTGTCTCGGAAGTATACACAGATATAATTGGTCGGTCAGTGGTGGGAGTTGTGGAAGGTGGGTACGAGAGCTTGGAAGATAGTAAATGATAGTAGTTCTTTGTAAAGGAGGTAGTCAATACCTCATCCTTAAGAAGCCCACATGAAGATAGCATGTAAGTTTCCTATGGCAGACGAAATTGTAGTTTGCACAGTTCAGATCGATGTCGTCAGATCCACCATGAGCCGGCGAGCGGTCAAGACATACTGCGGCGCACTAGCCACTGTCAGCGATTCACCCTCGCCACCGAATGCTTTGTGTAACACCACGTGCATAGGTCGCTTGAGTTCAACGCGAAAAGCTACCCCCTGAGCTCTTCTTCCTGTTTTCTTTGTCGCCTCAAGCTTCCGTACCCTTCGCGCAAGCCCTGCTTCAGATTCTGTGATATTCCTCCAATGATCGCTAGATCTGATGAAAAACACAAAAGAATGGCCTATCAACTTGAAAAATGTTTTGGAGATACACACCCCTGGATAGGTCCTTGTTTCATGCTCAAAGCAGTGTCGTTTGTATATTGCCTTAGGCACATGCGTCTATTCTCTCCAAAATGTCTAGCCCAGTAACACACATATCGTCACTGATATACATGGAGCTACACTAAATCCGCTTTCATGTGGATGTCTACTTTACCAAGTTGGAAATATACCATAATAAATGGTCATATCCGCAAATTTTACCTCACAGTGTTAAACATGCTGAACTATTGTCTCATCATATTGTGCCTGCGTTCGAAATGCTTCGGTCATCACTGCGACTTACTAGGCACCTAAGTATATCTACCTGGGAAGCCCAATGGTATTTGGATCAGATTCGCGGATGATTCCGAAATGTAATACGCCACTGAACTGTTGTTCGTGAGGGGCTGTGACTCGTATTCGATAACGTCGTCAGTGCGATCACGGACATTCAAAAAGCTGTTCTTTCATGTTTGAAGGTCGCATCCTTCTTAGTGCGAAGTTTCTGTGCAGGCTCAAGGAAATCCCGGCTGTCTTTTGTTGAGGAGACGGTGACGTCCAAGCAAAACTCAACAAGGCGGTTTTTTGCTGCTGGAGGTCAGCCTGCGCAGAGGTATTATATGAGACATTGAAGAGGCCAAGCGGCAGCGTCGTACACATTAGCTGTCGCAGTGGAAGACGGGGAGCCGAAGCCACAAGAGTGGTCACGACAGCCAACACAGTTACACCACTTGAGCAAGAGCTGAAACAAAGGTGGCAATTCAAATTCTTCAAAGCATATGTAAAGGCTTGAAATCAGAGAGAAACTGGATACTGAGGGAGTGAAAAGTCTGGTGAAGTTTAAATAGGCTTTCTCAGCAAACAGCGTCAGATGGAAACCTTGGTGATACCAGTGGGTTTGACCACATTTGGCTCTCTAAGTTGTCCGCTCCGCTAATTTTCAAGTTCTCAGTCCTCGCGCTTATGTAGTGAACTTTCGATACACCCGATACACACAGCTACTTACTCGGTGCGGAAGCGACCGGTACTCTCACCTGTCCTGAGAAGGTTCACACAGCCTACCTTTTGGTCTCTTCGATAGTCACGTCAAGAAAACCAACGATTGAAAGCAAAGAGCGGTCAACGATGGTACGTACCTCCAGGACTACCTGGTTACGCTTACCCTTCAGCGCAGACAAGCCACTATTCAGCTGACGACGATCAAATACAATTAGCATAGCCTCCCCAGAACCGTAAGCACACGGGAAATTTGCCGCATCTCAGCCCTGGGTCGGATTTCAATGTCTTTTCCATCCCCCACTCTGCTCTACGTTTACTTCAGAACACCCCGAAGCACCTAAAATGCGCCCACGCCGCCAACCGAGTATCAATCAAGAGGAAACCTATGCCTCCAAGCATCATTTTACCATCATTCGACCAGAACATATTCGGAGTCACGCACTTGCGCCTTGAGTCAATTGAAATCCATACCTACCAGTCCAGATTTCATCACAGCATTGCCTCGTAACATGTACACTGTAAAAGAGGCCTTTTTATGTACATACATTATTCTATTTCTCAATATTCTAAGCGTTACCCCTCCTCTTATCATCGAACCTTTTTCTGACACAATGCAGTTGTTATTGCGAACCAGTAGCCTTGCTGGTAAAGAGGCTGGCGTTCAAGTCCGATCCAAAGATAGCCTCCGAGTGTGATCCGTCACTGGACTGTTCGTAGGTGGGGGGCAAAGTGGACTTTCGCTCACACGGGACAGTGTCGTCAGGGGCGTCGGTCACATCAGCCAAGCTGGCAAGGCTACTGGTAAATGCCTCAACATCATGACCGTGTTCGTCTACGAAATAGTTAAGCTTATGAACACCACATGTGTCTCACGTGTAGGAACATACGGATGATTTGACGACCCCTCATGCGCCGAACCAAAACGCAACCAAGCGAATCATGTCGATGAAGACCAGCCAGAGTCGCGATGGTACCTATGACTCCAAAGATACCGAAGAATACCTGCAGGGCAAGCTCGGTTGATTTCTCCGCATTCGACATGGTGGCGCGAGGGGGAGCCGATGTGACAGGTGCGACCACGGTAAGAGGGTTTGATCAAGACTCAACACGACGGGTATGGAGCATGCCCTGTGTGGGCAAGATTCAAACTGATGTCGGGGATCCAAAGCGCTTCAAGGCACCAGGAAATAACAAAGACAAGGTAGGCAACAAGGTAGTGCAAGGCTTGGTGGATTATGGACAGGCTTGCTCAGACAAGGAGGCGCGACTGTGGATAAAGGCATAGTCACTCATAGTCTGTACCTAATACTTATAGTGTTCTGGGACACAATGAAATCTTCAATGTTTCTATGTTTTTCGAGGCGGCGGATTGAAACTGAAATGTTGAATTCTGGGGGATTTGTACTCTTCAGAGCGCAGCGGCTGAGCGTGGAACGGTGGAAGAAGTACCAGGGGTGATTGCATGTGCAGATACCTAAACCTGATGGGTCATGTTGCAACGTGTATCCATTAGAACGCAATCGTGCTGCAGCAGTACAGTCAACCTACGTGTCTTCCCAACGTTTTACTGCGTTAGTGATGCAAGTGAAGTTCTCACCGGTGTGGGGAAACATCACACAGCCCCTCACCTCAACTTACGGGACGCCGGATTTAAGAAATGGAATGACGCACGAGAACGGCGGTCCGCCAATTCAAGGCGCTCATATTTTCAGCCTCAAGCACGCAACTGTCGGGCGACTACCGCTCCAAGAGATCACTGGGCGAAAAAAAAAGAGACTAACACAGCTTACATACCTAGGTACAGTGCACATGATGGTTATTAGGTCCTCCCTTCTTCAACAGGTGTGGGCCCTGCAGATAAGCAAGGGCTAAGCTCTAACTGTGCTTTGTCGGATTATCAAATCCTAAGTACCTGGTCGAACGTCTGAGTACGGGCCGCCTCCACATTCATCAATTGCCTTGTGGATGGAAATTAAAGAGATGGATCCGGCTGTCACAAACGACCAAAAATTAGCCAAAGCTAAGAGCTATCCCAGTGGCCATGGCAAACATTCCAATCTCCAATAACTTGTCTTGATAGCATTCCTTCTCGACAAAGAAATTTCGTTGCTGCAACAGCCCTTGGCAGCACAGTCACTTCGTCGTTATACTACAATAATATTACCTTACCACACTACCTCCCCTCAACACCAGGCCTATACGCAACATAAGCATCCATACCCTCTGCCGAACTAGCTCTCTCATCAGGCCTATACGCGATATATGCATCGCCTACCTCCGCCAAAATCGCCCTCCCATCAATCTCCACAGGCGCAATAGCTTTCCTCGGCATCCTTGCCAACCCCCCCAACTCCGGCACTTCAGCCTGACCCTGACCCCTAACATCTCTCTCCGCCGACCCGTAAGCTCCAACAAGATTCTGGCGTTCAGTATCCATGGCATCCATCTCAACATTCCACTCGGGAGTTTCGTGCTGGACCTGCGATGAACCAACGGCATAAGCGCTACCCTTGGGAACGGAGTAATATGTATGCCTCGTGTTACCGTGGGTAGAACTAGAGGGTCGATCCGCTTTCTCTTGGCCAAGATGTTGAGATGCGAGGAGTGCTACTTTACGCCTTTTGTTCCTGCGCCAGAATGTGAAAGCTGCTAGGGCGGCGAGAATGAGGACAAGAGGGAGGACGGTCGCGATGGCTGCTATAGCACCGGTAGACAGTCCACTGCCTCCCTTCCCACTACTCGTACCCGTTTTCCCAGGCCCCGATGCAGAAGCCGTAGGTCCTGCACCTCCCGCGTCACTCGTCTGATACCTAAGCCTCAACGCCCCGATACTCGGGGTCGCAGAAGCCGGCCACCTACCGCCATTATATGTCTTCATATTATTCTCCTCAGCATCAGCCTCCCCACACTCCACAACCGGCCAGCTCCCACTACCACCAGGTCTACATCCCGCTCCCCCGTCACCTTGGAACCCCTCGGGACAACACTGCAACCCCACCTCCCCATCTACCCATCTATTATCACTGCCCTCCCCACTCGCAGCCGTCTGTGTCGCAACAACAGTCCAGGCATCCGGGCACGCGGTAGCAGGAGAGTAAAAAGCAGAGGGTGATGGGTACACGTTCGATGTGACCCATGGCATACATGCGGTGTTTATGCTAAAGGGGACGGGATCGCCGTCTTCTTGAGCAAAGACACAAGATTCGCCCCATGCTACGGCGCCGTTGAGGTTGCGGAGGGTACTACAGGAGGGTGGAGGTGCGGTAGCCCATGCGGTGTTCCAGGCGTGCTGGAGATGGCGGGATGTAGATGTCATGATCGTTGTGGGCGAGGTTTCGTAATCGAGGAAATCGCGGCTGTGGTATGGTGTGTGCTGATGGACAATGTAGGCCTGTATTTTCTCTGGGATCTATGAACGAAAGAGTGGAGCGATTGACGACAAGGATTGGAAAACGACAGAAAACCTCAACGATATACAACAATAACTTATTCTCGAGTACCAGGCAAAACAGCCCCGATAGATGGAAGTTGGAGGGTAATGGCAATCCTTCAAACCCCACAAGCACATGTACATGATCCAGGTATTTCTTCAAACCAGGCACATCCTTCCATGGGACCCACTTACCGCATCTTAGGACACTGGACATGTTAGAAGTCGATGATTTCACCTGGTGGTGGCGACGGGCCCAGCAGTTCGTCTCATAGGCCGTTGTTCCTGGGCATAACTTGGCAGGCTAGCCTTGCGCAACCTAGCACATGCCGATTCCAATGACTAGTTGTTTGACATGTACAGTGTGGGTGTTGTGTCTGCCGTGGTGGTGGCAGTTTAGCTGCCGTTGGTGGATAGTTGGAGTGCGGAGGATTTACATAGCCACACAAAACATCGTCATGGTACACAAGCGGAACGACGGCCGAGTGAATCTTTGTTCTATTTGTGTCTCGTCTGATATATTCAATTGCATTCTAAAAGTCTTATCTCCGAATCAAATTGGTTGGATCTTCCAGATGCGAGACATTACCTATGCCTTGTACCCAGCCTCCATCAAACCCTCCTTCAGGCTTTCAATTGCCTTGGAAATATCCGGTCGGTTCGGGTCGGTTACACTAACACCCATGTGTCCAAATCGAATGTACTTGGTGGCAACCTCCTTGTGCAGACCGCCAGCGAATACAACACCCTTCTTGGCGAGGTTGGGTAGGACGTCCGGAGGAGTCATACCTTCTGGAAGGTAGATTGCAGTCATACCAGTAGCCTGGTTTTCAGGCTTGGAAGCGAGCTGCTTGAGACCGAGGTCTGCGACAGCCTTCTTGACCTTTTGCGATGCGGTCTTATGTGCCGCCCAGTAGTCCTCAATGGGTCGCGAGAGAATTTGCTTGAGCGCGGTGTCGAGAGCGTGGATGAGTTGTGGAGAAGGGGTGGCGAAGTAAGATGGCTTCTTTGCTTCGTAGTTTTGCATGACTGCGGTTGTGTTAGCTTTATACACAATGGATCGTTATTCAATGACCACATACTTGGTAGCCAGTTCTTCCATGAGCCAAAGTAGGATGTGGGTCGGGTCTTTCTCGCCTTGAACCTCTCAATCGCGCGTCCAGACACCATCATGATGCTCAAACCAGCCGGGCAACCAATTCCCTTTTGCGAGGCAGTGAGAACTGCATCAAGCTTCCATTCGTCAAAGCGGATCTCTTCTGAGCCGACACTGCAGACACCATCGACCACAACCAAAGTCTCGGGGCTGACGCGGTGGACAAGTTCGCTCAATGCCTTGATCTCGCTGAGCACACCAGTAGAGGTATCCACGTGTGTGACAGTGAGCATCTTGTATTCCTTCTGCTTCAGCGCCTTCTCCACCTCATCGAGTTGCGGTCGGTCGCCAATGGGCGCCTTGAGCTGTGTCGCCTTTACGCCATACGTCTCAAAGCAGTCGGCGAACGAGTCGGCAAAGTAACCAGTATGTAGGACGAGAACCTCATCGCCAGGCTCTACCAGGTTCGCCGCGATCTGGTCCCATCCAAGTGTACCTGAGCCGGAGATGACAAAGGGTTGCGAGGCAGGGTCGGTAGTCAGGAAGAGCTTGCGCAGGTTTCCGAGGACTTCGCTGAAGGTGTTTACGAAGGGCAGTCCGACGTGCGATTCACTGCACAATATAAGTATCACATTTACATAAGGTTGCAATTGTGCCGTACCTGAAATGGCTCATGGAATTGAGCACCGCATCGTCAAACTCAATTGGCCCAGGAATGAGTAGGGCAGGGTGTGGCGCTTGGCTCGACATCTTCTTGGGTGCAGGTGGTTCCGGCGCAAGTTGCGTTACTTCCTTGATTGCCTTCTTGGCCTCTTCTACTTTCTTTGGCGCTTTGGGTATACCTTGTCCGTCTTCAACGCGTGTATGACGTTCGCTGTGAAAGGGAGTGTTCAATTCAAGAAACGGTTTAGAATCCAAATGTTTAGATATCTGTGTAAGTCGGGTACCAGCTCGCGAACGGGGTGACGACATGGCGAGGCGGGGTAGAAAGCGGCTGTTCACGGCAATCAGGTGCAATCGCGGGGCTGCAAACATCCGGTATTCGGAGACCGGCGAAGTAAGAGATGGAGTGTGGGATGTGATGAACACGTGAACGCGCTGTCCTGGCTCAATCGCAATGTCACGCGTTCGGATTCGATCCTCTGGATATCTCGGCGCGTCTCGAAAAAGAAATTGAATCTTCGTAAGCTAAAATTTGATGAAGCTCATTGATGGATGATGCAATCTGCTAATGAGGATCTGTTCATTTGCCGTCTTAAAACCTCAGGAAAAAAAGGGAGCCGCCCCCCAGCACGGTTGTCAGACCGGACCCGGACATAATGAACAATGAGTCGTGCGGTTCCGCGATTCATTCGTGCTCGCGAGTGAAACCCCCCAAGTCACGTGTCGATCGCCAAACCGTTCGCGCGTGGGCCGCTATACTCGACAGGGATATTTGTTATGATCTTGCTCCACTTACATGCAGCATCAACGTTTGAGCGTCATCAGCATACCAATTTGTTACAGCGCTTTATGCATTCAGTTGCTGCATATTCAACTCGACATCCGTATTAATTGGACCTTTGGATACCAAAATGCGTCTGACACGCGCTCGAGCCCAGCAGGGCGCTGAGGAGGCGATCGACGCGACCGAGCGTGCGCCTCTCAACGACATCTCGACAAATGAATCGCCAAAGCAAAACCGTTACGACGAGGAATTGCCTGCGAAGACTCCAGGAAAGACTCCAGGAAAGAAGACCAAGGGAAAGGGCCGCGTGAAGAAGGGAAAGAAAGGAAAAGCAACCGAGGAAGACAAGGAGAAGGTTGAAGTCGGACCGGAAGATGAGGAGGCCTCAATTGAAGCGCCTGCAAACGAGGAAGCCGACCAAGATGACACCAAAGCCCTCCCACACGGTCAGTCTACTGCGGCTCCGCGCCATAGAACATCGGCTGACGACGACTTGATAGGAGAAAATGCAGAAGTGGTCGCAAACACTGAGCGGCCTGTAACCCCACCTCCCAAGCCAGTGCATATGACACGTCGACAACTAGCAATACAAGAAGAGCAATCGAAGCAAGAGCAATGTGCTCCGACACCCCAAGAGCCAGGAACCGAGGTCCCGCACACGACAGAAGATATGGTTGAAGTAAATGTTAGTACAGACGCACCTGCCAAAGACGTGGACATGATAGCCCAAGAGCCCCTAGTTGCTGATGCAAAGGAAGAGCCCGTCTTAGAGTCTGCCGTGGAACCGGTAACAAAGGTTGAGGCCGAAGCCATCGCGGAACCTGAACTGTCTCAAGAAATCGTCGAAACGGAAGCGTCTAAGGAAACCGCACCAGAGGTGCCGCAGATCGAGGAACCAAATACCGAGGAGTCTCGCGAAATTCCCAAACCAGAAGCAGCAGTGACTGAAGTTGAGGCTCCAATTCAAGCACCTCAAGTAGACCCTGAACCCCCAGTGTCCTCAGTCGAAAACAATTCGGAACCAGAGCCAAAGGCACTTGAAATCGACATGCCCATCGAAGCGCCCATGACACCACATACGAGAGCCAGTTCAATCCGACGACTGTCGCGTAGCCCGTCGAAATCGCCGATGCGTCTTGAGGAGTCATTCGAGGCTATCGATGCGCTCGAGGAGGCTCTGGAGAATGTCACGTCACTTGGCAGCTTTGACCGGGTTGAGGAGGAGAAGACTCCTATCATGGAGGAGTTCGCCAAAAGTATCATTACATCAGATGTGCGTCCAGGGACAGCAAAGGAAGCGACAACCACGGTTACAAGGATTTCGAGGGCACCAAGTGTGTCTGCGCCCAAAAGCATGAAGCCAATCAAATCTTCAATCGCTCGAACGACGAGTGTACGTGTGGCATCTAACAAAGAGGTCAAAATAGCTCCGACAGAGACGGTGGACTACCTGGCTTCGAAACGTCGACCGGTCAGCATGTGCTTTCCTACTCCACCACCACCGCCAAAAGGTCGTGCGCCTACGAGGGCAACATTCCAGCTTTCAAGCAACGACGTAGTCGCAAAGCTAAAGACGCAAAAGGAGGAGCGCCAAAAGCGAGAGGCGGAGGGTGTGGCCCCAAAGGCACGCCCACTGAGCATGCCTCCGCCACCAAAGTCAAACAAACCACTTACGAAACCTGCATTCCAATTGCCTGGCGAGAAGATAGCTGAGAAACTCAGAGCCCAGAAAGAGGAGCGAGAAAAGAGAGAAGCTCAGGCGCCCCAACACTCAGCGCCCAACCCGCGCCCCGTCAGCATCAGCATGGCGCCCCACGCAAAATCGACCAAAGCGCCCACAAAGGCACACTTTGAGCTGCCGGGATCCGCCGTGGCCGAAAAGCTACGTATCAAGCGAGAGGAGCGGCTGAAGCGCATGGAAGAGGCTGAAGCTGCAAAGAAGGAAGCTGCGCTCAAGACGCGACAAGCGCCAGCTATCCGCAAACCGGTCACGATGCCCGTCCGCCAACATGAACAGCCAGGCGTCACAATCCCTCCCCCACAACCACAGGCTCAGCGCGCAACCTCGTTGGCTAGCAAGCGCAGTAGCATGTCGCTCTCGCAGTCTACCTCACAGTCACGCTCTGTTTCCAACTCCTCGTCGAATCGCAACAGTATCATTGTCCCCAAGGCTGTCGTTACGCCCATTGACGTGGTACACCAAAAGGTCAAGGGCAGAGAGGTCTTCAACCGCGATCGCATTGAGAAGGAGGCGCGAGAGCGTGAGAGGAGGGAGAAGGAAGAGGCTGCTAAGCGGGCGCGAGCTGAAGCTGCCGAAAGAGGCAGGATCGCGAGTCGAGAGTGGGCGGAGAAACAGAGGAGGAAGATGATGGGTCTAAGCACATGATGCATCAGCGCATTGCTTGATTGGGGTTTGTGAAAAAGCCAAAGAAAGGCGTTTTTGCGCGGATGTCCGTGATGAGAAGACGTTTGAGGTGGTGTCTTTTTGGATATACTTGGTGGTTTGCTGACACACCTACCACCCGCTCGATGGGTGCTCCTTTGTCTCTTTCCTACGTACTCTCTCTGGTCTCTAGTCATCTTATTTCCTGACGTCCTTCCTACCTTTTCTTCTGCCAAAGTCTTCCAATGGTCGACTGGACAGGTTCTGGGCGCTTTCCAGGAGTCATGTTTTAGATATTCCATGTCAGCTATTTCTCCTTTACCATCTTCGTTCCCAATTGGCAAGTTTGGGTGTTTTATTATACCCACCCACTCTGGGACTTCTAGCTCGCCCTTTCGTGGCGCATTTGTTTTTCCAGTCTGGTCTGGTAATCCACCAACTTCTCTCCTTAGGTAGAAGAATCAGAGTCTCTCATACTGTATTCACTATGTCTCTTTCTGAAGTGGAAACGATGGATGCCTTAGCCCGTTCGCTCACGAAGACACGCCTTGTGCACGTGACACGGGATCAGGAGGATACACGCTTCCATGGGTTCCATGTTTCTACCTTCCAGCTCAGGCTGACCACAAGGTTCCTTGTTCTCTTTTTTCACTCTTTTGAGGCAGTGTATAGTTCAGTAAACACACATACAAACCCTCACAGTACGCTACGCACGCCTCCGGCGCTTACCCAGCTGATCATCCCCCCACGCAATCTTTTCTCCCGACCTGAATTACCGTGTCGATCCCTGCTGATCAGATGCGCGCAAGCATCCACAACAAACATCCAGTCACACAAAACTCAACCAGACACCCCTTCACACACACAAGATCCTCAAAATCACTCATATCTCTACACATGCACAAACAAAAGAAACACACCCGAGGGTGAAATTAGACTAACAGACTCACTAAATTT